CTTGGAGCATGCTTTCAACGCTGTCCGGGTTGATGGTGGCATGAAAACAAACTTAGACATGCATCTGAACTCATCACTCCAATCAAGTAGCCATGCCTGGTTCTTCTCTGTGGACAAGCATAGTGTCCGAGGACTGAAATCACCCAAACTGCTAAGAGAACTCACTCCCTTCTGGACAACATACTTGATAAGAGGAACTTTCCCCATATTAGTACTCTGAAACCTAGACTGCCATTTCTCAGCGATGAAGAGCAGAACCTCCACATACGTACCTTCTGATACACTTGTCACGAGATCACAACCCTGAAAGCATTTTACATACCATTCATTGCTGACTTGCTTCAGACCCAAGAAGTTCAGAACGTTATCATATTCTGCTCTGTCAAAAGCGGAATTCAAAATGTAAATCCCATGTGATGATATATTCTGCAAGCTCGCACCTTCACTTCTTGCTTTCTCCAAGATGTCCCAGAATGTAGGTATGAGACGACCAACTTCACACGGCTTGTGGAAGAACTTCTGTCCTAAATGAGATATGCTTGGCACAATTTCCTCTGCACAAACCCTTGCCCTGATAGATTCTCGGACCACATTCAGCTTAGCATAAGAAGATTCCTCTACAGGCAAGAATCTAAAAGCAGGCAGCACACTAGACACTGGAGCGTCAGTCTTTTTGACCAAAGAGGTGAATGCATTCAAAAAAGCTATAGGGACACAGCTGAGAATCCCTTGGTTCCATATATCATCCAATAGAATAGTCTCCCTGGACGAGGCAAGGATAAAATCTGCTTGAATGATGAAGGGAAAGTTTGTTACCATCTCTGTGGGAAGAAATGCATAGATACCAGGAGAGCTATTTCCTCGGCCAAGACGCTCTCCAAATGGAAATGCCAAAGTGATTACCCAATCATCCACTTCACTTCTCCTGTCCACACGGTTCTCATGTTTCACAGGAAACTTTTGCTTCCACATGTAGTAGCTGCATTCTTGTTCAGAGTTTTTCCCTTTCTCAGAAGCTGAAAGATGTATTGTGTAAGACTCAGCATCAATGCTCTTCCTCGTCACAAAATTAGTCTCGCTAACAATCCCGATTGAGTTCACTGTGCTGAGCTTCGGATCTAGGCAATGTTCTCTGATAGAAAGACGCTTGATCTTTGAAAGAAACAACAAAACCTCAGGATGAACATTGGAAAGCTGTTCTTTAACCGGCTTTACTTTGTCACTCTTCAAAGGCAAGATAATGGTTGTGGTCGGAAGAGCAGAACCCGAACCGTACATCCTTTGAATATCAACAAGAGAAGGATGTTGCTCAACCCACTCAGGAACAATGTAGCCAAGGCTGCAGTGGCTGCAAGGTGCCTCATTGAAACGAATTTGATAGCCATTGCTGAAGATATATGGCTGTGACGTAATCAAAAACACACTCTTGAAACCGATTCCTGCCAAGATTAAAACATAAAACACAAGTTAGTACAAGGAAGGGACTTTTGAAATTTGAGTTTGTCTTGAGGTCACACAAGCAAAGACGTACCTTTCTCTCCTATGTACCCGCGTTTTCGATTGCCTTTCTTTGTGGATCTTCCAACACTGCAAATGGAATCGATATTTTTCTCAGAGAAACCTTGCTCATTGTTGAAGATAAGAAGAGTGGCTGGAGCTCCGGTGTTTGTGATATCCTCAGATGTTATCACAAATTCAAGAGATGGATCCACACCTTCTGGATACTCGTTATCTTCAGCATTCTGAAAACCAGAGAAAAAAACAAATACCTAGCATAAGCAAAAACTGCAGGAGGAAGCCAATTTCTTGCTCAAAAGGTTTCCTAACTAATGGTGATCTGTGTAATGTATTTGAAAAACTAAACATCGCAGGCTAAGCAAAAAACCATAAACATGTGTTCTATATCAATCACAAGCACAACACAAAATCACAGAAGAAAACAGAGCAAAAGGAAAAGAGCACAAAACCCTAGAGAAAACAGAGCAAAATCTGAAAAAAAATCTCACAAAAAAAACACAGAAACAGAGAAATATAAGTGATAGAGGCGTGAGAGAGTAAACATACTTGGATAAGCTCCATGAGGAAGTGAACATCCTTAGCATAAAGCTCAGCGGAGAGATTCTTCACAGCCTGATGAAGATCCTCCGTCAACGGATTTTCAGCACCACCGATTGAAAACTTAGTCCGACGAATTCGTTCAACGTGTTGCTTAGCCGATTCCGCCATTGTTTCTCTTACTGGTTTAGTTTTGGTTTCTCTCTGCAAAAGTGAAACGACAGAGAGTGAGAATTTAAAGAGAAGAAGAAGGAAACTTCATGGGGAAGGTAAAACTTGGGAATTAAGTATAACGATGATGTGACACTCTTCTTTTGTACGGAAAAACCAAAAGACTATAATTTTATTGGCTAACCAAAAGACAAATCTTGTACTGTGTTCTTCTTCATTTACAAGGAAAAAGTTATGTAGCTTCGTCAATCTAAGTATCTTTTAATTCTTTCATTTTCGACGTTTATTATTGAGATAACTCCTATAATTAGATTTAGATAATATACCCTAGTCTTTATCTAATATCTTTATCTAGTTACGATTCTCTACTTGTATAAAATACCAATCTTCATGAAGATTTTCCACAAACCATTTCATTTCATTTTGATTAATAACGAGATAGTACAATGTAATCGACATGAACAAAACTTGGGTTATATTATCGATAACAAATCAACTACTTCATTTTATTTTTCGGTGCACCCAATTAAATCTTGTGGGTTTTGAATTTGATCTTCCTAGTTGTTTGAAAAAAAAAATTGTCATCTTTTAGGGTAATGTAATTCAAAATTCACAACTTAGATAACAAAGAACAAATAACAAATAATTTGAGACATATATAACTTACTCAATTACTTAGAGATGAAAATTAGGATAGATGCAAAGTGAGAGAGTCGAATCCCTAGTTTGAGATCAATGAAGTTTGTGATTTGTGAGAGAGATGATGACCTTATATAAGAAGATTGAAACAATTTTTAATTAGGATAATTTCTATTTTTTTTCTTCTAAAAAAAGGATTATTTCTATATTACTTATAGTTACCTTATAAAGCTCATTTTCATTAAACCTCGCTCATATATCCCGCAATCAACATTAAATTCGATCATATAACTCATTTCTTAAACGAGCTTTAAAATCCGAGTTTGCGCTCATAAGAAAGCGTGCTGAGCTGACGGCTTATTTTGACACCCCCTAATTTTGACATAGTTCATCTTCTAAACTCTTTTGGAAGTACAAATGTAAGTCGATACTAACCTTTCTTTTTCGATTTGAAGAACTGAATAATTGATGAGAACTTTGACCAACATTTACTTCATTGTCTTGCATATCAAGATCCACAACGATTATTTCCTTCCGTTTCTCTTCGTTTTCTTTCAATGATTTTCTCATCGAATGTTGAACCTTGGAAGAAACCTTTTGGCCATTATAAAACTAATGCAATTGTCATACCGTTCCATAAATCATCTCTTGATAATTGCTATACATAATTGATCATATATTGTATATTGTGGTTAATCTTCTAAACTCTTTCTAAAGTACAAATGTAAGTCGATCGATACTAACCTTTCTTTTTCGACTTGAAGAACTGCAAGATTGATGAGAACTTTGACCAACCTTTACTTCATCGTCTTGCATATCAAGATCCACAACGATTATTTTCTTCGATTTCTCTTCGTTTTCTTCCAATGATTTTCTCATCGAATGTTGAACCTTGGAAGAAACCTTTTGGCATGCACTTCTGTTAGTCAATCCAGCCAAGTGATGTTTCATTCTATTTATTTCACTTCCAACATATTGTTTACCACAAAAGTCACAAGCTATAACTTTTTTCCCTCTTGAATCAATAGTTTCATTAACATAGTTCCACGCCAAATCTTGTTTCTGATGACGTGTGGAACGTTGCACAGATTTCTCTTGCTTTATATTGCTTGCATTTGGTGAAAAAGCTTTTTCCTTATGAATATTCTCCATTGATGAGTAAACTACAAAAAGTAAAAATGTCTGCACTGTTAAATATATGTTCACGATCACCAATAGAAATGTATATACTCTTATATACAAGGATTGTCTTAAACGAACCACTCAAAGTTATATTTTCGGTTGGATATATCAACGATAAGAAGACTAGGCCAAACAACGACAAACACACAAGGATTGGAAGAAACTCGACACAATTAAGATATGGAGTTGGAAGATGTCAGTGAGAGTTATTTATCATTTCAAGATTAAAAAAGCATATGAAATTGACGAATAACGAATTAATGAATGGTGATAACTATTTAATTATGGCAAATTCAATTATGATCCATTAACACGTGAAGTGAAGAAGATGACAAGATAGATTTGGTGAAGACAAAGACATGATTATACCACGAAAGTGAGTTTGGTCATCGTCTTTATACGGGTTCTGAAATAGAAGAACACAAGTTGACTCTACGTTGAATTGACCCGATCTCACGGGTTAAAAGCTTGACTCTGCCTTGAATCTAAGAGTCACTCAAATCCAATAATTATGGAGAAATCTCAGAGAAAAAAACTGAAAACGTTTTAGGAACCCTAATCAATTTTTAATCTTTTCATTTTTAAATAAGGAAAAGTTGAAAACACAATAATAATAAAATCTTAATCAGAGAGAAACAATATCTTCCATATCTCTAGTTTACAAGCTATACATAAATATTCATTTTTAATATAGTGATACTGTATACTAATTTTATCTATAATCGTGTCGAGAATTAAATTAGTCTTTTAGAAAATATATATCGGACATAATGACATATAATAAAATATTGAATAGTCTCCGACGGTCCAAAAATACTCGTAAACAAAAAGAAGCAAAAAAAAAAAAGAGAAGATGGAATGATCGGATTCTTCGACGAAAGGGGAAGAAGTTGAATTCAAAATCTGTCTCTTCTTCTCTGCCTCTCTCGCGTGAGAGAAGCGTAGATTTTTCCAGATCTCATCATTGAATTCAAAACTCAAAGCTAGAGATAGAGATAGAGAGGGAGAGAATCGATTCGGAGAAGAAGAAGAAGAAGACGAGACGGAGCTGAAACAATGATTACGATCCCATACCTTACCGCTGTATCAACGTATTTCAGCTACGGTTTGCTCTTCGCCTTTGGCCAGCTTCGCGATTACTCCCGCCTTATCTTCGATTGGTGGCGCACCAACAATCTCCAGGTTAATTTCTCGATTGGTAAGCGCTTGTGGCGTGTTGAGACTCTTCTTAACGTTTTCACTTTTCGTTTAGGGATACGCGCCGATCTGCTTGGCGCATGAGGATTTCTACATCAGACGATTGTATCATCGGATTCAGGTACCTCTCTATTCTTTTCCCCTGCGTTTGTTTAGCATCATGTTCAATCTCGGCATTTGGTGGCTTATGGTGGGAGGTATAAGTCTTTGAAAAAGTAATTGTGCATACAGTAGGAATTAGGAAATGTTTCTTTGGTGGAATCTTTGTTTCTGTGGTTTAGTGTTTGATTCTTAAATATATATGTGTGAAGGACTGTTTTGGACGTCCCATATCAAGTGCACCTGATGCCTGGATTGATGTGGTTGAGAGAGTTTCTGACGATAATAACAAGACGCTAAAGTGAGTCTGTCATTCTCTGTTTTTTCTATTGAACAGTTTTGGTTTCTATGGCCACATTAAGAGAATATGATAGCAAATGGATTCATATGGTTGTCAAAGAATAAAACTTTGGTTGCAACTCTGTGCAGGCGAACTACAAAGACTAGTAGGTGTCTTAATCTGGGGTCCTACAATTATCTTGGATTTGGTTCTTTTGATGAATATTGTACGCCTCGTGTTATTGAGTCTTTGAAGAAATTTTCAGCTAGTACATGTAGCTCTCGCGTTGATGCAGGTACAGTGTTTTCTTTGTGTATTAGGTCTCCAACAATCTCTTTCTCCTTGTTGTTGCCTGACATTCGTTCTTTCTCCCACCAGGAACTACATCTGTGCATGCAGAACTTGAGGAATGTGTTGCTAAATATGTCGGACAACCTGCTGCTGTTGTCTTTGGCATGGGCTACGCAACAAACTCGGCTATTATTCCCGTCTTGATTGGAAAGGTAAGTGTATGCTGCTATATCTTGTGATGAACACTTATGTTACTCCCAAAACCTATGTTTTTGTAGCTTATTTGCTGCCATCTATGCAGGGAGGGTTGATAATAAGCGATTCTTTGAACCATACTTCAATTGTCAACGGCGCTCGAGGTTCAGGAGCTACTATCCGTGTTTTCCAACACAACAGTAAGCATTTCTTATGCTTCACTTTCCATATCTTTTGCAAATTAACTGGGTGACATGTCATCTTTATGCTCTCTTGTTAAATTCTTCGCAGCACCTGCTCATCTGGAAAAAGTATTGAAAGAACAAATCGCTGAGGGACAACCCAGGACGCATAGACCGTGGAAGAAAATTATTGTTGTTGTTGAGGGTATTTACAGCATGGAAGGGGAAATTTGTCATCTGCCCGAGATTGTCTCAATATGCAAGAAGTATAAGGTGAGGTAACATGGTAAACCATCTTTCATGTTCAACATTGATGAGAGATTAAGGAGCTCGGTCAACAGAATTATCATTTGCAACATCAAAATTGTCTAGACTAATTTGGTTGTCTGATGTGTACCTTATTTTCTTGCATATCAATTGTTTCAGGCATATGTTTACTTGGACGAAGCTCACAGCATTGGAGCAATTGGCAAGACAGGAAGGGGTGTTTGTGAACTCCTGGGGGTTGACACTGCTGATGTGGACATAATGATGGGAACTTTCACGAAATCTTTTGGGTCTTGTGGTGGCTATATTGCCGGATCAAAGGTTAGCAATTAGATACTTTTGTATATTTACTGTTCTTTTGTTTGCACATTTTCTTGGTTTATTTAGTTTTGGTATATCAAATTTAGACCTTTCAGAAAAACTTAGAACTAGAAAACCAAATTACTAAATAATAAGAGATCTTTCAGAATTGCATAAGAAAGTTACGACCATTAGCAAAGATGAGTAAAGAGCTGATACACTAAGGCGCATCTGTATTTACACAATAGCCATTGTGATTGTTTATGCTAGTACACTTCATCTCAAAATCAACCAAAGGCATTATAGCATATTGTGTTTCATTTTTGGTAGGACCTCATCCAATATTTGAAGCACCAATGCCCGGCTCACCTTTACGCAACATCAATTTCAACTCCTTCCGCGACACAAATCATATCGGCGATAAAGGTTATCCTTGGAGAGGACGGTTCAAACAGAGGTATCTCTATAGTTTATTTTGCTCTATGAGCTGTAACATTTTGCCCTTTTAGCTTTGTAATCTCAAGTTATAGTCTCAAACTTTTCTAAAAACCTGTGGCAGGGGCACAAAAGTTAGCAAGAATAAGGGAGAACAGCAACTTTTTCAGGGCTGAGTTGCAGAAGATGGGGTTTGAGGTTCTTGGAGACAATGATTCCCCAGTCATGCCGATAATGCTTTACAATCCAGCAAAAATTCCAGCCTTCTCAAGGGAATGTTTGCGAGAAAAAGTAAGTTTCTCTTTCTTTTTTTTTTTCTTTTTTTTGCAATAACTCATTTGATTCCACCCAAGAGAGACTCACCTCTTATGTTCAATGGATATTTAAAACTGTGGACAGTTGGCAGTTGTGGTCGTCGGTTTCCCAGCTACACCGCTATTGCTAGCCAGGGCTCGTATTTGCATATCCGCATCTCACTCAAGAGAAGATCTTATTAAAGCCCTACAGGTAAAAGAAATCTTGCATTGAGTTCACTTCTTTTCTCTCCCATATCATTTACCACGAAGAGCCCTAGTAGTATTAGTATAAAACCCGAATTCCCGGGTTTCCAAATAGGTCTATATAAATCAAATGAAGCCTTTCTCAGAATAGTATATATGATTTGAGTCTACCTCAGAAGGCTAAAAGCCTAAGAAAGGGACTGTGCTTATAGTTGATCCACAAATGGATTCACACGTTTTAATTTTGGACGTGTTATGACAGGTTATAAGCAAAGCAGGTGACCTTACCGGGATCAAATATTTTCCGGCTGCTCCAAAGAAGCAAGAAGTAGAGAAAAATGGCATCAAATTGGATTAAAACCGCCATGCATCAGTTTCTTTCCAAGAGAGGTTTGGTTAGCAATTAGCATTAGTGTACAATTTCCTCGCTGTTCGCCTTTGTCTTGTCGTCCTCTTTACTTGTCGTGAAACATGATTTTTTTTTTTTTTTCCTTCACATGATTTTGTTGTCATTCTTCTTTCTTTATTTTTTTTTATTGGTTTTGTCAGAGTTAATTGTATAGTATCCCATCTTTAAATTGTTACCCCAAAAAATTTACGGATGTTATCGAAGACATTTGTGCTTCTTCTTTGCTCCACGAATGTAGGGGCCCAATTCGTTGGTCCAGGTCCGGAAGTATTTTTGAATTATTTTGTTTTGGTCTTCCAGACCACGAATCAGAAGTGGTTCTCAAAACTACCAAAAAAACTTCCATCATGTTGGAATTGTTCCTTGAATATAAGAGTTGTATATGCAATTCAAGGAACGTTCCATAAAGAGGTTTGTCAATATTGATTCACTCGTTTGTGACTTCATGTCTACGTTAGCTATTCAGTTTGCCCATGGTCCAGCCAAAACACACATGATTAACACATATACGAGTATTGAGTTTTTGCGGCACTCTGACTTCTTTTCTTGTGAGAAACTAAGAAGAAACATTCTTCAACAACATGAGTCCCATGATGATTCATCCAATACAGGTTACCTTAAGAGGAACATAATTGTTTGTTGCAAGAAACTCCTACTATTTTAATGCTTGTTGATGGTACCCTGCCACTGTTGATTCACATTGAATATTTTAAAACACATAATTATGCCTTATAAGTTTGTTATATCGACTAACATGTAACAATATAAATTAGATCTGAATAAAAAATTAATAAAATCTTTTTGTAGAGGTAGCCGTTTCTGTGTGAGTGAAGGACTGTTTTGGACGTCCCATAGCAGGTGCACCTAATACATGGGTTGATTTGGTCGAGAGATACTCTGACGACAACAACAAGACGCTAAAGTGAGTATGTTTTCTTCTATTAAACACATATATGGTCACATTGAGAGAATATGAAACCAAATGTCAACGTTGAGAGGTTGCAACTACATGCAGACGAACGACAAAGACCAGCAGGTGCCTTAATTTGGGTTCCTACAATTATCTTGGATGAATACTGCACGCCTCGTGTTATCGAGTCTTTATAGAAATTTTCAGCAAGTACATGCAGCTCTCGCGTTGATGCAGGTACAGTGTCTTTGCCTATAAGGTCTCAATTAATCTCTTCTCTTTTGTTTCCTGACATTTTTGTTTCTGCCATCAGGAACTACATCTGTGCATGAAGAACTCTAGGAATCTGTTGCTAAATTTGTGGGACAGCCTGCTGCTGTTGTTTTTGGCATGGGCTACCTAACAAACTCGGCTATCATTCCTGTCTTGATTGGCAAGGTAATGAATAAACCTTGTGATATATGAACGCTTATGTTACTCCCAATACATATGTTTTAGTAGCTTAATTACTGCCATGTATACAGGGAGGGTTGATCATAAGCGATTCTTTGAACCATACTTCAATTATCAATGGCGCTCGAGGTTCAGGAGCCACTATTCCCGTTTTCAAACACAACAGTCAGCATTTCTTATGCTTCCAGTTTTCAGATTTTTATCCAATTAACTTGGTGACATATCATCTTTATGCTCTCTTGTTGACTGATTTTCAGCACCTTCTCATTTGAAAAGAGTATTGAAAGAACAAATCGCTGAGGGACAACCAAGGACACACAGACCGTGGAAGAAAATCATCGTTGTTGTTGAAGGTATTTACAGCATGGAAGGGGAAATCTGTCATCTGCCGGAGATTGTCTCAATATTCAAGAAGTAAAAGGTGAGGTAAACCATCTTTCATGATCGACATAGATGAGAGAGAATTTAAGGTATTCAATCAACTGAATTATCATTTGTATGTAATTTGTTTCAGGCATATGTTTACTTGGATGAAGCTCACAGCATTGGAGCAATTGGCAAAACAGGAAGAGGTGTTTGTGAACTCCTAGGAGTTGACACCTCTGATGTGGACATAATGATGGGAACTTTCACGAAATCTTTCGGGTCTTGTGGTGGCTATATTGCCGGATCCAAGTTAGCAATTATATACCTTTGTTCTCATTTACTGATATTTTGTTTGCACATGAGTAAAGAGCTGCTACACTAGGCCCTTTTGTGTATACCACCACATGATTGTATAGGCAAGTACTGTAGTACACTTCATCTCAAAACCAACCAAAGGCTTTATAGAATATTGTGTTTCAACTTCTATAGGACCTCATCCAATACTTGAAGTACCATTGCCCTGCTCACCTTTACGCAACATCAATTTCAACTCCTGCTGCACAACAAGTCATATCGGTTATAAAAGTTATCCTTGGAGAGGATGCTTCAAACAGAGGTATCTCAATAGTTTCTTTTGGTCTTTGAGCTTCATAATCTCAAGTTATAGTCTCAAAATCTTCTAAAAAACTGGGCAGGGGCACAAAAGTTGGTAAGAATAAGAGAGAACAGCAACTTTTTCAGGGCTGAGCTGCAGAAGATGGGGTTTGACGTTCTTGGAGACAATGATTCCCCAGTCATGCCAATAATGCTTTACAATCCAGCAAAAATCGCAGCCTTCTCAAGGGCATGTTTGCAAGAAAACGTAAGTCTCTTATTTGTTTTCCCCCATATATCACTGCTTCCGCACAAAAGAGATGCACCTCTATGTTTCAATGGACATAATTAACACTTTGAACTTGGCAGTCGTGGTAGTCAATTTCCCAGCTATACCTCTATTGCTAGCTAGGGCTCGTATTTGCATATCCGCATCTCACTCGAGAGAAGATCTTATTAAAGCCCTGCAGGTAATCTTGCGTCGAGTTCACTCACTTTCTCAGCATAGTAAACATGATTTGAATCTACCCAAAAGGCTAAAAGCCTAAGAATGGGACTGTGCTTATAGTTCATCCACAAATGGATCTACACGTTTCTTAATCATCTCTGTGTTATGACAGGTTATAAGCAGAGCAGGTGACCTTACCGGGATCAAATATTTTACGGGTAGCTCCAAAGAAGCAAGAAGAAGAGAAAAATGGCAATACTTCAAAGTTCAAACTAAGAATATAGAATTTTTTTTCTTTCAAAAACCAAATTAGAGCACAAATTTTCTAATATGGTTGAGTGCACCACCTCAAACCAATTGACAGCATTTTGTTACTTATACAAAAACCTTACAAGTAACACATGAAAATTTCCTGTGTTAACTCAGATCTGCAATCTTTCTGGTTTTAGCCTCCTATGGTTCCTCTGTTTCCACACTTACCTTTCCTTTGTTTCCACATGAAAAGTCTAATTTCTTTTTCTGAATTGCTCCTGTTTCTACTTATTGAGATAGCTGAACACTTCACACTGTAAATAAAATGCTAGACTAAACACATTCGTTTTCTTCCCTTGGAACTTCTATTGCAAATAGCTACACCTATTCGATTGCAAAATCATTATCGTCATAAGTCAGAGAGTTATAAACCTTATTCCTCTTCCTCTTCTTTTCCCACTTCTACTTCTACTTATTGTGCCTAATGCAACATTCAAACAACAAACATCAAGATAAGAAACAACAGAGACGAATGAAAGATTTATAGCGTAAAAAAAAGGCTTTCATGGTTTCAGACATTGCAAGCTTACACTCTGCCATGACTTTCACTATCATCAACAAAAAACAACAATAACAGAAAAAAAAAACCATTGCTTTTCTTCTTAACCGATCAAAATTCTCTCTCACACACTCATGAGAACTCCCTACCAAGCTTCTGAATAGCACAAAACATCTTCCTCCTCGACCCAACAGCATTAATCCCCATATCTTTAAGATCTTCCAATGTCAACAATGGCAAAACCTCTTCATCAACCTCATGTATCTCAAACATAGGCCAATATCTCCCTAACCCTAACTCTTGTAACCATATCTTCACACCTTCTCTTCCTCCTCCAACACCAATTCCTCCATCCATATTCGATTCAAATTCTCTGTTTCCACTACTATTGTTACTCTCATACCTTCTTCTACCATAAAACCCACCACCATCTCTATCCAAAGACTCTTCCTTTATCGGACTCTCTGAATCTTCTCTACTAAAATCCCTAAACCCACCTTCCAATTCTTCCCCTCCACTAATTTTCTCATCCCCATCCCCAATTTTCGATACCCAATTAGATCTAACTCTCTTCGCCGCTGTAGTTGTCGATGACCCGACCCGTTTCTTAACCCGCCAACTCCCAACACCAAAAGAATCCACATTTCCTTCTCTTTCATCATCTAGGGTTCCGATATTCTCATACCCAGAACTCAAATTCGTTAGGGTTCGAGTCCTCGACGATTTACTCATGTCTTTTCTATTACCACTTGTCGTCGTCGTCGGTGTCCATTTCGATTTCCTCCCTTGTGAATCATACGCCGCCGCCGCGTGGTGATGATGCTGCTGCTGGTACTGGTCTCCGCCGATTTCGCCTAATCGAACACTTGGTCTTCTCAATCGTTTCGATCCCGCGGCTGTAATCGCCGTCGCTTCGGCTGAAGTTGACGCCGGAGTAGGAATAACGCCGCCGTTTGTTTGCTGACCATCCACTGGTTGCAACTCCGCCATTCTTTTTCAAGGCAAATTGGTTTCTTAATTTCAGATTGGAACCGCCATAGGCAAGTATGGAGCTACTGGAGAAGATGAAAGGTCGAGTCTTTTGGCTTAGGCTATTTAGGTTTATCTGGAGGAATCAGAAGTGGATGTGAGAGAAAGAGAAGAGAATCGTCGTCATCAGGAGAATCGAGGAAGGAAGAAGAAAGATCGATGTTCACCTACTGACACGTGTGTGTTTGTGCAGTCACTAACAGTATTTTTATACAATAATTGATCAACAAGTCCCTCAATTTCCGTAAGTTTCTTTTTAATGCCTCGATCTTCATATTTTCACAGTTTTTTCCATTATCGAAGGGTAAAATGGTCATTTGATAATCATCTTCAACCTGAGACCTGCGATTTTTCAGAACCCTAGCTTTGGCAGAAGATTTTTCAACATCAAACATCATTTCTCCGATTTGGGTATATTCTCGCGGTGGCTCATGTATCTGAAAGAAGGATGTTCGTTGCTATTGAAAGTTCAAAAACCCTTAATCCCATTTGTCCTCAACACCAATCTCAATGTGAATCTCCTCACAGAATCTCCAAACCACGCAGAGATCAAAGAATCAGCAGTGTTAAAGAGACTGAGACAAGAGTCATGTGTTCCCTTAGCTTTGCATTTCTTCAAATCCATTGCCAATTCAAATCTTTTCAAGCACACGCCTTTAACATTCGAGGTAATGATTAGAAAGCTTGCAATGGATGGTCAGGTTGATAGTGTTCAGTATCTTTTGCAGCAAATGAAACTTCAAGGTTTTCATTGTTCTGAAGATTTGTTTATCAGTGTTATTAGTGTATATAGACAAGTGGGTTTAGCTGAAAGAGCTGTGGAGATGTTTTATAGGATTAAGGAATTTGGTTGTGATCCTTCCGTGAAGATATATAATCATGTTTTGGATACTTTACTTGGTGAGAATAGGATTCAGATGATTTATACGGTTTATAGAGATATGAAGAGAGATGGGTTTGAGCCTAATGTGTTTACGTATAATGTTCTTCTTAAGGCGTTGTGTAAGAATAATAAGGTAGATGGTGCGAAGAAGTTGCTGGTTGAGATGTCGAATAAAGGGTGTTGTCCTGATGCTGTGAGTTATACCACGGTGATCTCGTCGATGTGTGAGGTTGGTATGGTGAAGGAAGGTAGGGAACTTGCGGAAAGATTTGAACCTGTTGTGAGTGTTTATAATGCTTTGATTAATGGGTTATGCAAAGAGCGTGATTACAAAGGGGGGTTTGAATTGATGAGTGAAATGGTGGAGAAGGGAATATCTCCTAATGTTATCTCGTACTCTACACTTATCAATGTGCTTTGTAATTCTGGTCAAATTGAGCTTGCTTTCTCGCTTCTGGCTCAGATGTTGAAACGAGGGTGTCATCCAAATGTCCATACATTGAGTTCTCTTGTGAAGGGTTGTTTTGTAAGAGGTACGACCTTCGATGCTCTAGACATGTGGAACCAGATGATCAGAGGATTTGGGTTACAGCCGAACGTTGTAGCGTATAATACTTTGGTACAAGGATTTTGTTCCCATGGGAATATAGACAAGGCTGTGTCTGTCTTTTTACACATGGAAGAAATCGGATGTTCTCCAAACATCAGAACCTATGGCTCACTTATCAACGGCTTTACCAAAAGAGGTAGCCTCGAGGGCGCAGTTTATATATGGAATAAGATGCTAACTAGTGGATGCTGCCCAAATGTTGTGGTGTATACGAGCATGGTGGAAGCTCTTTGTAGACACTCCAAGTTTAAAGAAGCTGAATCTCTTATAGAAATTATGTCCAAAGAAAACTGTGCTCCTTCTGTGCCAACGTTTAACGCATTTATCAAAGGTTTATGCGATGCAGGGAGGCTTGACTGGGCTGAGAAAGTGTTTAGACAAATGGAGCAGCAATACAGATGTCCTCCCAACATTGTAACATACAACGAGTTACTGGATGGGCTCGCAAAGGCAAACCGAATAGAAGAAGCTTATGGTCTTACCCGAGAGATCTTCATGAGAGGTGTGGAATGGAGCTCATCGACTTACAACACGCTTTTACATGGATCATGCAATGCAGGTCTCCCGGGGATAGCTCTGCAGCTAGTAGGAAAAATGATGGTCGATGGTAAATCTCCGGATGAGATAACAATGAATATGATAATATTAGCATATTGCAAACAAGGAAAAGCTGAGAGGGCAGTCCAGATGTTGGATCTAGTTTCATGTGGAGGAAGAAAGTGGCGGCCTGATGTTATCTCTTACACAAACGTGATTTGGGGTCTATGTAGATCTAATTGTAAGGAGGATGGAGTGATTCTTCTTGAGAGGATGATAAGTGAAGGGATCGTCCCAAGTATTGCTACATGGAGTGTATTGGTTAATTGTTTTATTCTCGATGACATCTTGAGCCCATGATCATTCTACCATATAGCAAATCAAACTTGTTCAATTTTGTTGTGAAGCCATTTGCTTCTCTGTATGAATAGAAGAAGCATCAACTCCGGTAGATATATAGAAATCTTGTGATCAGATGGAAGCTTCGCTTGTGGGTCTGCACTGAACCCTTGAAGAACTCAAAGAAAACATTTTAATCCTTGCAAGAAAAAATCAGACTACTGGTTCTGGTATCTGACAAATACATTGCTGAGTTATTGGTAAGCAAATATGATGAGACAGATGCTCTTTAGTCATGCTTCTGTTGTAATATGATTATTTGATCAATATTCATTTATTCTCTAATTATATTTTTGGTTACAGGTAAGCCATAGAAGTTGGTTAAACATTCTGATGGTGATAGACTTGATTCTTTGGACCTTTTTCTACAAGGATCTAGAGATGTGTATTGATGTATGATTGAAACTTTTTCTTTCAGTCTTAAGATTTTGTCAAGAAGCTGCTCGGATGAATATTCCTAATGATGTTCTCTGGCCAAGGTTTGAGTTTATTATATTCATTTGTGTATTGAAGCCCTTGATGAGATTTGGAATTAAAGGTTTGGCTTCTAACTGATCCAAGTGTCTAACGAACATATAGAGGGGGATTTCGAGCCCCTGAAAGATGAAACGTCCTGCTTCAGCTACTATTTTGGTTCAAAAAGATCCTTCAGGTATTTTCTAAGCTCCCTTTTCCTTGTTATTTAGGACTTCTCAGAATTCACTGACAGATTTCATTTTCATTTCCTATTCATGCAGCTCATAGAAACAAAGAGAGGACCAACTGCTGTACACTGTTCTGCTTAATATATTTTCGCGACTAGTAAAATATTCTGCTTAATATAATTTCACGACTAGTAAAAGGCAAGACATGTATTAGAGGCAAGAAAAGAGAACAAAGAACATAGCATTTGCTTATGTACTAAAATTAGACATCGGACAATCAATCTCTAGCTTTGCTCTATTTCAGTCCTCTATGATTTTACCTACATCTCTGGTGAAGAAAATTCCGGAAAATAGGATAACAAAAGAATTAAACCTAACCTATAGGTTACGCATATAACTGTCACCTTGATCATCTTCAACGCCCTACAATGGCGCAATAGCAGAGGAACTTGCTTTCGAATGAATCTATCGTCGTCCATTGATCCTTTTTGTGCTTAAGTGTGTATGTTGATAAATCAATTTTAGATGTGCAGTTTTTTAGTCAGCTGGTGTAATACAAAGCTGACCGTGTCCTGGACTGTGCTCCAAAGGGTACATGCTTGTGCCTCTCACAAATTTTTGATGGTCGCTCACAGGTTTTCTGAGATGTGAGACCATTGGACGCTTGTTTTTGTTTCTCTTCTTTACTATCGAGCATGAAGCTAATGGGTCTGAAGATCCTGCTCCAACTCTCCTGCACATAGATTTTTTTTTTAGAGAATTGATAAATTTTGGCAAAGAAAGAAGATGAAATTGTGTTATTGATGATTACCTTAAGAGCTTCTCTGCTGCAATTCTTGCAGATCTAATTGTACTGCGACTTGGCACCCACTTCACGACTCGGTTTGGATCAGCTCTCATGGGAGAGTGTATTTTAATGAGCTAAAATAAAGAAGAGAACCAAGTTAAAACCAAAAACCTTGAAGAGATCTCTGAATCTACAATAGGCCAATGCAAATCTAATAAACAAATCAAGTGGTTATTGCCATCTAACAACTAGTAATTGGATATAAAAAAAAATGGGAAACCAGAGACTTACACCCAAGCATTCCATCATCTGGTAGTAAGCTCTACCATGCAAAGGAGTATGTCCTTGTCGGGATTCTGAAAAATATCTTGTCCTGAAAGAATATTACAAGAGATTAACGTAAACCATGGTTGATACACAGACAGGTAAACATAAGTTAGACAGCAAGACAAAATAAACATAGGTAGACTTTATACCACTCTTTATAACCTGGGTCCACAGTGAAACCATACATATCCACTGAATCACACGTCGAGAGAGCAAACTCAAGAGCCTTGAGCCCAGTTCCTTTGGCTGCGGACCCAAATGAAGCGCCAAGCATTAAATACACAGCATTTTTTATTGGGACTTCCTGCAGAAAAAAAGAAAAATCCTTAGATGAGATTTGAAAGACCAGGAGCAGATTACAGATATTCAAAACCAAAGGAGCTAAGAGACAAATAAGTGCAATGCACAAACCCGAATCATCTTGTTCATAATATCATGAATTGTTGTTTTTACTAGCAGGACCTCTTGCTTTTTTTCTGCATAATTTCAAAGGATCAGAGAGAGTGGAGCATCTATTTGCAAGCATAAAAAATGTGATACACAAATGAATAAATATAGAGAAACAATGGTGATGATAATCATTATACAGTACCATCTAACTCCACGACTTTGTCAAGGGCTTTTGCTGACCCTCTGTTAAGAAGTCGGAATGTACTTTTCTCTCCCACATATTCTTTATAGTTCTGCAAGAGGGTAGAAGATATTCCCAAAAAAATGAAGCTACGTGAGACTACAGAGGGAACAAAAGACTTGGAAGTTTGATAAAATAACTCATCATTAACCTGAATTGGAGCACCATTTTCCCTTAGAACTGCATCGTAGGTATCTATCTCCTTTCCGAACTTTGTTTTTAAGAGATCACCAGAGTTACCAATAACAGCACATCGCCCAAACTGCCGGGGAAAATATGGTGGTGTTTCAGGAAGCACCAATGAAAGCTTCTCGATGCATAAAGATTTATTCTGGCAACGATTACTGCACCAGAATGCGAGTTTCATCAAGGCCAGAAAAGGAAGAAGACAACACAGCATTTTACACTACGTTTACAAACTACTTGGTATATCGTGACTGAGACCCATCAAAGAAGCAAGTTTTGAGCTGTTGTCTATGAAAACGGACAATAACAATAATAACTAATTATCATGCACTTCATCCTTCGTCTAATGTCAGTTAATACTTACAGTTGAATTCCTTTATTGATTCTGCGCCAAGCATAATCCTCCCATCCATTTGGTAAGGCATCAATGTATTCCTTGGTGAGTATGGTAGAGCTATTCCTAACCTAGTCAACCAACTCACCAATTAACCCATCACTATAAAGACTAAAACAAATTTTATGAACTGAAACTTTACAAAGACTTTCTGCAACACCTACTTGTTCCCATGTAGCTACTGCTTCGCACAGGTCAAACTCATATGAGAGTCCTTCAAGCTCTCCAGACTTTGGATCTTTCTGTTGTTGTACAAGATCCAACACATAGAGTACACATATTCAACAGACCATTTTTGCTAGAAACTAAGACAAGGACTATGACAAGCTTACCCATTTGGGGACAGTATCCTTGGGGAAGTTTATTGAAACTTTGCAATAATCACTACCCATAGCAGCTTGTAGTCCCAAACCATTAGCACTCTGCATCATTAGATCAGTTCTAATCAGCTAAGCTCCAGATTCAGAGATAAGATCTAACACAAGATAAGGAAGCTAACATAGATATCTAAATCGGGATTCACTTACTACACACTTCTGGAAACCACTCTGCAAGGACTGCAACGCCTCTAAATCTTCATTGCTAAGCCGATTAGACTCGTCTGAATCCACGGAAGCATCTTCTTTATGATTAATCATCTCCATACTTCAGAAAAATCACGAAATACAACACTACAAGAATCTACACTGAGACAACGATGGAGTGTGCTTACATAGATTTGAGACGCCGATAATGTAGATTAGAACGGCAGAGATTCCAGTTGTTAGAGCTAATAAGAATATCAAATGCAAGAGCTTCATGGATTCCCCAGTAAAAAGCTTCAGCTTCGAGATTTCAAAGAGACGATTGTGAATTTCTCGATCGTTCTAAGTAAATAAGTTCCGATCTACGCGAGTGAGTCTGAGAACAGCGTGTAGTCCTCACTCTGAAGATTAAGACGGCAAACAGTTTTTTCACTTTATAAAACGTTGCGTAGATAACTTAAGACAAGCCAGTGAACGACAAGATGTTCTAGTGAGTAACATGAAAACGACGTCGTTTTGACGGAACGTTATTTCAAATGAGAACTGGCCACGTGGCTATAAACCCCTTCGTTGTTCATCTTCAAAACCCTAACATTTCTGTAAAAATCTCTGCTACTTCAAATTCCATCAAAGCAGCTTGATAAGCTTGAAGCCCATGATGAAATGTTGAATCTTTTTGATTTCAATGGCGGTTTTAAGTCTGGGATTCTTCTCTTGCAGATCCCATTTTCCTGTTCTTCCCCTGTTTTACTGTTACTCCAAGGTAACTCTTTGTTATATATACACTTTGTATAATTCAATGTAATTCGTTTTCATATACTTAAAGTCTTATTCTTTTTTCTTTTATTTGTTGTTTCGCTTACAGGTTCAGTTCAACACAGTTGCTGTTTCTGCTGCAATTGAGACTGTGGATGACAAAGACAGTGATCATCCTGAGAAGGGTTCTGATAGGACGAGTAAATTACTTTAAACGAATTTTGATGGATTTGAATTGAAAATTGTGCTTCTTTTTATCCCCATGTTATCTATATTTTACTGAGTGATGGTAGTAGACTCGGACTCAATTCTCCAGTTTCAGTTATTATGTCAGACATTTGTAGAAAATATTCACTTTATAGTAGACTGCTATTTGCTTATCTTTTGGCTTGATTTGATGTTTTTGGTAATTTTGGGTAATTTGTTGAAAGGTAAAGCACCAGAGTGGAAGAAATTGAATTCAAAAGACCTTGGGATAACTAGTTCTATGATTTCAAAGCCCACACGACTAGTGCTAAATGGCCTTAAGAGTAAAGGTTGATTCTTTTTGATCATTTGATAGAATCTAACGATGAAATCTCAAACTTTTCTTTTACCTTTATCTCTTGCTGGTTTTGATAGTTGCCCATCACCTGTAGGATATGATGTTTATCTTGTGGGAGGCTGTGTACGGGATCTTATTTTGAAGCGGACGCCAAAAGACTTCGATATACTCACTTCTGCGGAACTTAGAGAGGTTGGTTTCCAATCTAAAAGTCATCTCTTGAACATCGTCTTTATCTGATTTCAATATGGATTTTTGTTTTTGTTGGTAATGTGTTTAGGTTGTTCGGACTTTCTCAAGATGTGAAATTGTTGGAAAAAGGTTTCCTATATGTCATGTGCACGTTGGGAATGATATGATAGAGGTTTGTTTTTTTTCTTGTCAATGATTTTCTTTTATATTACCAATATAAGCATAGCAATTGCAAATCAGAACAATTTGTTAGCTCTCTCTTAAAATTTCTTTGCATTCTTGTTGAGTAGGTTTCGAGTTTTAGCACCTCTGCACAAAATTCTCCAAGAAACATGAGAACGGGTTCTGGAAAATCCAGTGGCTCCTATGACGAAGACAGTATCCGTTTCAATAACTGCTTGCAGCGTGATTTCACAATTAATGGGTATCTTAATGATCCCTTGATGATATCATACACTCCTTTTTGGAGATCTCATAGTTTCTTTCATTACTTTACTTTACATGTTTATGTTGTTTTTCTTCAAATCTCAGGTTGATGTTTGATCCATATGCCAAAGTTGTATATGACTATCTTGGGGGAATAGAAGACATTAAAAAAGCTAAGGTGTGAACATATTCTGTTATACCTTTTTTCCTCAGGTAAATATTTACAAATACCTTTCTTCTCATTGTGGTTCTTTGCTCACAGATACGGACAGTGTTTCACGCTGGCACATCTTTTCAAGAGGACTGTGGTGAGTTTTCTGGAAAAATAATCATCTATGTAACATTTCCACCTAGGATCCTTTTACAAACATCCTTCAGAGTTAAGAGTCTCGAAAAACAAATTCTTGTATGAATACCATTAAGAGTCCAGATAATAGAAGCTTATCAGTGCTTACCGAATATAACATATCCAGCCAGGATTCTTCGTGGGACAAGAATTGCTGCGCGTTTAGGTTTTACAATCTCCAAGGAAACAGCTCATTTCTTAAAGAACCTTTCCTTCTTAGTACAAAGACTCCACAGGGTACTGCTTCACTCCACAAAGAAATATTTTCTCCACATTATTTTTACAACAGCATGTTCATGAACGATTCTGCGTTATACATGTAGGGAAGAATCTTGATGGAAATGAATTACATGTTAGCGTATGGATCAGCAGAAGCTTCTTTACGACTGTTGTGGAAATTTGGGATACTAGAAATTCTTTTACCAATTCAGGTGAGTGATTCCACTCATCTCTTGTTGTGTTGTGTCTTAAATGTATCTCTGCGTCTATCTAACTTCAATATCACAGGCAGCATATCTCGTTCACACTGGTTTCAAGAGACGCGACAAAAGGAGTAACATGCTTTTGGTAATATGCAGATGCACATTTGGCAATATTCGTCAGAGAGAAGTGTCTATTGCTTAAATTATCAAGTAAAGAACTTATAGTTAACATTTCGTCATGCAGTCTCTCTTCGGAAATTTGGATAAATTGTTGGCTCCTGATAGACCTTGCCACAGCAGCTTATGGTACGGTCTATTATGTTCCTGTAAACACAATCCTTATCATATACAGTGGATAATATTGTAACACGCAACAATATTGTGTTGGAAATTTGTAGGCTAACAATCTTGGCTCTTCACAAAGCACTTGCTGATCAACCTCGATATCCTTCAGTGGTAGCCGCGTTTACCCTTGCTGTCCACAATGGTGGAGATGTTCTCGAAGCTGTAAAAATCACCAGGAAAGTCACAAAGCTTCATAATAGAAGCTTCTTCGAGCTACTGGAGGCAGAGGAACTGGATTCCCAAACCTTGTTGGATGAAGTCATGAATTTTGATTCATCGATCAAAGAAGCCTTGGGACAGATGACGGATGGGAGGTTTATTTCTAAGGCTATGGCAGCGTACCCTCAGGCCCCATATTCTGATATGGTAAGCGCTCCTTTTTTCTTAGCTTTATATAACAAAGTTTCAGTGATACAAATGCAACTGCAGATTCTCCGGAGAATGCCTAGACTATAGGTTATGGAGCTTGATATATCTTTTGGCTGAAGATTAGAAACAAGATTTCCTCTGTTTAGCTGTTGTCCTAACTCTCTTCTATTCTTTTCTTTTTTTACAGGTTTTCATACCGTTGCAATTGTACCTAGATGCAAGACGAATATTCGAGTGTGTGAAAGAAAATAGGCAGAAGGGATTTGTGCCCAAGCAAGACAGTAAAATTGATTATACCTCATTATCTTCAGGCAACCTTCCAGAAGTTAGGCACGTATTTGCTAGGGTTGTTTTCGACACAGTCTTTCCGGTAAACCCATCTCAAGAGTTGTAGTCCCTCTTGGATTGGTTGGGTTTAAACTGAGATTTTCGATACCTTTCATATGTAGAATCATAATAGCTAGATGTAGTGAACACCGTTTTTATATGATTACAAGATAGAAACAAAATAAGAATAATAGTTGGGAGTTTTGTTTCCCTTTTACTTCTTTAATGTGACGGCTTTGTGAGGAATGTCCTTGTAATGTTATGCACTTACAGCTGGAGCAAGCGCAGTAGCTGGAGAAGCACCACTAGTGGTTGGCCTAAGAAAATGAGAAAATTATAGGTAATTGATGGAGTCTCTTTCATATGTTGGTTCTAAAAGTATTGATGAGAATATCTTTTAAGTGCAGGTGATGAAAACTTACAATCCAGCTAAAACTTTGACAGCATCATAGATAAACCCATTGCGCTCCAGTGAGTGTTCCTATCATGAAAATGCGAAGAGGAAGGCCACGGGTAAACATACTCACTGGTCTCTGGCATTTTCTTGACTGAGAGTATATGTCTTGCCTGCTGTCAGAATCGTTATGTTGGATCTGATTTCCTGGTTCTGTTTGGCATTCAGTTTTAGATTTGATTGGTGATATTCAGGAAATGCTCTGGCTACTTCTTCAGTTGTTAAAGAATATTCTTAGTCCTCAAGCACTAAAGAGGATACAGTGATTTGCCCTATATGCCAAGCAGATCCTGCAATTCCGTTTATTCTCTGCCTTGCCAGCACAGGTCTGGCATTTACCTCTATCTCCCCCAGATATCTAGTAAAACTAATTCTACTAGAAGCTAAGTAATTGGACATGATTGCTTATTTTGAGGATATGAAGTTAGACAAGAGAGCAGTGATATCATTGGCAATGGATGAAGAATTCAGAGTATGTGATATAGTTGTTACTTGCGCTTTAAAGAATGACTTGTGGCAGGTATTAAAAATAAAAACATTGTTTTCTTGTTGATTAGGTAATCTGGAATTATGGGGTCATGAAGATTGATTTTGGTTGTATTAAAAAAGACAAAGCGACCATTTAACAGAATAATAAAATTGGGCCGAAGCCCCTTTAAGGCCCACAAAGAAGAGCGAAAGCCCTTAACGAGCATATATACTAATACAGAGCACCTCTTTTCTCTCGCTCTCTTCCTCTTAAGGTTTATATATATAACTTATTTTGCTGCTCTCATCGTAACGAACTCTTCCCGGCAAATAAAACCGTCGCTGTTTTCATCTTCTCCATGGCCATATACGGCAAAGCTAATTTATTGGGTTAGTTTTGGGTGGCTCTCTCTTATCTAATGCTTTATAAATAAACATGTCTGAGCTACTCTATCTGATTTGAGAATCATGATTTTTCGAGGTTGTTGATTTTAGCTTTGTTATTTATTTATTTTTTGCTACTCTTCTTTTAGGTAAGCGAGATGCAAAAGATGATGATTTGGAGTCCGAACCGATTCTGAAGAAACATAAGGAATATTCCGATTTGGAGGAGAAGGTAACCTAAGATTCCGTGGAGAACAATTTTCTTTACCCTCTCTTCTAATGTAACATGATAATCTCCGGCAGATCAAAGGAAGGATCGAGTTGTTGGAGACAAATTCTGATCAGACTAATTTAATTCCAGAATTGGTTGAGGCAGTAGGAAAAAAGACGCTCTTAGCTCACTATCTCGCTCGCAGTATTCAAATATCAGATATCATCGATTTCTTTAAAGATGTTGCAAAAGTTGTTAGTGTACAAATTACTGTCAACCTCAAGGGTAAGCATAGGTCCTGTGGGTTTGTTGAGTTTGCTTCTGCTAACGAAGCCAAGAAGGTGAGACTAGTCATTTGAAAATTAGTGTCTACTTATTAATATACAAGTAGTACTTCTTTGAAAGTAGGATTGCTGATTAAATCTTTCCTACTGCAGGCTCAGGAAAACAAGAATGGTAAACATTTGTGCGGTAATAATATTACTCTTCTTCGCGTGGCTGACATTGCTCCCTACCCTCCACGACCCAAGTATATTTGATTTGTTTCTCTAACTTATTTGCTATGCCATTACACAAAATTAACGCTATTCTTTTTCTTGATAGGTATTGCATAGATCACAAGATTTGGTAAGTTTTTTTAACTATTTGCCTTTTGAGTTTTGTTATCAAGAGGACATTGGTTGAAGTTTTTTGGTATACATTAAGAGATCACAAGGTTTTTTGTTATTCCAGGTACGAAGACTACCTTCGACGAGAAGGAGAAGAAGAAGAAGAAGAAGAGGAGACACCTCCTGATTTTGTTGAGGTACCTCTTCTTATTATCTTCAAAATATGTCAGGCTCAGAAGAAACGCTTAGCTTTTAGTAACACAACTGTTGTCACAAAGTCGAAAGATGGGGATGAATTGTTATATGAGTCCACTTTTTGTTGTTATGCAATATCAGTCCTTTTTCTCCTTAAGAGTCGTCTAACACACTTGGCTGTTAAATCCAGATAGTTGCAGTAAGAAAAAAGACACTCTTTGTTACCAATCTCTCTCCCCAAACTAAAATGTTACATATGTAAGTAGCACCTTAAATTTCCACTTTCGTTCTCGGAGCAAGTTTTTCATGACTCATATTTTATCCTCCATTTTTACAGCATCAATTTCTTCAGTGATATTGGAGAAGTTGTTAGTGTTCGACTTATTGTAAACCCCGAGGGTAAGCATGTGGGCTATAGCTTTGTTGAGTTTGCTTCTGCTGACGAAGCAAAGAAGGTGAGACTAGTTTTGTAGTAATGATGACGAAAGTATTAAAGTAATTTGAAAAGTAGTGTCTACTTATGATGAAAATTATACAAGTAGTTATTTGAAAGTTCGATTGCTGATTAAATCTTAAATACTGTAGGCGCTGGAAAATAAGAATGGTGAATATTTGCACGATCATAAGATTTTTCTTGATGTGGCTAAGACAGCTCCATACACTCCACGACCCAAGTAAATTGACTTTCCATGTTATTGTGATTTGTTTATGTAACTTACTGCTTGAGTTTTGATGCCATTACAGTAGACTAACGCTATTATTTTGGTTAATTAGGTACAACCTTGTAGAGAAGCTTTGGTAATGGATTTAACTATTTGCTCTTGAGTATGTTATCAAGAGTACATTGGGTGAAGTTTTTGGTGTACTTCGAGAGATCACAAGGGCTTTTGATATTCCAGGTACGAAGACTACCTTCTACGAGAAAGCCGTCTGATAGAAGAAGATGATACATTAGAAGGACTTGATGAAACTCAGAATTTCGTTGAGGTACGTGTTCTTATTATCTTCAAAATATGTCAGGCTCAGAATAAACGCTTGGCGTTTAATAACAGAACTATTGCCACAAAGTCGAAAGATGACTAACTTATGATGGGGAGAAATCTTTAGATGAGGCTACTTTTTGTTGTTATGAAGTTTAAGTTCTTTTCTCCTTAGAGTCGTGCTAACACACTTGGCTGTTAAATTCAGGCAGTTGCGGTAAGAAAAAAGACGCTCTGTGTTTCCGGTTTCTCTCACAAAACTAAAATATCAGATATGTAAGTAGCGCCTTTAGTTTCCTCTTTAGATCTTGGAGCAAGTTTTTCATGACCAATATTTTACCCTCCATTTTTACAGCATCAATTTCTTCAAAGATGTTGCAAAAGTTGTTCATGTTCGACTTGGTGTAAACCGCAAGGGCAAGCAACTTGGCTATGGCTTTGTTGAGTTTGCTTCTGCTAACGAAGCAGAGAAGGTCAGAGTAGTTTATAATGATGAAATGTATTTAAGTAGTCATTTGAAAAGTAGTTATTTTAAAGTACGATTGCTGATGAAATCTTTTATACTAGGCTCTGGAAAAGAATGGTGAATATTTGCACAAACGCGAGATTTATCTTGATGTGGCTAAGGCAGATCCTCCATACTCTTCTCAACAACCCAAGTAAATTGATTTCCATGTTATGGAGATTTGCTTCTGCAACACTGGTTGTAACTTATTGCTAGAGTTTTGATGGCATTACAGAAGACTAATGATATTATTTTTGTTAATTAGGTATTGCATAGATCACAAGGTTTGGTACGAAGACTACCTTCGACGAGAAAGTCTTCTGATAGAAGAAGATGAGGCAGTGGAAGGACTTGATGAAACTCCCAATTTTGTTGAGGTACCTCTTGTTATTATCTTGATATATGTCTTGCTTAGAGGAAACGCTTAAGCGTGTAATAACAGAACTGTTGCCAGAAAGTCGAAAGATGGACTTATTCTGGGGATGAATCTACTTTTTGTTAACATGCAATTTAAGTCATTTTCTCCTTAGAGTGGTGCTAACACACTTGGCTGTTAAATTCAGGAAGTTGCCGTAAGAAAAAAGACGCTTTTCATTGCCAATCTCTCTTTCAAAACTAAAATATCAGATATGTAAGTAGCACCTTTAATTTCCTCTTTCGTTCTTCGAGCAAGTTTTTCAGACTGATATTTTATCCTCCATTTCTACAGCATCAATTTCTTCAAAGATGTTGGAGAAGTTTTTCGTGTTAGACTTATTGTAAACCACATGGGTGAGCATGTGGGCTGTGGCTTTGTTGAGTTTGCTTCTGCTAACGAAGCACAAAAGGTGAGAATGATGAAAAGTAGGGTATACTTATGATGTCAAATTTACAAGTAGTTATTTGAAAGCACCATTGCTGATCAAATCTTTGTACTGTAGGCGCTGGAAAAAAAGAATGGAGGAAGATTGCACTTTCTTTGTATTGTTCTTGACGTGGCTGAGATAGCTCCATACCCTCTCCGACCCAAGTAAATTGATTTTCCATGTTATGGAGATTTGTTTCTCTAACTTATTGTTAGCGTTTTGGTGTCATTGTACAAGTTTAATGCTATTATTTTTGCTAATTAGGTACACCCTTGCAGAGAAGTTTTGGTAAGTTTTTTAACTATTTGCCTTTTGAGTTTTGTTATCAAGAGCACATTGGTTGAAGTTTTTGGTATACATGGAGAGATCACAAGTGTTTTTTGGTTATTCAAGGTATGAAGACTACCTTGGACGAGAAAGCCTTGTGATAGAAGAAGATGATTTGGAGACCAAACCGAATAAGAAAATGAAGCTCTTTGGTGTTCATAAGAAGGAAATCTTCCGCGTATCTTGCGGTAAGAAGACTACCTTCTCTGACGACAATTGATAGAAGAAGATGAAGCGCTTTGGTGTTTTTTGCTTGTGATACAATGCAACTTTTTTTGTTACTTCGGTTTTCAGAAAATGTTCAATAAATCGTTAAGCGTCCAGTAGAAGCCTAGCTCCTAGATCAATTAATCGGGGCATGGGCATAGGCATTAGAAAATTATTTACTTTTTTTTTATCATTTTCATAATTTTTATAAGAAAACATAATGTATAAAATATGGAATGCTACAAAGTTACACAAATCTTTCCATTGTCCATCTCAAGAGTTGTAGTCCCTCTTGGATTGGTTCTGTTGAAACTGAAACATAACAAGATTAATAATTGGGATTTCTGTTTCCCTTTGATTGCTTTAATGTGACGGCTATGCGAGGAATGTTTTTGTAATTTTATGCACTTACAGATGAAGCAAGCGTTGTAGCTGGAGAAGCACCACCAGTGGTTGGCCTAAGAAAATTATAGGTAATTGATGAGTGTCTTTCATATTGATGAGAATATCTTTTAAGTACAGGGTGATGAGAACTTACAATCCAGCTAAAACTTTGACAGCATCATAGATAACCCATTGCGCTCCAGTGAGTGTTCCTATCATGAAAATGCGAAGAGGAAGGCCGCGGGTAAACATACCCCATAATCCTAGCCTCTTTACCGCCTGTAGCACATGAAAGAATCAAATTCAGTCACTGTGTGTGTCCACTAGTTTGATGTTCTGGTGAAGAGTATGGAGTTTTTTACTTACATCAGCAACGGTTGCTCCTTTAGAGTTATTGAGGAAAGAGACTAAGTTATCTGCAGGATGTGAGATGACGGCGCAGAAAATTCCAGCAATGTATCCACCTGCAAAGCTAACACCGAGCTGAACTGGCTTTGAGCACTCTTCTTTTGGGGTAGGCATCACTTTCTTGTATATGAGCTCCACAGTGTTTTCAAAAGTAGCAAATTTCATCATCGTATCTGCAAAACCTCAAATTTTCTTTTACTGATATCATCATCTTAAATTAATGACTCTACATTTTCTTGAGTCTAGAGACTTACATGGAATCTGGCGTCCCCAGAGAGGAACAAGGCCTTTGTATAACCCGCGGAAGCCTTCGGATTTGATGATCTTTGGTAAACCATCAGATAAACCGCGGGCGAAACCAGGCTGAGTCTGGACCCTGACTTTGACAGCTTCCATTGGACAAAGAGCCACATCAGCGACGATTTCTGCAGAAGCCGAGCCAGCGAGGTAAATCAAGGTCTTGTATTTGGCTGCGTATTCTGGTCCAACAATGTCTGAGTAGTATTTCTTGGAATATTCATAGAGACCGTATTTGAAAGCTCCCTGGGCACTGTACCCGAGAAGTGTTGGTGACCAGCCTCTGGTGAAACCCTTGAGCCCTTGTTCTTTGATTGTTGTCTTGAAAGCAGAAGTTATGTTCTTGTACTTGAGTGGATCAATCTGCAATAACAAGAGAACTGAGTGTCTTTTTTTTTTTTTTATCAAATCAAACTCAGATTCTCTCTGAGTGTTATATCCAAGATCATGCATTAGATTGAAAAGTCTTGGACGGCGTTGAAGAGTCGATGCCGTGTAAAACAAGAAACTCAAAAGTTGACAGCAGGTGGAAAGTATAACAACAAAGTGGAATTACCAAAACTTTTACTAAATGGAATAATTCATTTGACAAAAGTATATAAATTCAGATTAGTAAACCACAGAACAATAATCCACTATTTCAAGAATGAATGGAGCAAAATTATTCATTGATATCATCAATTAATCTCTATTCCATTAAACTATTTACCATTCAAATCCAAAGTAAACAAACAAACAAACAAAAAAATTGTTATTCGCTGTTTTTTTATTCCGCTAATAATTTATATATTCCAAGTTAATTTGTCTCATCAAATATTATACGTAGCTTTCGAAGAAGCTTAAAAAATGTTAACTACAAATAGTAGTTGTAGTTGGTTTGGAACTTGACCTGCATGTTGCATTTGATGACATCGAGAGGCGTAATCGCCGTGTGTGTGATACCGCAGCACAACATCCCGGCGACCGTACACGCCGCGAAGTATGCTGGCGAGTACATTTCCACTTTTTCGTTCGGCGTCGCGATGGCGAAACTGGAACCGTTAGATGAGGCTGAAGAAGTCGGCCGTGATTTAACATGAGTCATGGTCGTGGAAGGCTCCGGCGACTGAAACAGACGATGATGATCGGACGAGTAGAGGAAACTCGGGATCAGCGATCTGCTTGAGTCAGACATTTCCAAGGAGAAGAAGAGAAAATTCAAATTCTTCTGTTGGTTTTTGACTTTTCTCTTTGGAAGAAAAAAAGATCTCAGGTTTGTCTTTTGGTGGAATCGAATTTGACGTTTTTATAGGTGCTGAACTTTTGAAATGTCATATTTACCCCCATCACTATTTGCATCTTTTACCATTGACTGATGACGGCGATAAAAACAGTCAAATATTGATTTGTCACGACTCTTTACGTGTCAACGAGGGTTTGCATACCGAATAAACCACTGAAAAGAAACATATATAATAATAACACTAACATTATTCCATTACCCATTTCGAACTTGTTATCTCTCCATACATGAACTTGTTATCTCTCCATACATGAACTTGTTTACCATTACCCCATTACCACTTTCGAACCTTGAGTCAGCACTTTGCTAAGAGAAAACTTATCCAGGCATGGCTAGAACTTCATTTGTTGCAGCTTCAAGAAGATTAGACTTCATCTGTTAATTACCTTTGTGGATTCTTGTCAAGAGGGATTGAGGGTTTTGAATTATTAATTCTCCATATATATATTTAAGTCTTTAATACCAAATCAACAACCTTGGATGGATAAGCAACCTGGATAATGACACTCCACACCACGAATATTCATGTAATTAATATGTGTATATAACACCAAGAAAATATATATAAAGTTTCTCTTAGAAGAGAAACAAATCTCTTTATAAACTGTATTAAAATATCACATATAGTATGATTTAGAGATACAACATAAACAGTTGTCTATTTTTGTATTTAAATGGTAAGCAGATTAAGTGCCTAAGTGGAAAGGATTAAAGATTTTGTTAACTACAATCTTATTATTATCAGGAAAAAATAAATAAAAACTATAATCGTATCATCTCTCACTTGCCTTTGAAAGCTCGCATGTGTTTCTCTTCTCCGTATCAAACGCTGTCGTTTTGACGTCACTATTATTTCAACACTTTTCTCCAAATCTCACCGAACGTTTTTTTTTTCCCTTCCGTTTTCGCGAGAAAATTTAGCTTTTTCCCGAGAAAATCCATTTTCTCTGGTTCATCTTCTTTTTGCTCGCTTAAATACAGCGATTGCATCCAAGCTCCAGCTAATTAGTAACTTCACGAACACTCTGATGGATCGGAGGAGGGCAGGTAGCCCAGTGTATGGTCGCCAGTGGAGCGAATCATCGAACAGTACGGAAACCACATCGCCGGCGATGTCTCCTGCTCACCGGAAGCAGCTCGGTGGTATCGGAGGTTTCTCCACCGTCAAACGGACTCAGAACGTAGCTGCCAAAGCGGCGGCACAACGATTGGCTAAGGTTATGGCCTTGCAGAACAAAGACAACGGAGACGAAGATGATGAAGATGAAGATGAAGATCTAAGTCTCAGATTCGCATCTCCTTCTTTGAAACCTGCTCGTCATGCACCTTCTTCGCTTTCCTCTACTGGAAGTAATAGCAGCAACGGAAACAGTAATTTGCCGGCTGTTTCTTTCGCTCCCCGAACTAGATCGCCGTCTCCTGCGGTGAATTCCGTCTTGAAGCTTATAGAATTAGCTCAGATCAGCTTGATTTGATTGTAGCTGTGGTGAATTTGGTTCTTTAGGGCTAATTGGTCTCTCTTTTTTTTTTTATGCTTTGATTAGTTAGGCAGGAACTTCGCCGAGCAAGTGCCTTCAGTGCGTTCTGCTTCAGCCGGAAGGCCGTCAATGTCTGCTAGATCCACGACTCCGACTCCGATTCCTAATCTAATGCCGCCTAGTAGGGTGTCGGTGAAAACTCCGGTTTCTATTCCTCCACTTGATCCTCCAACTAGGAGCAGAGATAAAAGGTGAAAACATTTTTGCTTACTCATTTTGAAGTTCTTAAGACTGTGCTTCTTATTATAGTTCTCAAATATTGGTAGTCAATTGAACGTGTGGCTTAGTGGAATATGTCAAAACCAGTGTGGTTAGTCTTTGGAGTTGGTGTATAATATGTTTTTTCCTTGACTAAATATCTGTCCTCAAAGCCTAATAATAGAGATTGCTATAAAGTCATGAGAAATGGGAAGTGAATGGGTTCTTTGCTCAAATAGATGGTGTATAATATGTTTTTTCATTGACTAAATTATATGTCCTCGAAGCCTAATAATAAAGCTTGCTATAAAGTCATGAGAAATGGGAAGTGAATGGGTTCTTTGCTCAAATAGATGGTTTTCCCTGCTGGTTTTGGTTGTGCTGCTTGCGTCTGATTTTCGAATATTTGATGTTTTTAGGTTTTTTGCTGATGTACCATCCGTAAATTCAAAAGAAAAGGGTGATCAGCGGGAAGCTTCAGCTCTTCGTGATGAAGTATGTGATTGTTTATTTTGAGCCTTTGCGGTATCTGGTCAATCTAGTTACATATGAGTCAGAAGAGTTGACTTGAGGCTGATTCATTTTTAAATGCAGCTGGATATGCTACAAGAGGAGAATGAGAATGTACTGGAGAAGGTATGATCTCTGCGATTGAATTTTATATTATATAATAAAGCTTTTACTTCTGTTGCATAACATTTATTCTTGATTACAGCTTCGTCGTGCGGAAGAAAAAAGGGTGGAAGCAGAAGCTAGGGCTAAGGAGCTCGAGAAACAGGTTTTTGAACTAGTTGTCTTGAGTAGTCCATTTTTCACTTATGTTGCGTCTTGAAATTCTCACGGAAAAAAATACTCCACTTGTTTAAATCTCTTTGTATATCTTGTTGTTATCTTTTTGAAGCAGCCTCCCACCTCGTTGTTTTTGCTGCATCCTTAGATTTGTTTTAAGGAGAAAATGTAAATATGAACCATTTTGTGTAGCAGATGCAGATTTATTCTTGTCTATTTAAATTTACTTTAAAATCATATATTTCTAAGTATTGGCATCTGTTCAAGGTTTCATTTGTTTTTATTTTTGGTTCCTAAAGGTTGCCTCTCTTGGAGAAGGAGTGTCCCTGGAGGCGAAATTGTTAAGCAGGTGGGAGCTTGTGCTTTATTTAGCTTCTCTTTTGTTCTTTTCTTTCCCAGAAAATAAGGTGGTAGTTTTGATCGCTCATTTTAAATTTTTCTTTCTATAGGAAAGAAGCAGCATTGCGTCAAAGAGAGGTTAGTACCCTCAATCCATTTTGCTGCTCAGCTGTAGTCTTCTTTTAATCGAGTTTCTTTTTCCACCATTATGTAAAACATACAATTTAAGCTGTGCAGAAAATTTGTACCTGTTACAGGCTGCTCTAAATGCTGCTAAACAGAAAAAGAGTGGAAAGGATGAAGAAATTGTTTCCCTACGTTCGGAACTTGAGGTAAGGTTCACTGATGTAGTGTTTTCCATGAGATGTACCACTTTTATTTGCATGATGAAACCATGTCTTATTTTTCTCTTCTATATTTAGAACTTGAAAGACGAGGCTACAACTGCTGCAGAACGGCTTCAAGAAGCAGAGTCTGAAGCAAAGTCTCTTCGCACAATGACTCAAAGGATGATTTTAACACAGGACGAAATGGTTTGTCAATAAATCTTGGCTCTCGTAATCTACCAATAATTTATAAGGCTCTGAGTTTATGAATGATTGAATTATCTAGGAAGAAGTAGTTCTGAAGAGATGCTGGCTTGCTCGGTATTGGGGCTTGGCTGTGCAACATGGTAGGTGATTCATCCATTCTTAAGAAAAAGAATTTATATTCTGAACCAAAGAAAATATTATCATGATACACTTTTTATTTTCCTTCAACATGGCATATAATTGTGGTAGGTATACATCAAATTTACAGATGCTTTTCCTATGGTGTGCTTCTATAGGCATTTGTGCGGATATAGCACCATCCAGGCATGAGCATTGGTCAGCGTTGGCTCCTCTTCCATTTGAGCTCGTCACCTCTGCAGCACAGAAGGCGAAGGAGTTATCCTGGGATAAAGGCTCGTCTATTGTCTGCTATAGTTTAAAATGTTAAAACAAAATTCCTTGCTTGCTGTTGTTGTAAATTTTTTTATTTATCAGCATATGAAATAATGCAGGTGGGAATGATCGGAGTAAGGCCGCTAGAGATTTGAGTGATCTAACTGGAGAAGGAAATATTGAAAGTATGCTTTCAGTTGAGATGGGTTTGAGAGAGCTAGCATCATTAAAGGTATCCATAATTCTTTCTGAGTTGCCTCTAAGTGTTTTCACCTAGAGATCTCCAAGGCTACGTTTTTAAATAATCTTCTCTCTTTTGAAATTCAGGTGGAGGATGCTGTTGTGCTTGTATTCTCCCAGCAGAGAAAGTTGAGTTTGGTTCGTCAAACTGTTTCTGGTATGTAATGTATTTACTTGCTATAAAACCAGATAATGCACAATGACAAATATATCCTTTTTGTTTTTTGTCGCTTCTATTCTTAAAAGTTTAAACGGTGGATGAGTAATCTGTTTTCTGTTTAGATACTTAACACTTTTAAGCTCTTTATAAGAAGGCATAACTTAAAGCAAAGCTTTTAACTTTTGTTTCTCTTTATCTTACAGACTCCAAAGGTCATGGAGAATCCAGATTTATCGATGCATATGGTAAGGGAAAAGTCTCTCTAATCCTAAGATAGAGGTCTTTCTGTTGTCTTTATTTTCCACCGTTATGTAGAGGTTCTTGGGGTCGAACCCTCAACACCTTAAATGTTGTGGAATGGCTGCACTAAGTATAGCCACAACTTTAACCAAAAAAAAAGAAAAAGAAAGAGTCTAGCCACATCCGCTAGGTCTTTGACATAGTGCATGAGTTGTGACTTAGTAGAGTAAATAGTTGCATCGATGTCCCCTACCTGAAAGGATTTTCTGTGGTTTAAAATTTTACCTTTTCCCTACACATAAAATCATCTTATGTAGACGTAATCAACCATATCATGAAATCTTTTACAATGTTCTCTTGTTGTTTCATATGCAGAACTGGGTGAAGCGGAACAAGAAGATGTTGCCTTTAAGCAGGTACTTTAACACTTGCACTCAGCATGATATACACTTTCCAGCTAAAAGCCTAAATCCTCCATCGAGTGACTTGATTTAGAGACAACCACACATTATCAATGTTGTATATCATCATCACATAGAAAGATAATATCAGTTGGAACGTGTCTGGATCTATGTGCTGGATGACTGAACTTATTAGTCCAAACAATGTAGAACCTTTACTTTATCAGTTTAAATCAAGATATCGTCTTGATTCCTACTATTCCATAATGCAGGCATGGCTGATGTACTTTTGGGGAAGAGCTAAGTTGCACGGTGTGGAAGATGACATCGCAGAGGAACGTGTCCAGTTATGGATCAGCCGTAGCAGTGGGAAATTTCAGACGACTTCTCATGATGCCTTGGATGGTAAAACCGGACTTAGCCATTTCTTTTAAATATCTGATTCTTTTGCTTAAAAGTTTTAGTGAGGAGTAGATTTATAATGATGATAAACTAAAGTTTCCCATTTTACTTGTCGTCAGTGGAAAGAGGGCTGATAGAGCTAAGGAAACTGGGAATAGAGCAACAGTTGTGGGAAGCTTCTCGAAGAGAAATCGATCAGCTTCCATCGCCTACTTCTTCGAATCACGATCTCGATGCTGATTCATAGTAAAGTCTCTTCCTCTCTTATAATCTGTTGTTTCTTCCTCTCTTTGGTAGAAGAAATTTTCGTTTTGTATATTTCTCTTCATTGTAATTTTCACGAAGAATCTGTGTGCCAATTTTTTTTTTCTATTCCCTTTTCACACTCGAGTGTGTAAGCTTTGGTATTCTTATTTTTGCAATCAGGTCCAAAAATTTTGGGAGAACAAGTTAAAAAAAAAAAACACTGATCACAAAAAATTCAGTTTTATTGTTGCTGTTTTATAACCCGGTCTAAGTCTTACGAATAATATTATGACAGAAGAAAACTATTTTTGGAGGATGGGATGGGATAGAAGAACTGGATCACGTTAATCTGTGATTAGATCTCAGTTTTAACACTCATGACTCGATTCAAATCTAACCAAAGTCAGCTGCTTCTTTTTTTGTGGGAAATCCTCTATGGTTCCCGAACAATCAATATCCAGAAACAAAGAGAATAAAATACAAATACGAATCGAAGGAGACTCAATTCAATAACACTTAGAAAAAATAATCTCTAAAAAAACCCTTGTTTCCTTCTACAATATTGGAATTGGATCTTCGATGGCTTCTTCAGCAGCAAAACCACCAGCACGTCCACTGTTGTTACCACTCAACACAACCACACTTCCTTCCGCATCAACATCAACAATCACAGAATCTCCTTCTTTAATGTCCCTTGAAAGCATCTTCTCCGCCATACTATCCTCCAAAAGCCTCATAATCGCACGTCTAAGCGGCCTCGCACCATAACTTGGATCGAATCCTTCATCCACCACTCTCTCTTTGAACCTCTCAGTCACCTGAAGCTCAATCTCTTTGTCCTCAAGTCTCGCCACCACTTCTTTCAGCATTATATCAGCAATCTCCTTGACTTCCAGCTTTGTCAACTGTCTGAAAACAATCATCTCATCTAACCTGTTCAAGAACTCCGGTCTGAAATATTGTTTTAGTTCCTCAGTCACTAAGCTCTTGATTCTGTTGTAACTGCTGTCTTTCTCGTCATGGTCGAGATCAAACCCGATTCTTCTACCACCTTTTTCGATCACGCTGCTTCCTACATTTGAAGTCATGATAAGAAGCGTGTTCTTGAAATCGACAGTTCTTCCTTTGCTATCAGTTAGTCTACCGTCTTCTAGGATCTGAAGCATCATGTTGAAAACATCAGGATGTGCTTTCTCAATTTCGTCAAAGAGAACAAGTGTGTACGGCCTGCGTCGAACCGCCTCCGTTAACTGACCTCCTTCTGTGTATCCTACGTAACCAGGAGGTGAACCAATGAGTTTTGAAACAGTGTGTCGTTCCATGAATTCACTCATGTCGAGACGTATCATTGCTTCTTCTGAACCGAAGTAGTAAGCAGCCAAGGCCTTAGCAAGCTCTGATTTCCCAACACCAGTTGGACCAGAGAAGATGAAACTGGCGATAGGACGATTTGGGTTTTTGAGCCCAACACGGGCACGGCGGATAGCCCGACTGATTGCTTTAACGGCTTCATCTTGGCCAATGACTCTTGTGTGAAGGGTCTGCTCCATTTGGAGAAGACGGCTAGATTCATCAGACGAGACTTTCTCTACCGGGATTCCTGTCCAGGTGGCGACAATGTGTTGGATATCGGATTCCGTGACAGTAGGTCCTCCTTCCTCAGCTTCATTCTCGGCTTTGGCCACTTCTTTGCCTAGAGCTAAAACATTAGCTATCTCAGCCCTGAGCTCTATTTCACGGTCACGATGAGAACCAGCCTGTCGAAAGAATAACTCAGGAAATGTAAATATTAATCTTGGATGTATAGAAAGTAAGAAACACTTGAAATCGATACCATCTCGAAGTCTTGGCCTCGCACAGCTTCATTCTTCTCTTTGGTGATTTGCCTGAGTTGCTTTTCAAGCTCTCTAGCTTCCTCAGGAACCTAAGCAAACGAAACTTTCTCTGAATACGCTCAAGTAGCTATAAACACACAGATTTCTTTGGTAATCGAGATACATGCAAATATCAACCTGAGCATGGCGTAGTCGAACCCGAGACCCAGCTTCATCAATCAAGTCAATCGCTTTATCGGGAAGAAACCGATCACTGTTCATTCAAGAGAAGAAGCTGGGTTGAGATAATGCTGGAATTTGTCTAAAGACAATGTTCTGTGTTGGTGAAAGACTGAAAATAAATGAAAACAAAAACCTGATGTACTGATGTGACAATTGTGCAGCAGCAACCAAGGCTTCATCAGTGTACCGAAGTTTGTGGTGGATCTCATAGCGCTCACGTAGACCGTGCAAGATCTGTATAGCTTCTTCTACAGTTGGTTCAGGTACCTTCACAGGCTGGAACCGTCTCTCCAATGCAGGATCTTTCTCAATGTGCTTCCTGTACTCATCCAATGTTGTTGCACCAATACACTACAAAAAAAAACATTTCGTAGAACTTGAGTTTACGGTTCTAATTGATATTTTGACATCATTAGACTGATAAAAAGAATTGAGAAAATTTACCTGCAATTCACCTCTTGCTAGAGCTGGCTTTAAGATGTTAGCAGCATCGATCGCACCTTCAGCGGCTCCTGCACCGATGAGCGTGTGCACTTCATCAATAAACAGAATTATCTCATCACTTTGCCTGATTTCCTCCATAAGCTTCTTCAATCTTTCCTCGAATTCTCCACGGTATTTCGTTCCAGCCACTAGAAGACCCATATCAAGGGTTATAACCTGAGAAAAAAAGTAAAAAGTAAATATATATACATATTTATGCACTCTAACTAAGCCTCTGAAGTTCATTGAAAATGATCCAACGGGAGAATATTTACCGTCTTCCCCTCGATTGTTTCAGGAACATCACCACTAGCAATTCGCTGTGCAAGTCCTTCCGCTATTGCTGTCTTACCAACTCCAGGTTCTCCAATAAGACACGGGTTGTTCTTGGTTCTTCGAGCCAAGATCTGAACCACTCGTTCGATCTGTGGCTGCCTTCCAACAACCGGATCCAGTTTACCCTGCCATAGAAAGAGAAAAACCAAATTTTAGCAGAAACCTTCAAGCATTAACATGACAGTCTCCTTAAAATGAGTACGCATTTTTAGTACCTCCTCTGCTAGTTTAGTTAAGTTAGTCCCATACTCTTCTAGTGTTGGCATTTTGCTGTTTCCGCTGCTTCCCCCACCAACGCTTGCTGTGACTTCATTGTTTTCCCCGACCATACGTATAACCTGAAAATGATATATGTATTTCAAAATTTAATAACGAAATGGTTTACTAAGACATAACATTAGTCTTAGAATCCAGATTTGGTGCATTTACCTGTGTCCGAATATTACTAGGATCTGCACCCAAATTCTCCAAGACACGAGCAGCCACACCCTCCCCTTCACGAAGTAGACCAAGCAAAAGGTGCTCTGAACCAATGTAGTTATGCCCTAGATTTCAAAATAGCAAAACATTTCCCAAATGGAGAAGAATTAGTTAGCTTCATCATACAATAAAGCTTCTGTATTGTACAACACATAACAAGCTCCAAGGCTGAATATTCATAAATAGAAACAGATCCATACCAAGTTGTCGAGCTTCCTCTAGTGACAACTCCAGCACCCGCTTTGCTCGAGGAGTAAATGGAATCTCCACTGCCACAAATCCACTGCCTCTCCCAATTATCTTTTCCACTTCCACGCGTGAATCTTTAAGATTGATCCCCATGGATTTAAGAACCTTGGCAGCAATCCCAGTCCCTTCTCCAATTAGACCCAACAGTATTTGCTCAGTCCCAACAAAGTTATGGCCAAGCCTCCGAGCTTCCTCTTGAGACAGCATTATGACCTTAATTGCTTTCTCGGTAAAACGCTCAAACATTGCTTTGGGTACACATCGGCTAGCTTTTTCTCTCCGAGATGATATTGCACGTTTAAACTTAACAAGGAAACCTGGACTAGGCCTTGCCATATAATCTAATGCATTGGGGGCCCTTAACCCTGAGAAGCTCTGAATTTTCAGAACAGGTGCTTGTAAACTGCACATCATCTTCACACACCCTCTTGGTTTTCTGTATTCTTTGGCCTGAATTCTCAGAACAGGTGCTTGTAAACTGCACATCATCTTCACACACCCTCTTGGTTTTCTGTATTCTTTGGCCTGAATTCTCAGACCAGGTGCTTGAAAATTGCACATCATCTTCACACACCCTCTTGGTTTTATGTATTCTTTGGCCTGCACATGCCTTCCGGGACCAAATAAAGGAGCTGTAAACAAAGCTACCGACCAAGCCATGATGCAGAGTTGGAGGCTGCATTGGATAATTGTAAAACATTAGTTCTAGCACAATATTGGCTTAAACCAAAATACAATAAAACATAGAGATGAAGTTTGGCCTTTTATTCAGTGCAAAGATAATTAGAAAACACAAACATCATACAAAGACAAAGCTACACTCAATCGGAAAACTATGTGCAGTAAGCGTAACAAATGCCAAACACGGATACTTAGATACTGTCTAACCAAAACAGAGAACGAGAAAAGACACCAACTTTGGGAAGTGTTACCACAACTCTAAAAGACAGAAATACTTTAAGCTGATTCTCTTAAACACGTTTACAGAAAGAGCTCAGACACAAAAATACACAATTTGAATTCACCAACTAAGAGCAGAACAGAGTCACAAAGCTTTCTTATCTCCAAACTCCAAAGCAACGAAAATGATAAAAGTCTATTTCACTACAAAGCAAACAAGTACTCATCTTTGAACAAATCGATACGCGAATACACAACCCTAATCTCAAAGTAATCATTTTTGCAAATCAATACAACCAAATGAGAAGTACCCAGATTCTGCAAACTCAAAATGAAACCACCAAAAGAAACGAAACCAAACCCCATGAGAAATAGAAAGAAAAAAACTCAACCTTTAAAAAGCTCACACAACAGAGAAACAGAAACCTAAAAGCTTCTTCAATGAAACAAATTTTAAAAACAGACTGAGAAAGAGAGTGAGTGTAGCAAAGAAAAGGGTTTTTACAGTCGACGCCTTTGGATAGGGAAGTTCGAGAAAGCGAGAGACTCCTTTTAATGGTCGGCCCGTCTGGGGATAGAGATAGGAAAGTGAAGAAGATACAAAGAGATTTCACTAATCTCTCTCTCTTTTTATCTCTCTCGCATCGCCGCCCTTCATAGATTAAACACACTCACCTACCAAAGTCGCATATCAGCCGTTAGATTCTACAAAAGTCTTTTACACCGTCGGATTTAACTACTTTCTAATGAGTCAACCTCAATAGGAATCTTGGTCCCAAAGATAAGGGTTTGTGTTGAGTTTGAGACCGGTTTTGTCCGAATACTCCGTCAAACCAAAACCGAACCGATTTATCATATTTTTTCATATATCATCTACTTTCATTGGCTAGAGAGAGACAGAGAGACAGAGAGACAGAGATTGTAACGGTGTCGTCGTCGCCAAACGATTTGCCTCTTCCTAAAGGTTCTTGATTTCTCAGTGCCCTTTTGCGTGTTTAAGCTTCTTGTTTCTGATCTATTTCATTTCTGTGTTTCGTTTGATTCTTTCTTCGATTGTGAATTGAGAAAATGGCGATTCGAGATCTATCTATACGTTTCTTAGTTCGACTGATTTGGGAATGTCAAGAGATCAGATCGATTTTTTGGTAGAGTCTTAGGGGTTTACGGTCTTAGCCCTCTAGGTTTTCGAAATTCGATTCCTTTACATCAGATTTCGCTTAATTCTATGTCCTACTGAGTTTTACGATCTTTTTAGTCCTCTGGTTTGTCAAATTCTCTGTCTTTTCATCTACTTCTGAGTTTTAATGGTTGATCTTCAATTTCCTGGCCACAATTTTTGAATTTGAGACTCTTGACTTGTCTTGCATAATAGATTGGTTTTATGTTTGATTTCAATTCCTTGCTGAACTAGATTAACTTTCTGATACGGAAGTTTTCCTTTTAAGGTTTGGTGTTTCCTTTTTCTGATAAATAGGCATGAAGATCGATTGTGATACTCATGTAAGAATATAAGAGAGCTTTGGTGGTTATATAGGTTTTACCTGAGGGAAGAAAAGTCTTTCTCTTTGGGACTTAAACTCTGTTTTCTTAACTCCAACATTATCATAGTTGGGTTCTGTTTGTGAGATTCATTCTGTTTGGTTCGTTTCTCTTATAGCAGTAATAAAAACTCATTGATTGAAAGCTTCAATCTTGTGATAGTATCATGGAAGTTGTGCTTGAGAAATACTTGGATTCTTGTGAAGAATAAGAACAGTTGATTAACGTTCTTAATGCTTGTTTAGGGCACAGAAAGAATGGAAGAAGAATATGAGAGTCGTCGAGTGAGGAGATGGGAAGAGTTGGACACTGACATCTTAGTTAGAATTTTCCAGAAGTTTAGCGTCTTTGAGTTGACTTCAGGACTAGCTCATGTTTGTAGAGGATGGAGAGCTGCTTGTTGCGATCCGATTCTATGGAAGACTCTTGATTTGTCTCACATGAGATCTAGTTTCATCAAGATCCCATTAGAGCCTTATGTCTATGTGGAACGCCGATCTGATGAGGCCCTGACCCGAATCCTGAAACTCTCCATGAACCTTAGTGGAGGAAACACGAGGACCTTGATTTTTCATTTCAACTTGTTCTTGAGTGATGATCAGCTTACTTACACCGCAGAAAGGTATGTCTTTTTTGTTCTTCCCCTAATTCGTCTTCCAAATTGTTTCATCATAGCCGTTAACTATGGGTTGATCTATGGCCAAAATCATCACTCTTTCTATCTGTTGGTAGAACAGAAGTTTGGTTTAGTTGGGTTATTAAAAAAGTCACTACTCACCAGCTTTTAGTCAAAATTTGGTTCAGGTTTTGGTTGGTTCAGTCTCTCAGTCGAAATTGCTGAATATACAATTGAGTTGACTCTTGGAAATGCTAAAAATTCACAAATTTGTTTTATTGAATATTTGCAGGTGTCCAGGGTTGAGACGGGTGGTCCTACCGGCTTGGAACAGAATAAAGAAGACTGGTATATGCAAAGCGATAAGAATCTGGAAAGATCTCGAGTCACTAACAATGCCGAGCATCGCAAACCCGCCTTATCTCTTAACAGAAATCGCCAAGAACTGCAAGAATTTTAAAGAGCTGAAGATCATGGGTCCATTCGAGATCTTCTTTGCAAACACGCTCATCACTTGCCTGCCAAACATCAAAACCCTCAGCATCAGATGCTCGGCGATAAAGCGGGAAGCACTCATGAAAATCCTTGACGGATTACCAAGCCTTGAAGTGCTCAACATATCACACTCTCACCTAGTGGAGTACAGCGGTTGGCAACCGCAGCAGAAAGTGATTGTTAGAGAGCTGGATAAGACGATAATGGAGAAAACAGCGAGGCTAAAGAAGTTCTTGACTTGCATGGAGCATAAGACGTGTGTGATGTGTCAGAGGACTGAGAGTGATGAAGGGATTGTGAGATGGTATAAGTATGAGGAAGGAGACTGGAAGGTTGATGAAGTGAGTTCTCTTCATCTTTGATGGGTTTTGTGATTTTTACTCTGTGTGTGGTTTGTTTTGATTTGAATCGTATTATGTGTATATATGTGTAGGCAATGCCAATGTTTGTATGTTGTGATCAACTTTTGATCACCAACCTTGACACCAAATAGGAATATAAAACAATAATCTTTCAATATTATCATTTTGTTATGGTTTTTCTTGATAATTTTTGGAACTTACATAAACAGCAAAATAAGTAATTGAAGATTTTAGTCACATTTATTTAGCAAATCATCAACCAATTTCTTACCTACCACTCTTCTCCGACGGCATTAACGACACCGTTTTATCGAACTCAGCCACCACTAGTTAGGTGTGTAACGATATATTCTTTAAAAAACGTTGTAATAATATTCCAATTGTCACACGAAGAAAACACATATTTTTCAAAATAAAAAAAATAGTACCTCTAGAAATATATTTAATTTTCTAATTATGTTCTTCTTTGAACATCAGCGGTCATTTATGGACGACGACTGTTAAAAATCGTTTAAAATTCTTTGTTGCGTAATTGACCATTTTATTTTATTTAATACCAGAATCAAGATATTATAAGTTTTAATTCTCGATCGCAAATAAATCATAAATTCTGAAAATTAAAACACAAAACGTTACTCTTCTCTTTCTCTTGGCTTCTCGATAGCTCTCAATCATGGTTATGCAAATATGGGAGACGTTGAAGGAAACAATCACAGCTTACACTGGACTTTCTCCAGCTGCGTTTTTCACCGTACTAGCTCTCGCTTTCGCCGTTTATCAAGTCGTCTCCGGTTTCTTCGTTTCTCCTGAAGTTCACCGACCTCGTTCTTTGGAGGTTCAGCCTCAATCGGAGCCTCTTCCACCGCCGGTTCAGCTCGGAGAAATCACTGAGGAAGAGCTTAAGTTGTATGATGGCTCTGATTCTAAAAAGCCCCTTCTTATGGCAATCAAGGGTCAGATCTATGATGTTTCTCAGAGCAGGTATTACTTGAGAAATGAGAATCTTTTCTTATTCATGAAATAATGGTTTGAATCCAAATGATCTCAAGTTTAATTACCAGAAATAGACGATTCAATCCAATAGTTTCGAGATTTAGGGTTTAGATTAGTTAATTATGTGAAAATTTGGGGATTTTGTTTGATTGTTTGATTATAATACCATTAGAAAACTTCGTCGTGGTAATTAGGTTTTGGGCTGGATGAGATAATCACTTAGAGTGATCATTATGTTGCTTGTACATAGTTCATCAGCTGTACTACGTATCTTTATGAATCATACTCACATGTCCCAAGCTGTAGTTTTTCAATCTTCAAACTCTACTTAACTCTTACTGGTCATGCAGGATGTTTTATGGACCAGGTGGGCCATATGCTCTGTTTGCAGGGAAAGATGCTAGCCGAGCTCTGGCAAAGATGTCATTTGAGGATCAAGACTTGACTGGAGATATCTCAGGTCTCGGTGCATTTGAGCTAGAGGCGTTACAAGACTGGGAATACAAGTTCATGAGCAAGTATGTCAAAGTCGGCACCATTCAAAAGAAGGATGAAGAAGGCAAAGAAAGTTCAGAACCTTCTGAAACAAACGCTACCTCTGCGGAAGTTCTGTCTACAAACACTGGAGAAGAAGCTCCTGCAGTTACCCATGATGAAACTTCTAGAAGCATAGACGAGAAAATCGCGGAAACCACGGAGAAGAAGGATGTTGCAAATGATGATACTGCTGCGAAGGAGTAAAGTCAATGTAATCAGAGGCGCACTTTCTCTTGAGAAATTTAGTGAGATTTTTCAGGTTTAAGTATGAGTCGTATATAGCTCAAGGTGGAAGAAGCAAGCTCAATAAAAATGGTGACTTTGTGTGTACTTTTTGGATCTTATATAATAACATCTAATTCTGGTTATGGAAGCCTTCAAATTACATTATTTCTACAGTAATCAAACGATACAAGAACTTTTAGGGTTTGTTCACTTGTTGTTTTTGCTTGAGCATGCATACTTGACTTCCTGCTATGTCCCTCGTGATTGAAGGTGGTTCAGTTCCAAGAATCGAAGCACCAACTTACATTTTTTAAAACTCTAGTTTTGCATGTACTAGAGAAACCTATAGTATTAAGAAAACATCTTGAATTAGCTTATTTATTAGCTTGTTTATGACAATCTTCTAGTGATCAGTGTTACTAAAATCTGACGCCTCACATTGACCCCGATTAGTTCCACTCTATTGATCTCACCCAACCGTGAGTCTCAACTTGCTGTTTTGAAAGTTTCAGAGTTTTAATCTCACACTAAAGGCTCTGACTCAGACGATGCAAATGACCGAGCTTAACTTACTTCATTACAACCAACTGGGTAAACCACGGGACAAAGCAAGCACTAGGCATTAAAATTGGGATCTTTACACCAAATTTCATGAAATTGAAGATCAAATTTTTCGATTCAACTGAAAAGCTGAGAATCCCCAAATGGGTTTCAGAGAAAACACAAGATAGAACAAAAACCCTGACCTCAATAGAAAAATCAAAGGAGAGAGAGAGATGACATCTTCATAAACCCAGAAAAATGAAACAGGAAAAAACTTCTGATATCGACTGAAAGAACGGAGTGTTCAAAGGAGAATTCCTCAGGTTCAGGGTAAGTTCAATGGAGAGAAAGAGAGAGAGAGAAACACGGGACTTGTTTTTTCCGTTTAATATTTTCTTCTGGCTCTTATATAAAAGTCACCTCTTCGCATATAACCTAATTTTTTTTTTTTTTTTCTCTAAAGTGGAATTTTATTGATAATAAACAGATCATACACAGATCACATATGGGCCACGCCCTACAGCAACAACTAAGTTAAATGAAAACTGAGATAAGCCCAATAGAAGTCCATCATTTGCGCCGCTTAAAGAAGAAGAAGTGATTAGGTATATCCACCCAATGACACGCCTCAACATCAAGGACACGTAGTATGAGTTGCCGAAAGTTTTCCGAAATCAACCTCCGCCGCATGAGCTTACGATTCCGGTGACTGAAACTAACGCCGAAACGAAATCGAACGTAGAATCATATGTTTTTCACCGATCTACAAAACAAACAAATGGATATAATACAGATTCATTCAACTCAACCGTTTGTCGAATCATTAAAAGTTTCTAATTAAGATCCGACGGAGAAAACGGGTAAAAGAGAAATCCGATTAATCCATAAGTGTTGACTCTAACCAATCGAAGCACCAAATAAAAGAGATAACAGCTAAAGGCAATCTTAATAAGCTACGGAAATTGCCTTTTTTTCTTCACACTTAATCGCAAATCACTGAGAAGTCTTCATAAAACTGATTGCTCAAAAGAAATGAGCCGGAGAAGAGATAGCGAGAACCGCCTAAAACCCACCAACGACACATCAGATGAGATTATTGAACTGGAAATAAAAGTAGCTTCAAGGAAACAGAAAACATGAAGTAAAGCCGGACGACGCCGGAGAAAAACTAAAGCTGGCCATCGCTGCTATACAAGCCAGACGATGCCAGACGAGAAGCCGACCAAACACTACTTTATAAGCTAGTATATGTCGGACAGAAAGCCGGATTGTACACACCGGACGGCAAAACGACGTTTCTCTCTCTCTGAAAGATATTTGAGAGAGAAAAGAGAGAGAAAGATGCACATATAACCTAATTAAATATTAAATTTTGATCATAATTCATTAATTCTCTTCAAAACCATACTAAAAAGTAAAAACCATGCGTTGGAGCTGCTCTTAGCTTCCAATTAATTTGGCGGGTGGATACAATATGGGCCTTAAAGATTTGTGGGCTTGTTGATATTTTGGTCTAGGTAAAAGCAGAAAGCTCGCTCTGACACGTTGAAGGACATGTCTCATTTGAATAAGATGATAGGCAAAGTGTAAGCGATTTCTCCTAAAAATGAAGACGAAGTGGATGAATAAACAACTAACAATGAGTGCGTCTGTATGAGCTGGAGAAAAGGAGCTTGAGATTGAACTTGAGAGACTGATTGACAATCTAATTTGATGACACACGTGAGAAATCCTTCAAACTATTTATCAATCACTTTAAAAATGAGGATTTATGATGTTCTATTTATCAACAAAAAATCGAAAGTTCTAGAAGGCAGCAAAAAAAAAAAATTCAACCAAAAAGCAGCCCTAATGGGTGGTTCGGTCAAAAAGAAGTAAAGACATGTTCTTTCTGTTTTGAATTTCTATTTGCTTCTTCATACCATTCGAGTGGATGATCACATGGAGTAGATATATTTCTTGAATAGACCTATCTTTGTTTCATGTTGGAGTCTGCAAGAAGAGCACAAAATACAAATATTTTAATTAGTATTACAAAAGAAACAAGCTATTAGCCCTAAGTCTATCAAGCTATTGACCCAAGGAAAGCGAATCAATCGCCTATATGACTCTTGATCATAATTAAAAACACATAGAGAACAAAAAAATCAAGCAAAGTCTTGATTTTCTGACCCTTAATCGCTTTTGGCATACAAAGAGAGATTCAAATCAAGTAAAGCCTTGATTTTCTCTTTAGTCTCATTTATGATATCCTTAGTGAATAACGTGGCTTAGAGAGCGAAAGCTTCAAAAAAAAAAAAAAATGAAACACAAGTTGACAATTGAAAACATAACTCAACAAGTGAACACTTAAAGAAAACGAAAAGGGAGAGTTTTAGTATTACTTCTTACAAGTTTCTTCTCTATATCTTCTACCAATTTCAATGTCAAGCGCTTTGGACACTTTTTGTTCAAACCGTTTTCTCTTCAATCTATCAAAATCAAGAGACAAAAATTGCTAATCGTTTAGAAAAGAGAAAGAAATCGCGGAAAATTAGAGATTCAAGATAACTACCTCGTTCTTTAGATCATAGAACGTTTTGCCTTTATTACCTTCCATATCGAGAATCCATATCAATATCAACGAAGGAAATTTCGGTGTGTATGAAGGGAATCCATAAAACTTTATTTTCAAGCAAATTCAAGAAATAAAATTGTTAATTGGCGCAAAATTATGGTTTCTAGAGAACTATCTTGTTCCTTTGATCGTCGAATTTTTTTCTTTTATCACCTTCCATATCGAGAATCAGGAAAAAAAATCTCAGCGTGTATTTGAGAGGTGCTTAGCTCGGTGAATTTAGCTTATCATGGTGTTTATTAGTGGTGGTACACCCTAATGCAAAATTGAGAAATTTATAAAGATTTTGTTCTGATGCTTCAAAAACTACTATGACCAATAAAAAATGACATGAAAACCGTTACTCTAAAACCGTTATATGTGTCACATTTTAAAATGACAGTGATTTCTTTGTTATGGCCTAGGATAACATTGAAACCGTTGTCTTTCAACATGTCACCACAGACGAAATCGACATCGCTTGTGACTATTAGAAAATTTGTCGATTCGTCGTATTTTTGCAGATAATCGAACGCCCATGAGATCATTTTGGCAAGCATCGCCTTATCCCCGATGTCTGTAACATCTTCTTGTGTTGGAAGACATATATTGCTCCAACGAAAAACCAAGGTAAAAATTCTAAGAAATATATGGAAACATAGCTAAAGAAATTAATCTTACATGAGATTTTGAAAAATTAATATATAACCAAAATTGGTAGTTATTTAAGAAAAAAAGATAACGATATAGATAACAAAGAATCTATATATAAATAATCTATATATATACTAGGAGAGTCCTCTTTCCATCTAGCCTATCCACCTAGGCAACACTATTTATTGTAACATTAAAATAAATTTAAAACATTCATTTAGTGCAAAAATATATATTCATTTAAAAGAAAATATTATTTTTAAAAATGTTTAATTGAATTGTCTTAGAAAAAACAATCTATATATATAATACGAGAGTCCTCTCTCCTAGCTTATCCACCTAAGCAACACTATTTACTGTAACATTAAAATAAATTTAAAAATTCATTTAATGCAAAAATATATATTCATTTAAAAGAATTTATTATTTTTAAAAAAATACTTAATTGAATTGTCTTGGAAAAAACAATAAACATAACTTACATATATATTTTTTGGGTTAAAAACTTATATATATATATATATATATATATATATAAATAAATATACTAAACACAAACACTATGTACTTTTTAATTTAATTAAAATTCTTAATAAACTAATAAATTTATGAGAAATTGTTAAAAATGCCCCTTTTTCAATACCCCTTTTCAAAAATGCCCCCTTTGAGAGTCCATTTTTAAGTTTGCCCTCTTTTAATTTTTAATGACCATTTTACCCTTATTTGAAACAAAATTAGGTCCACAAAATACAAAATATTTTTTGGCGGGAAAAGTGATCCCGCAATTTTCCCGCCAAAACACTTGTAAAAAACCTTTAAAATACCTTGTAAAATTTTCCCGTAAAATTTTTCCCGCCAAAAAATTTTCCCGCCAAAAAATTTTTTTTGCGGGAAAAGTGATTCCGCAATTTTTTTTTTTGGCGGGAAAAATTTACAAGGTTTTTTACAAGTGTTTTGTAAGGTTTTACAATGTATTTTAAAAGGTTTTACAAGGTACTTATTAGGTTTTATAAGGTATTTATAACTTGTAAAACCTTATAAAAAACTTGTAAAACCTTATAACTTGTAAAAACCTTATAAAATAGCTTGTAAAATCTTATAATATCTTGTAAATACGTTGTAAAACCTTTTAAAATACATTGTAAAACCTTATAAATACCTTGTAAAAAACCTTTAAAATACCTTGTAAATTTTTGGCGGGAAAATTTTTCCCGCCAAAAATTTAACGCCAAAAAAATTGCGGAATCACTTTTCCCGCAAAAAAAATTTTTTGGCGGGAAAATTTTTTGGCGGGAAAAATTTTACGGGAAAATTTTACAAGGTAATTTAAAGGTTTTTTACAAGGTTTTACAAGTGTTTTGGCGGGAAAAATTGCGGGATCAATTTTCCCGCCAAAAAATATTTTGTATTTTGTAGACCTAATTTTGTTATATTTCCTTATATATTTGTGATATATTTTATTAAAAGAAGGGTAATTTAGTCATTTTGTACATAAAAAGGGGTATTTTTAAAAATGGACAGCCAAATGGGGCATTTTTAAAAAGGGGTATTGAAAAAGGGGCATTTTTGTGAGTCTCCCTAAATTTATATATGTCACTATTAATAAAATTATTCATAAAACTAAATAGTAGTATAAGATTTATCGGTGCCATGGATGTACGGGTTCTTACCTAGTATTGAATTAAATGGTAGCAACAATTCATCTAAATATATTTTAGTACTTAAATATTTTTTAAAAATACGAAGAACTATAACCGAGAGATGCGACTGTATATATCAAATATACCAAAAGTTGCAGGTTTTTCAAATATATCAAATGTTGCAATAGTTCGTCAAAAAGTTAAAAATTAGAAAGGTTAATAAAAACTAAAAGGTGCAATGATTCGCCAGATAAACCTTTTTTTTTTGTCAACAACGTTATTAAATTAGCTTAAAATAGTCAATTCTAGGGAATATTGTTTACATAAGTGATTCGTCAAATAAATCAAATTATGCAATTTTAATTAAATTTGTGATTACAACTATATCATTAATGAGTTTATTTAGAAAACACCAAAGACCATTGGCATTGTGATATAATTTTTACAATTTTTATGTTGGTTTTTATTTTGTATTTCTCGATTAATAGTAGTAGGATGGTAGGTCTGTTGCCGAACCGGAGTGAAGAATTTGCAAGAATTTTGGTTTCTCCTTGAAATCCGATTTGTAAGAATTTTGGTTTCGGTTTTCTAACCTTCAAACCGATCGGTTTCAACCAATTATTATTGATCAAAATTTTCAAATTCAAATATCAAATCATTTTCTTCCCTCTTTCTGTCTCTCTCTCTCTCTCTCTCGATCTCGAAGGTGAAGCTATGGGAGTGAAGTATCTTTGGGATGTTTTGGAGCCTTGCAAGAAGACTTTCCCACTCGATCATCTTCAGTGAGTTATTGCTTCGTCTCAATTTCTCTTTCATTTTCTGGGTTTTTATAAAGTTCAAGTCTTTACGAGATCTTCGATAATCGTTAATCGCTGTAGAAACAAAAGGGTATGCGTAGATCTGTCGTGTTGGATGGTGGAATTGCATAAAGTGAACAAATCTTATTGCGCCACTAAAGAAAAAGTTTATCTTCGAGGACTTTTTCATCGTCTCCGAGCCCTAATTGCCTTAAACTGCTCCATCATTTTAGTCTCAGGTAAGAACCAATTTGGGTTTTTTTTTTTAGTCCATATTGACTCATTTCTCAGGTGGGTTTAGGGTTTATGCAGGGTTTGTATTGTTGTCATTGTCAATCGAGAGTAATAGAGCATGAGTGGTCAAATCAGTTCTGAGTTATTGATGCTTTGCTCTAAAGAATTGATTTGTTTTATGCTATTATTGATCATAACTTGTTGTAATTGTAGATGGTGCCATTCCTGGAATCAAAGTACCAACTTACAGGCGTCGATTAAAAGCAAGATTCGAGGTACAATGATGCCAAATGAGGGATTAGTGGTTTTATCCTTGCATATGATGGTTAGTTCTCGGATTGTTTTTTTCGATTTAATGATTTATGGGTTCAGCCAGGTCGCTGACGATGGTGTTGAACCTGGGAAAGAGACTTCACTCAAAAGAAATATGGGGTCTGAGTTCTCGTGCATCATAAAAGAGGCAAAAGTTATTGCATCAACACTGGGGATACTTTGTTTAGACGGGTAAGACTTCAAGACCGTTCACTTAGATTGACAGTGAGACTTTGGTTTGAGTGTTCATTTTTGCTTATGAGAGGGTTTTCAATTGAAAAACTGATTCTGTTCTGTTGTTTTCCATCAAATGCAGGATTGAGGAGGCTGAGGCGCAATGCGCTCTGCTGAACTCAGAATCTTTATGTGTAAGACACATTTTTCAGCTTTAATCAGTTTCTTGTTCGTGATGCTGTTAACCCAATATTCAATAATAAATAAATGTTCTCATGATCATCCATAGGACGCCTGTTTTAGCTCTGATTCAGATATCTTCCTTTTTGGTGCAAAGACTGTATACCGAGAAATATGCCTTGGTGAGTGAGAGGGACTCTTTAGCAGTCTTGGTTTCTTTTACCATCTGGTATGGTTAATGGTATTATATGGCCTAACAAATCTGCCAATGAACTAGGTGATGGAGGTTATGTTGTTTGCTATGAGATGGATGACATCAAGAAAGAGCTTGGTCTTGGACGGAACTCATTGGTAACTTAACGAGTCTCTACAAGTGATTAGCTTTATATACTTAGCCCTGATCTTTAGTTTTTACGAAGCTGCACTATGTTATTATAAACTGATTGGATTGGCAGAAGCATGAAGGCATACTTGCAAAAGGTGGCCTTTGATATTTTATAAACTCAGGCGAGATAGATACTATGTGTATTAATGGTTCCACTGAACGTTGTAGCTTTAAGGGCTCAAAATTTCTTTCAGTTGCATCAGTAGACAAGAAAACCAGCTACACTTTTATTCCATACGTCAAAGAACTTTGAGATCTTAGCTATGTTTCATCGAATGGAAAGGTTATTTATACAATGTTTTCTTTGGTGATGTTCTAGATAGCTCTTGCGCTTCTGCTTGGCAGTGACTACTCTCAGGGAGTTCGTGGTCTTCGTCAGGTGTGTAGATAACTCAAGCTTTTAACCTTCATCTATTGAGGTCGTATGTTATTCGAGGTTGTGAGTTTTATTTAGAGTTGGATTACAAAAGACTCACGACTAAACTTCTTCTGTGTACAGGAGAAAGCTTGTGAGCTTGTTAGGTCGATTGGAGAAAATGTTATCCTTGAAAAAGTTGCATCAGAAGGACTTGCCTTTGCAGAAAAGCCGAGAAAGTCTAAGAAGCAAGTTAGGCCTTCTGTGTGCAGCAAAAAGGGGACCTTACCTTTGGTGGTTATAAATGGTATTGAAAGCAACAACTTCTTTGTGTTTTTTGATATGACATGATTTTGGTGTTAAACCAAACAGAATGTTTATTTATCATTGAAAAGCTCTTTCCGTAATTTCAACTTGTTGTAGGAAATAATCGTGAACCAGAAGGACTGCAACAGATCAAGCAGGTGATCGATGCCTTCATGGACCCCAAGTGCCACCAAGCAGACTCTGCTACAGTTTCCAGGTTAATACTTCTTTCCATTTCTTTGTTGTCAGTCCTTTGATGATCATTCTGCTCCAGATTATACCTATTCTTAGAGCTAGCACGTACACATTTGTAGCAATCATCTGCCACAAGGAATCACCAATTTTTGTCCTGAATTAAGAGTCTTGGAATAAAATGCTTCCTCAAATCCTGAAAAAAATCAGGGAATGTCTGATGAGAAACAAGCTTATAATAGGAATGGAGAATAGTGAACTTGAAAAAAAGTTGAATGTCTATTCAGATTTTGTATATAGGAAATGATATAATCTAAATACTGGTTTTGCAGGGCCTTAGCTGAATTCTCTTTCCAGCGCACCAAGCTTCAGGAGATATGCCATCAGTTCTTTGAGTGGCCCCCTGAGAAAACAGGTATTTCTGGCTTCGGATTTATACATATCTCTTATTCCTTGTAGGTTGCATTTGCAGACATTGTGCAGAACCAATTGTGAAACCAACGTTGCTTCATTTTCATGATCTTGCATTTAGATGAATACATACTTCCTAAAGTTGCTGAAAGAAATCTGAGAAGGTTCGCTATTCTCCACAAGGTACCCTTCTTTCGCTCTCTCTATGCAAGTTATTAGCTATAGATTTTAGTTCCTCGGAAATGTCTCAGGCTATGATTATTGTGTTCAAGAATCACGTAGTCAACTGTTGAAGCAAATACATAAGAACAATTCGGCTCAGTTAGAATTTACTAGAAAACATGAATCCATCAAATTCATACGGTACATAGAAGGTTATAAAAGGTTTTGTTTTGAGTTTGGAGAAACCATTAGCTTAAAAATAACTGGCTTTCCCTTACAGAAATCAGTTGGAAGTTAAACATGAACTTGTCTTAACTCTTGCAAGGAAAAAAATTCTCTTGCAGCCGCAGATGCCAGAAAAGTGTCCGGTGTCTGAAATCATAAAGACCCGCAAAGTACAGGGACGAGAATGTTTTGAAGTCTCATGGAATGATCTAGAAGGTTTAGAGACGTCCATTGTTCCTGCAGATCTTGTAGAAAGGTAATGATAGTGATCAAAGTCTGACCTTCAATCATTTACTCAAGGCTGGGAATAAAGTTGACTAGAAATCTAAACATTTAGCTCAAGGGATTGACATTGATTAAACCTGTGTTGTTTTGGCCTTTAATGCAAAAGCTTAATTCACAATGAATCAGTGAACTGAAATAGTGTCTGAAGTTAGTAGATCTTCAGCCTTCAGGTGATATAGTTAGCTGTGGACTAAACTGGATACTAGAAACACTCTGTTTCAGTTAGATCTACTTATGCAGCCAAAATTGCTTCTGTTTATTTGTCACATAACACAAAATATGGTTCAGTTTATGGTTGGTGTTCACTGAGTTACTGTTCTCGTTCTGGTTTTGCATATTTATTCTCCTTGTTTCTTTTCAGGGCTTGTCCAGAGAAGATCATAGAGTTCAAGGAGAAAATGGCAGCTAAGAAGAAGAAACCGAAGCCGAAACAAAAACAGAAGGAAACTAGTTCACCGACCAAATCTTCTTCACTTGCCGAACTCAGCCTCGAACTCCAACACCTTGATCTCAACTCAACCTCTCTAGTAACTAGAAGCACCGTAGAAGAAGCTGAGCAAGAGAACGAACAACAAAACTCCAAGAAACATGATTACTTGTGTCTTATCGATTCACCTGATAGAGAAAATTGCAATAACGCTTGGTCGACCAGGGATAGATTCGGTGTTGGTCCGAGTTCCTTATCATTGTATCCGGAAACAGAAGTCATTGATCTGATAAGCCCTTGTCCTGAAGCTCGTTCACGTAGCGTGTCAAGAAGTCATCAAGAACAGAAGAGACATGATCACCAACTTGAGACTGTGATTGAGCTGAGTGATTCAGAAACAGACGATGAAGAACATTGCAAGAAAGCTAGAGAGCTTAGGATCTTTCTTGAAAATATCAGGAAAGACATTATCCTATGAGACAAAAGAAGATCATTTATGATGATTATGTTATGAGTTCTTTTTATCTTATTTTCGTTTTTGTAGATTTCTGAAAACTATTAAAACTTTAAAGCTATATTTTCTATTTTGTTGATCATATTTCTTCTCTACCTTGCCTTGCTTGATTCAATTTAACAAGCGTATATCTCACGGAAGATTATCTTATTGAAATAATTCTCTTTATTTAATAACTTTCATGTATAATAAAATAACCCATTCATATTAGAGTTTTAAAGTACCATATTATTTTGTATTTTTGTTAAGATACCACAAGTATTTTAAGATAGAGCTCAAGAAAGTTTAGAGCTTGAACATGTTAATAAAAAAAATGATGGGAAGGTTCCAATTGAATGCATCAATGACAATCACCAGTGGACTTTTCTTTCTATATGCATGCATAATGACAAACCAAAATGTACCAATAAAAACAAATTTATGAGAGACTCTTTCCAATAAAGACATTTATCAATATAAGATTATTTTTTGTTAAAGGTCGATAAAATATTTTTGAAGAGGTGTATATGCATATTAATTAGTAGTAGCTTCTTACTTAAAGTTTTGTTTTACGAGTTTATTAATTGACTTTGATGATTAGTTTGGATGTGGATCTAAACTCTTTTGTTTAAAAAAAAAAAAACTAAAAAGAAAGTTCGGTGACATCCATCACTGGTATAAACTGTATCTAATTATGTTTATAACTAAAACATGAATGAGGGACAAACAAAATTAATGTTTGAACCAATTGTTTAGCCCATTTAGAAAAGAAAAAAAATATAGTGACGAATTATTTTTTTGTCTTTTAGATTAGGTAACAATCAAATATTGATTATATATAACTGTGGTTGAAACCAACAAAAAAAATTGGTGATCACAATTATCAGAAAACATCTCTACAAAAAACGATGTGATAAAATCCCAATTTAAGAAAGAAAAAAAAACAGGTTTGGTAGACAACAATAAAAATGAAAAGAAATTAGAAAATACATGATTGGTCCACGACTTTTTTAAACGTTGTTGACTTAATTACTTAGTGCAACGTGGGATTAGATAAGCTGGGTAGGCGAGCTTTATTTATAAGTTTAAACAAAACCACAATTGTATTTAACCAAACTATATTGTCACTGTTTTAATAGAACCACTTCTCTGTTTCTTATTTAAACTTTCCTTGATCGACACCTCTTCTTGGTGACCAAAAGAAAATAAAAAAAATGCATAAACCTCTTACTATCACAATTATATATTTGGTCAATTTCTATCCGCAAATGGGGGTAAAGAGTTGACTCCAAACAATATATTTGTTTTATGTCTTTAACGATTTTTCTTTTTGTTGATTAAAAAAACGAATTCTTTACTATTATTATAGATCGTTAAATGATAATTTATATAGTTCACAATAAGCATACGCAAACTATACTCATATGTCAATAACACTTAATTAAATCCATAAATAAAACCTTTTGTTCAATACTAGAGGCTTTTTGTGTGCCTGTTAATTTCCTGCAAATGATTGACAAGATATGATTGACATATGGTCATGTAAATCTATCAGTACAAGCAAATGCATCATTGCGTGATATGTCAATATGTGTTGTGTCATTGTGTGATTAGATCCGAAATTCGCTATATGCAATAACAAAACCATGCTAATAAGTCGTAGACAGTAACTGTCAAGATAACTAATCCGCAGCTAACGTCATCACAGTGTCGGCTGCCAAGGTCTTTTGCTCCGTGAAGGCGTCATTTTTATCAATTATCATCAATATATATAGAGAGGCATTGTAAAAAATATTTCATGTTATATTATAAAGTAATACAATATTGCATCATTTTCTGTGTTTTTGTTTTTCTATTTATTTTGTAGAACTTGTATATAATAAAGCCATGTAATTCTTTTCCCGTCAATAATATACATTTTTATCAAATTTAAATTCAACTAGTGACACAACGACGACACTGATATAAATTATCAAGTTATTTGTAGTTGTCAAAACAATAATGTTATTATTTTAATATTGCCATAAATAATATAAACAAATATCTCTTATTATTATATAAAGGACAAAAACAAAAGCTAATTCACCAATAATTTGTCTGCTTATTTTTTTACAAGAGTTTTTATTGAGGAAGGCAAGTAGTTTCATTTATAAATTGCAAAAGTCTTCTTCAACTCTATCCTTAGAAAATTTACTAACTTACACGGTTGAATTAGAATATTTCTATTCATAAGTCATAACCAATAAGAATAATTCACAATTTCACAATGCTTATTATTTAATTTAAGTTTTACCAAGACATATTGCTGGTGGATTACTGTGAAAATATCCACATATGCATATTAAAAAATTGGTAGACTAATCCACTAGTTGCTAATCGTTATATTTCACAGAAAATAATTAATTGCAAGCAAATAAATAACCTCACTAGTGATCACTATATAATTGTGGCAGATTTTATTAAGTTAGCCCCTAACATAATTTGAAAAGGCAAGCAAAACAAAGACAAACTTACAAAAGTCATTGTCCTGAAACAAAATATATTTTTAATAAATACAGAAATGTGTTTTTGTCAAAATAAAATAATAATAAAAAATGTTGATTTGTTTATTTAAATGCACTGTCGTATTGAAGTTATGACACTATAATTCAAAGGGTCAGGCTCCACCTAAAATTAATAAAGATTTGATGCAGTGTTTCAAATGCGATATATCATCTACAAAATATTGGTTTCGTGTGGAACAAGTCCTCTTTCATATGAATAGTTCTACACAATTATGAATTAGATATTACTAATCTTAGTTTTATTTTAATTAAACTATTTAAAACTTGACCTTCAAAACTGTCTATATATTTCCCCCTTTCGAATTACGTATCTGTGTCAAAGATTGTCATCACCAATCTACATATATTTATTCTGTATCATATACGTATATATTTATAAATATTCAAATTAAATAACTTAGGAAAAATAACAATGGTGTTTAAATCAGAAAAATCAAACCGGAAAATGAAATCAAAGGAGAAGCAAAGGAAAGGATTATGGTCACCGGAGGAAGATGAGAAGCTTAGGAGTCATGTCCTCAAATATGGCCATGGATGCTGGAGTACCATTCCTATTCAAGCTGGTAATTTTTATTAATAAATATCTTGAGATTTGTTATTATTTAAAAATTTTTGGAAGAAAGCAACATTTATAACTGCATTTTATAGTAACCAGTATCTACTTAGATGAATTTTTCACTTTGATAAATAAATAGTTAGGCTCTTTCGATATTGTCATCGTTTATATGCTTGAATGTATCGGCTTTTTATGTAAATAATATGGTTTTTACATAATGTATAGGATTGCAGAGGAATGGGAAGAGTTGTAGATTAAGGTGGGTTAATTATTTAAGACCTGGACTTAAGAAGTCTTTATTCACTAAAGAAGAGGAAACGATACTTCTCTCACTCCATTCCATGTTGGGTAACAAGTGAGTCATTCACCCATTTTTTTTTTGTTTAGATTTTATCATTAAGAAGAATTTAGGATTTATGGAGTTTAGGACTTCATGTTTATGGTTTAGACTTTATATAGGGTTTAGAATTTTTAAACTTATAGACTTTTAATTTATAATATTGCCTTAATATTGATATATGTTTTAGCATATATTTTCATAATTGACACCTTTTTTTTGTTTTTTTACAAGATGGTCTCAGATATCAAAATTTTTACCAGGAAGAACAGACAACGAGATCAAAAACTATTGGCATTCCAATCTAAAGAAGGGTGTAACTTTGACAAAACATGAAACCACAAGAACCCCTCAAACACCTTCAATCACAAACTCACTTGAGGCCTTGCAGAGTACAACTGAAAGATCTTCTTCATCTATCAATGTCGGAGAAACATTTCAAGCTCAAATCTCAAGCTTTTCGCCGAGTCTAGTGTTCTCCGAATGGTTAGATCACGGTTTGCTTATGGATCAGTCACCTCAAAAGTCTAGCTATTATGTTCAAAACCTTGTTGTAGCGGAAGAGAGAGGATTCATTGGACCATGTGGCCCTCGTTATTTGGAAAACAACTCTTTGCCTGATTTCGTGCCAGATTCAGAATTTTTGTTGGAGGATGAGATCAAGTTCTGTACTTCATTTTCAGACAATTTTTTGTTCGATGGTCTCATCAACGAGCTACGACCAATGTAAATATTCGAAGAGAGGTACAAGTACAAAGAGTATACGGTAATTTATATAGAAGAGGATAAAGAGTAAATAAATAAATACTTTAAATTACACTTCCAACAAATTTGTAATTCCATCACTATTCCAACATCCTTTTACGCTTTCGTAGTTGATAATTTGACGCAATTACATTAAGAGTTTGACTGAGAACATCAATTATACCGAACTAGAAAGTATTGTATTGGACTGGTCGGTCTAACCGGTTTCTACACCAGATTATCGAACTTTATAAGAAAGAGTAGCAAAACTCAGGTCTTAAACAGAGATCACAGATTGGGATGAAAAAGATTCAGCAAAGTAAAACAAAATTTAATGTCTGGAAAAATTCAATAAGAAAATCACCATAAAACATAATTCAGCTCTATCCAGAAACATAAACTAACATCAACAGCAACAGCTTAGCTTACATTCCAGTGAATGCCTTCTTTCCAAAAGAAGAAGAAGACCCAGCTGGTATCACCTTCAACACATTGAACCTCACTGTCTTCGACAATGGCCTGAAATGATCAAATAACAAAAAAAAAAAAAGATCAAAACAAATTCACAAAAATCAGAATCAATAGAGACAATGGTGTTAGTCTGAATCAGATCATAACCTGCATTGGCCAATGATGATATGGTCTCCTTCCTTAACACGGAAGCATGGAGATACATGAGCAGGAATGTTCGAATGCCTCTTCTCATACCTAAGAACAATAAGGATAATACTTTCTTAACATCAATGTATACGACTCTATGGAACAAGTATGAGAATGTATGTATGTTATTACCTCTGATACTTCTTCACAAAGTGAAGGTAATCCCTTCGCACAATAATGGTCCTCTGCATTTTAGCACTGTGGCAAGTACCAGCTAAGATACGACCTCTAATGGAAACAGTTCCAGTGAAGGGGCATTTCTTGTCAACGTATGCTCCTGTTCCACACAAAAACAAAACACAATCTCCTCAGAATCTGAACCACTTACAGATATAAAGAGATTGATACAAGTTTCTAAGAAATATTTTGACTATTTCATCACACTATGATTCTCATTATCTCAATATCTACTGATAACATTGGAATCACGAAAACAGTAATGCAGATCCAAGGACTCACTATATCATAGCTTAAGATTCTACAAGACAAATAGCATTTGAAGTCTATGAATCTATCAACTATATGAACAACACAATCACAGAGTTCCTTATTTACTACAATGGCTTAATCATACCATCGATTGCTTCACGAGGAGTCTTAAAGCCCAAACCAATGCTCTTCCAGAAACGGTTTCCACCTTTTCCAGGTCGCTTCCCTTTTCCAGATTTCTTCGAGCTAGATCAAACACAAACAATGAACAATATAAACAGCTTGGAACTTAAATACCATAGAGAACAGAGAGAAATCGAATCGCGAAATTACCTAAGGAAGACCTTAGGCTGCTTAAGAAAAGCTTTCTCAGTCTGAAAATCAGTAACAGAGAAAAGAGAAGAGTATCATCAGAATCATTTAAGTGAATGAAGGATCGATAGATCATAAAACGAGGATAATCTTAAGAGGAGAGAACAGATCAAGTAACCTGTTCCGCCATGGCTGATGTTGAGCTCCCGCGTGAAAGCTTGAAGGCAAAGGAGGTAGGAGACGATAGTGCGGCAGCGATGACTGAAATGAAAACCCTAATTTGCAAGACTTGTTTATATATAAGACATTTCCACGTGAGATTATAATTTACCACAAATTTTATTGGGCCCTGAATTATGGGCCTTCGTATTTAGGCCTAAGGATAGAAAATCCCTACTTTTGGTATGGCCTGGGTGTGTTTTATTTATTTTTTTGGTTTAAGAATTGACAATAAAATATAATCTAAAAAAAGTGCAATTTTTTTGGGTTTTTTTTTTTAAATTCCGCTTGAATTCTTGTTTAGTTTTTCTTCTTAAAAAAAAAAATTCTATATTAAAATGTTACAATAGTTTTTTGTGAAAATTGTACAGTTTTTCTTTTCTTAAAAAAACCTTATTGACTCTTTTATGATTACTCTATTTGGGCCTTGACAATGAAAAAGAAAACTAGAAACGAAATAGTTGGAAGTTTAGAAAGTTCAAAAGAAGTCTCTCAAGGAAAAGCTGTACAAATTGCCAATGAGTAAAACAGTAAACACATTACCCCAAACATAAGAAGACGTTACATTATGGCCATGTAACTTTCTATGTAGCCAAATTTAACCCACACAAAGGCAACCACCTACTAAACCACAAATAATCCTTCCTTTCTCAAGTTAATAACAAATGAAACCATAAAGCAACATCAAAGACCATTCTCCTTATAGATCAGAAGAATCCAAATGGCTTCGTTGGAGCAGTTCCTGTGGCACGGTACTTTGCAGCCATTTCTTCAGCTTTGAGGACATCTTCTCCGCGTTTAGCTTCGGTCATCGCTCTCTTCTCTTCAGCTTTCTTGTGGATTTGTGCTATTTTGTTCTTCATTTGCTCTGTGTACTGTGCTTTCTTCTTAATTAGTTGCTCCTGTTATCATTCATATTTCCAGGGGATAAATTAGATGAAAGTAAAAAGTGGAAGCATTTCATGAAAAAAAAAAGAAGACAACAAAATTGAAAGAATAATGAATTACTCATTTACCTCGATCATTTTAAGCTCAGCTTCAACACAAGCTTTCTTGCTGTTTTCCCAAGCTCCAACTGAAGAAAGCTTTTTCTGAGCTCTGTTTTATAAAGTTATTACATTAGATTACATAAAAATATATAGGGAAAAAAAAAATCATTAAAAAAGCTTAAATATGTTTAAGAAAAGAAGAACTCACTTGTTCTCCACTTTGGATTTCTCAGCCTCTTCCCAAGCTTTGATGAGAGATATCCTCTTATCTTGCTCGAGTCTAACCAAAACAGCATCTTCATACACACACACACCATAAATTATCAGAAAAAAATAACTATTATTATCAGGTAAATTACTGAAATTACATATAAAATATATATTTTTTTCATGGTTATGTTATTATGTATCAATCATGATCTAACTATATCGTTGATTACCTCGGTGAACTGAACCTTCTTTCTTCTCTTCCGCAAGTTCTTCTGCAACAACAACAAAAAACAATGGAAAAGGTTGTTCTTTACCGAAAATAACAGTATTTTTTGCCACACACAAAAAAAAAAACATTTAGTTTACTGTTTACATGACCGAGTTAAATTAGATATATACAAACAACAATTAGACCAACAAGTGTTATAAACTATATTGTGAACAAGAAAAAAAAATAGAGAAAACAAACAATATGAAAAAGTTGAAGTAAAAACAGTTTTGTAATTTAAATATGTAATTCTTGTTCTTTGAAATTTGAACGATTTGTTACTTGCAGCGACGACGAGAACAATAGCTTTCGAATCGTCCGACTTCTCCTCCTTGGATGGTGGTGATGGGTCCGATGCCACCGTCTCGGGCTCTATGACTTTCTTCTGCTCCTCTAGAGTCATGTTTTCTTGTGGTAGCTACGATATTACGATTGATCAAATAAGATGATAACTCTTCTTCTGATTAACTTTCCTAATGAATTAGAAATTCGATTATTTATTAGAGATTTTTTTTTTGACTCGATTATTTTATAGAGATAGTGAGAATAGTAGATACGAAAACTGAGCTGGATTAAGCAATGTCCTGTCTCTCGTTGGCATAGAATGACTTTCTATATATTTTTCTTAAATTCAATTATTCGTGACAGAAAAAGAAACAAATGCTATTTTGTCCAGTTTATTGTGTTGTGCACGATCATTATTGTTTACACAAATTCATAAAATGCACCCAACTAATAATGATATTTCAGAATTCAGCCATATTTTTTTTGGTATCATATAATAATTATTAATTATATTTATTGACGTAAAGTGATAACATTATTTTTCAGTTTCTGTTCGCATAAAATTTACTATATACCAAACTGAATTATGTTGGCAGAATAAAGGAAAAATGACTAATAAGCTCAACGGTCACGTACGTACAACCACTCTCCAACAACAACCCAACTCTCTCTCGATAGGAGGAGAACAGGTGAATCCAAATATTCAATCAATAACATACGTCGGGTTAGCCTAGGATCCGATTCGATATCCGATCTTGACGTGGTATACTCTATAAATACAACTTCATTTCTTCTGATTAATGATAGCCAAAATTTAAAGTATACGCAAACAATCACTGTATTTTAATTTCTTTCTACATAGTTTTTAAATACCTACTAAGTATTGATTTAATAAACTTCAAAAAGAAGTTTATTGGAGAGGCTAATAAACTTCGTGTTTATGTTCTGCAAGTAGTTTTGCTCAAGTACTTGTAGATATAGCAATGCATGGTAATAGCTAGCAACAGGAGCATGTTTGAAGGTAGGGACTAAGATGGAATTAAAAACTGTAAAGTTTAGGCATTGCATAAATAAAATAAGATGGGTCAGAAAGAGAATTAAAGTAAAAAAAATTTACGAGGTGTTCTTTAGAAAAGATGAGTTTAGGGGATTTAATTGTAAATCAAGTCGCCTTGGTCCAGTGGTAAAGGAGAGAAAAGTCTCCGCCACCTGGTTCGAGTAGCATTGGCCACCGGGGTTCGAATTTTAACATTGTTTCTCCGGGCCCCAGGATTAGTCTTTGGGCCTAGAAAGCCTTTAGCATCACCTGATGAGTTATCAAAAAAAAAAAAAAAAAAAAAAAAATGTAGCGATGCATCCACCCTTTTCTTTATAGGATATTCATGCGGTAAAGAATAGAAATTTTAAACTAGAGGCAATGGACTCATGTGTTAACGTTTTTTATAGATCTCGCTTAAATTGGTAAACCAATACACATCTATAAATAAAGAAAGGAAGCTAACTGATTCATTTGTTTTTTTAAGAGATGATTCGGACAAGTTTTTGCATACTAGTTGTTTTGGTTATATTCGATTTTCCGGTGATAGAATCACAATCCCTCAAAAGCGATGGGACACACTCAGCTCGGTTTCCTACACCTAGTAGGGATTTTGTTGAACATGCGGCATTGAATTGTCGGAGACAAAGTGCGATTTTGACGGATTTCGGAGCTATTGGAGATGGAAAAACCTCAAACACGAAAGCGTTTAGAGAAGCCATAAGAAACCTTACTTCGAGAGCAGGCGATGGTGGAAGCCAACTCATTGTCCCGAAAGGGAAATGGCTAACCGGAAGTTTCAACCTCACGAGCCATTTTACTTTGCACATCAAAGAAGGTGCAACCATCCTTGCTTCTCAGGTAATGTCTATGTTTAGGTTCCTAGGTTTATAATTAGCTTTTATATATATAGTAATTAATATATCAAATTCTTTGCAATCGCCTATTTTCATATGCCTCATTTTGACCTATAAAGATCCATGTTCGTCAGAAAACGATGGAACAAACAAAACAGAACCTAATCAAGTAGATCAATGCCTAACCAAAATAAAAGATAATTGAACCAACTGCCACATTTGTGTTGTATGAAATAGTATTATAGCAGCCTGTATAGATACAAAGATTAATCAATTATTCTTCTTGAGATAAATAATTACATTTGGTTTTTTAAAGAACAATTCTTGGGTTCACCCCTAGGGGTGAACCTTTGTATTCACCCCCTTCAGTTTTAGCCAATCAATATGCCATGTCATATACCATTTAAATAAAAATTAAACAAACAAATTAATTAAATTAAAAATAAAATCATTAACAAAAAAATTACTAGTTTAATTAATGGAGTCGTAGACTTGAAAAAAAAATATCAACAGAGTCGTTTTTCTTTTTAGGTTTTACAATTTCATTCCATGGTCATTGATAACATTAACTTCTTCAACCTATTAAAACCTTCATAAACCTGGAAATTATGTGTCTAGTCTCGTGAAATCACATACATATTGAAAGTGCACATATATATATATATATATATATATATATATATATATATATATATGTAACTGTATTTGACGCTTTGCAGAATTACTATGAGTTCTATAATTCAAACGTTCATCGAGGAATCCACTATTTCAGTGCCAAGGCTATAGGATACGGATATGTCTTTCTAATCTTAAACGAGGATAAATATAAAAAACACATATAGATGCATATAGAATTGTGAAATCAAAATCTAATTCTTTTGGTAGTTAAAGTAGATTTCTTACTACACACTTTCTTAATGCAAAGGAGTGTTAGTAAAATTGTTAGGTTAGCTTTTTATGTCCTTCATTGTTTTTTTTTTGTAAATTTTCTTCGGATCAAACTTTTTTTTTGCTTCACCGTGAAACTTTTCTGAATGGTTTTTGTAATTTTTAAGTGCAGATCGAATTGATTAAAAGGTCAAGCAAAACTAATGTTCAAGCAAAATTTGAACAAGTCAGATTAAGAAAGACAACCAAACCAAGTAATGATCCACATAATTAAGAACCAAATCAACTCATCAAGTTTAAATTCAAAGCAATTAACACATTCTTCCATTACGTTTTGAAAATTATTAAAATTCAATTTCAGTTCCATGATTATGAAGGTTCTAATTGGGTGAAGAAATTAATGCTATCAATGACCTAAAAAGAAAGACGACTCCATTAGTATTTTTTTCAAGCATATTACGACTCCATTAATTAAACTAAATTTTTGTTAATGATTTTATTTTTTAATTTAATTAATTTGTTTATTTAATTTTTATTTAAATTGTATATGACATGGCATGTTGATTGGCTAAAACTAAAGGGGGTGAATACAACCCGGTGAACCCAAGAATTGTTCTTTTTTAAACAAACAGGACGAATCTGAATATCCCATGCTTCAAGTGTTACCCTCATACAGAGATACAAGATTTGCTAGTTTAATCTACGGAAGCAACCTAACCGATGTTGTTATCACCGGTAAGCACACACAAAGAAAATATATATTAACATCCATCAAACAACTTACTGGGCATGCGACCAAATCAAATGGATATTAATGGTTTGTAAGACTATATGTTATTTCATTAGGTGACAAAGGGACGATCAATGGACAAGGGAAGTCATGGTGGGCAAAGTATCGAAATGGTGGTTTCAAGTCCATACAAAGACCAATGTTGATCGAGATTCAATCCTCTGAAAATGTTCAGATTTCGAATATCAATTTGATCGATTCTCCGATGTGGAGTATCCATCCTGTGTATTGCAGGAACGTCATCATTAAAGGTGTTAAAATCTCTAATCCTATCGATACTCCTAACACGGATGGAATCAATCCTGGTATACATGTTTGTATTTTCTATACAAAAGTGATATAACATTTTTTATTTTATTTCTATTATAGTTACAATTAAAATATATGTGACAATCAATCTTTAATTTTAGAATAAGAACGTATTAAAGTCTTGATTGTTTATATATATACAGTATATGGTTTCAAAATATTAATGCAACTTCTTTTTTTTTTTTTTTATGTAAACATCTAGTTCTATGAACTAAACTGCATGTGTCTACAATTATTTGATCAAAATGTATGATTTACCATCCCCTACGTGGTAATCCAAAATGTATGTTTTCATTGTTATCACAGATTCTTGCTTCAACACACTAATAGAAGATTGCTTCGTAGTCTCCGGCAACGATTGCATCGGCCTCAAGAGTGGGATCGACCAAAACGGAATCGTAGTTGGAAGGCCAATCGAAATGCTTTTGATCCGACGGTTCTCATGCATTGCCCCCAACGGTGCAGGCATAGCCATGGGAAGCGAAATGTCCGGAGGAATCAAAGGTGTACGAATGGAAGACGTAACTCTACACAACACACAATCCGCCATCAAAATTGAAACCGCCGTAGGCCGCGGCAGTTACGTTCAAAATGTTTGGGCTCGGAGATTCACAATCAAGACATCGAAATACGTTTTCTTGATGACCGGATCACACAAACCAATTCCAAGAGATGGGAATATTCCCAAGGCCAAGCCGGTGGTTACCAATATCAATTTCCGTGATATAACGGGGGAGAACGTTACGACCTCGGCAAAGCTCGAAGGGATGAAAAGCAACCCTTTTACGGGTGTATGCATGTCGAATGTTAGTATATCGCTTTCGCCGAATGCGAGTAAGCAGCAGTTCCATTGTATGGATATCGTCGGAGAATCAAGAAGTGTTAAGCCGCAGCCGTGCAGTTTGTTGCCGGATAAGCATCCGGGAGTTAGGTTTGAGTGTACTTTTCCGTCAGAAAAGATTCCTATTGAGAATGTTGTATTGAAAAGATGTTCTGGTCATGTTTTCTAGATTAGGATCTGCGAAAATGCGCAGGTTTGTGATTTACGATTTGTTAAATGTTAAATAACTAAAACGTAACATTTGTACATAAAGTTCAAGAAACGCAGATGTTGATAAGAAAATACGTTCAAGAAACGCAGATTTAAAAAGAAAATGCATGAGTATAAGAGCAAAATACGTTCATGTTTTCGGATCTATGCAAATTTATTGCAACCCTAAGAGTGTTTAGTCCAAAGTTTAATAAATCTATTCCTAGCTAGTGTTTATTTCCATTTTATTGAAAAGCAAACAAATTAGCTATCAATTGCAACAAATAAACTACCAAATGTGCAAAAGAAAATAAGATGTGGCCTTGCTATGACTAATATTTTATACTTATATCAATTACCTAAATATATATAAAAAAATTGATAAGATGAATGATTTCAAAATTAGTCAAAGTGTGTAGTGAGTTGATAAGTGTTAAATCTTAACTAATAACTTTCCTGAATAAAATTCATGCTAATATTTATTATTTTAGGATTTTTTTCTCAATAGTAAATGAAATTAAACATCTAATTAATAAAATATTTTTTCAATTTTCTCAATGATATAAAATCCATACATTTTTTTTTGATAAAAAATCCATATATAATATATTTCTATAAATGTAGTGGTCCAAATTTAAAATTGGTAAGAATCAGGTCAGCAATGAGAGTTATTGTGTTATTTAAAAGATGAAAAAAGAAAAGAAATCATATGGAAACAAAATCATATATATATATATATATATATATATATATATATATATATATTCTTTTTAATTATTATTTTCTTGTTTTAGACTTTTTGGTTATTTTATTAAGAAATCTGTTACTTAACATACTATAATTTGAATTAACAAAAGTGCATGTACGTGATTTCAATCGGGAAAGAAATCATCTATATTCATTTTTTTGAGGAAAAAAATCTAGAAATATTTAGGGATCCCATATATTGTATATGTTACTATCTTCTGTTGTCTCCCACAGAAAATCAAACCAGAAGGAAGACATATTTCTCTGTTCTTTCTTTGGTTCTCAAAGCTTAGAAATATCTCAAGGTAATGAACATTTTTTTTTCTTATTTTTCTTCCAAAAAAAAAATATTGTCGTAATTTTGTTTGTTTGTCAAAGTTTGTATATTTATATATCGGCTAATAATATGCATTATGGTTCGTTCTTTGTGACAAAATTACAAGATTATAGTTTATTAGATGTTGAATATTGCTTAACTTATACAATTTTTGTTATCAAAACTATACAAGATTTAAATTATCTAAATCAATAAATAAACTATATTCCTGGAAATACTAATTTGATAAATTTTGAATATTCAATATCTTCCGTCAGTTATGTTCATCTATTTTGCATGTTTCTATGTTGTGTAGATGATTAGGCCAATGTTTGGTATACTAGTCATTTTGGCTATATTCCGCTTTCCGGCGATTGCGTCCCGGAGTCACCAAAATGTGGTGTCTTCAGGGATTAGATTTTCAGCATTGAATTGCCGGAAACATAGTGCAATATTGACTGACTTTGGTGCGGTTGGAGATGGAAAAACTTCTAATACAAACGCCTTTAAGAAAGCCATAAGCAAGCTCAGCCAAATGGCAACCGACGGTGGAGCTCAACTCGTAGTTCCTCCCGGAAAATGGCTTACGGGAAGTTTTAACCTTACCAGCCACTTTACTTTGTTCATCCAACGAGGGGCTACCATCCTTGCATCTCAGGTAAGTGTGTTTACAACGCTTGCATTCATTTTTTTTTCCTCCTTAACTTTTAAAATCAATAGTAAACAAGCAATAATTTTGTATCAGTTTTTGGTGTAGGCCGAATTAAACGTCTTTGATTTCTCTTACCATAACATGCTATACTGATTTGACCAAATCAAACCACTCATAATGAATCAAATTTTGCCTAGTAGAGACGTTGACGTTAGACAGGAAACGTAATTGAGAATTAGGGTAAAGCTAACTATTATAATTTACATATAGATCCCTAAGTAAGTATTTACTTTATACTCTTATATGATACACAATCTAAATGCATGAAAATGAGTGTATGCTCCCGGTTCGGTTCGACCTATAAGAATGTAATAATATCAAAACAAAAACCACTACGGTTTTGACAAACACAGGATGAAACTGAATGGCCAGTGGTCGCTCCTTTGCCATCGTACGGGAAAGGAAGAGACGGAACCGGAACCGGGAGATTCAACAGTCTCATCTCCGGTACAAACTTAACCGACGTGGTTATCACCGGTAGGTTCCATCACAATCACTCCATGTTTTCGTTTATATAATCAAAATTTTCCGATTCTGATTGTTTTCTTGATTATAGGTAACAACGGAACTATCAACGGACAGGGACAATATTGGTGGGATAAATTCAAAAAGAAGCAGTTCAAGTTAACAAGACCGTACTTGATCGAGCTCTTGTTCTCCAAAGACATTCAAATCTCGAACATCACATTGATCGATTCACCATCATGGAATATTCATCCCGTCTACTGTAATAACGTCATTGTCAAATCCGTCACCGTTCTTGCTCCCGTCACTGTCCCCAACACCGACGGAATCAATCCAGGTAAATGTTTATCCTACGTGGCAATATTATTATCCTACGTGGCAGTTCTAGAATCTGACGTGGCAGTTCTAGAATTTGACGTGGCACATTGTCATCCTCTGTTTTCGTGTGTGTTTCAACTACTCTGTGTCTTGTTTTTCAGATTCTTGCACAAACACATTGATCGAAGACTGTTACATAGTCTCTGGTGACGACTGTATTGCCGTCAAAAGCGGTTGGGACCAATACGGAATCAAATTCGGAATGCCGACGCAGCAACTCTCCATCCGACGGTTGACATGCATCTCCCCAAAGAGTGCAGGAGTAGCCTTAGGAAGTGAAATGTCCGGAGGAATCAAAGACGTTAGAATCGAAGACGTGACTTTAACCAATACAGAATCCGCCATCCGAATCAAAACTGCGGCGGGACGTGGCGCTTACGTCAAGGACATTTTCGCTAGGAGGATAACGATGAAGACGATGAAATACGTTTTCTGGATGAGTGGAAACTATAATCAGCATCCTGACGAAGGATTTGATCCCAAGGCGTTGCCGGAAGTTACTAATATCAATTACCGCGATATGACGGCGGAGAACGTTACGATGTCGGCGAGTCTTGACGGGATTGATAAAGATCCGTTTACGGGTATTTGTATTTCGAATGTGACTATAGCTTTGGCGGATAAGGCTAAGAAAGTGCAGTGGAATTGTACAGATGTGGCTGGAGTTACCAGCAGAGTTACGCCGGAGCCATGTAGTTTGTTGCCGGAGAAGAAAGCTCCGGCAAAGAATGACGACTGTGTCTTTCCATCTGATTTGATTCCGATTGAGAGTGTTGTATTGAAGATGTGCTCTCTTTGATGTATTATAGTGACAGTCACAGATTAAGATGAATTAAAAACTTTATGAAATTTTATAATAAAATATATACATATGAATCAGCCGAGACAACACTCACATTCATATGATTACTAACATTCTAAAACTAAACAGAGAGAACAAATTCCATATTAATAAGCACTTTTGGTCTTACTTAGTATGTTCACTAAGGCATGTTCTGGTTTAAGAAGTGAAGGATAAAAAAAAACTCATGAAACAAAAAAGCAGAATGTGATACACAAAAATTCAAATCCAAAAGATGATAAACATAACCAAAAAAAAAGCACAAAAATTTCTTTAAACTACGAAGAAAGATCCTCACTTCTTCTCTTCTCTCTCAGCCTGAGCAGTTCTCTTGGCTCTAGCACCAGCATGTCTCTGATTCATGTGCTCTAAACAGATCTTGTTATAAGCATTGAACGATTTCATGTCAGAAGTCAGCTTAACAAGCTCCATTGTTGGCATCTCACGAAAAATAGGCATGTGGTCTCCTTGGACTTGTGTTGCATTGGCCAACTCTTGTGGTGCAGCATCACCAGCCTGATACACAAACAAAATAATAACAACAAAGAGATCAGCTCCAAATCCAAATCCAAAGACGAAGACCACCGAAGCCTAAACTAGTACTTGCTTGCGAAAGAGTACCTTGACCGTGCGGGCACGGCGCGGAAAGATAACCAACTTAGCCTTGTACGTTTTCAGCCTCTGGACATTGGATTGTAAGCCCTCCAAAGATCGGTTCTTGCGATGATGGTCAACAGAAATACCTATTGTAGGAGCCAACTTCTTGGGAATACCAGCAGCCTAGATTTATCAAGAATCAGAAAAACAACAATCTGAACGATATCCAACAAGAAACAAAACACAAAAGCTAAATGAAGAACAGAGAGATATAACAAACCTTAAGCTCTTCAAGAGTGAATCCTTTACCGGCTCTGACTTTCATGTTGTACTTAAGAGTCTGACCATGTACAACAGGTCGGAGAGGTCCAGCAGTGGGACGGGGAAAGATCCTCACAGCCTTATTCTGCCTCACTGAGTAAACATAACACAATCAAATTCAGATGGGATTATGGTAAAACATAAAATGAAACATGTCACATAAAGAGAGAGAAACCAGAAAAAAAAAGAATTAAGATGGCATAAGCAGTAGTGGTGACATCACTACTAACCAATTCTTCTTCTGGTTTTCATGGCAGGTTGGTTGAACGAAGTCTTCACATAGTGTTCCCACTTCTTTTTGAAGTGTCCATTGGGGATAACATTGTTGTGCTTCATTTCTTCACCTCAAGCTGTCAAAAATAAAAACAATCGGGAACATGTGAATCTCAATCATGCATTCAAAACTAAATGATGTAACTTCACCCTGCAAAGCCATCTCAATACTATAGCTAACATCAATCAAACAAAACAGATAAGAAACTAGTAATATCTTCAGGATTTAGAAGACGCTTATCAAAACTACACTAAAGGTGTCACTTGTTAGAGAACACACCACAAACAAACAAAAAAACTCATCAATTAATGAAACAGTAGTATTACTCATTCCATAATCTATAACGCATGCGGATCAATGAACTAAAAAAAAACGCTTATATTCACAGAGTCACAGTGACGAAATCAGGAAACAGAGAGATCACAGAAACAATACAAAATTGGCAGATAGAATTAAGATGAAGCCGAAAATGAATAATACGATCGCTAAATCTTATTGACTTCAAAAACCCTCAAAGAGAGAAGAGAACTCACCCGAGACGACACGTAGAGAAAAGAGAATTCTCTCACACGTTACCAAAAACCCTATTCTTATAAGAGCTTCTTTGTTAGCTTCTGGAACGACGTCGTTAGGGAGCCCAATTGGTCTTCAACCAATTCACTGACCAACTTGGTTATTGCCTCTAATTCACTTGTACCGGTTTTCACTTGAATTGAACCAAAACCTCCCCTGCGTTATTTACTTTCGGTTTAGCATTTAGTGAAAGAGAGGCTTCAAGTATATTTTCGGTTTCGTGGTGGTTCGGTTCTTGAAAACTACAAACATTTCAATCGTATAAAAACAGAGATTTCGAATCGGATTATATATGTTTAGTTCACGTTGATCCAATTTTTCAGACTAATCAAGCACTCTTACTAAACACAACATATTTTACTTTCTCATTCCAACATTAGTTATACAAAAAAAATTCACACCACATCAAATTTGGGCAAGGAAGATAAACAGAAAACATATTTTGTATACTAGAAAAAACAAAAATTACATTATGGTACAAGCATGAGGATTATCATCACTAAACATCGAAGCCGCGATCTCATCGCCGGCCACCGCAACGGAGTATACCGCGGGAGTGTGGAAAAAAGTGTGGACACCACCGGTGGGATCGGTACGGTGTGCATCAGAGTAATAGTGGTTGGTCACATAAGAAGGATATTTATAGAAAGAGGCAAAATGGCTATTGCCTAACCGGTATGGCCACAATTCAGCTGCCTTACCGGCCCGTCGTACCGCTTTCAATACCTTCTTCTCCTCTAACCGGTATCCTCGAGCCGTCACTTTTTGAGTTTCCATCTCTACTTCCACTTCTTCCACTCCTGCAATTAAACCAATAACAACCGGATAAATTAATTAAAACATTTGACCATGTGAGATAACCGGAAAGTCGATGTTCCGATTTGTAATCGGTTCATTATGGTTAAGATTTGGTTGAGATGTTAAATCCAGATATGAACCAAGCCTAACCTTAGTTTTGTTAAAAGGAATTAATTCGTGTTTAATATCTTAGAAAATGAAAACAAAAATTTACCAAACTGAAAAATCTTTAATAACAAATAGAATGAGAGCCAACATTATAATTAACGATTCATGTATATTTAGTTTTACTTTGGTTACTAACATTTTAAAAGTCAAAACCAAATTAAAATCTGTATAAGGACTCAAAACTTAGATTACACCAAGAAGAAACATATTAAAACTCAAAAGCTTTCAATACCTTTAAGCTTGAGTAGAGTCTTCTTAAGCTTAGAAGCACATCCTTCACAATCCAAGTTTGGAACTCTTATCTCCACTGACATCTACAAATTAACTCACATTTCAGCTATATTTAGTATTCATATCTTTATATATGTATATGGACAATAAGTAAGAAGAATGGAGTGAGATAGATACTCACAGACATGATCTTAAAAACTCAATATATTCAAGCTTAATCCCTTAGAAAAAGAAACTCCCTCCAAGATAATACTAAGTTCAAGAGAATGAAGCAGTGCACAAAGGCTCCTAAGTGTGTATGCCTATATATATAGGTCGATTATGTATATGTGTGTGAATACATACTATAATTATGATTAGTATTTTCATATTTTATTATAGTATAGTATGTTATTATGGAAAGGGTTCTTGGGTTGTGAAATAGGGAGACAAAGGAAGAACAAAGCACGCGTGAAATAGTAACAAAAAAGGTGTGACTTGTGAGTGTGAGCTTTTAGGTTTTCTTCTTGGCCCCAAATCATATCGCTCTCACTCTCTTGTACTTGTAATATTACTTTCTATTTTTCTTTGTCAACAAATACAATTTTAGTTAGGCATCGCCAAGTTTATAAATGGTTTAATACTTTAATTCATGTTGATAATGATAATAGAAGCAGTCCCTACTACTATTATAAAGCAGATAATATGAAAATACGGATTTATGCAAAGCTTTTGTAACCCTTCACTTTTTAGTTCAAATATCTTATCATGTTTTAATATACTTTAGTATGTTGGAGATACAATCCAAGTCCCACATCGGAAGTTTGATGGGACAATCAATAATATATAAAGGGTTAGTGCCAATCCACTAATTGCCAATTGGTTTTTAGTTGGAAGCCCAGAATTAGCCCAAATTTAACATGGTATCAGAGCCCAAGGTTCAAATTCTGGTGGACCTAGAAAAGTGGATACGGACATACCTCAAACCCGAGTAATGGGGGCCCGAGAAAGGGGCTTATTATCGGTCCGAGTGAGGGATCGAGGAGGTGTGTTAAGATCCATGTGGTCCTTGGATTGAAGGGGAGATTGTTGGAGATACAATCCAAGTCCCACATCGGAAGTTTGATGGGACAATCAATAATATATAAAGGGTTAGGGTCAATCCACTAATTGCCAATTGGTTTTTAGTTGGAAGCCCAGAATTAGCCCAAATTTAACATAGTAATGAAATAATGTCACTGAAATAATTGAGAAATCTCATTTAGGAAAATAACAAAAATCGAGAAACATATTAACTATATTATCTTTTTGGTTTATTAAGTTTATTAAATTAAATACAATTTTGGAGGCATAATCATGATGAAATAATTCGATAAAGAAAGTGTCAAATATTATAGAATAGAATATATTATTGAGTTGTGTTTGATATGAGAATACAAGAAACATATATATAGTGTCAACATTAACATAATGCTAACACCCACATAATGAAACTTTCCTAAACACATAAGGAAATAACTTGTACAAGAAGTAATATAGAGATCTAGAGTATTCTTCGGTTTGGGCTTCACGGGCTTCACTTCATAATGGCCTTTAACGGTTCATATTACTTGGTCCGCAAGATACACATCTTGCTTATCTCCAATACTCCCCCGCACGACAAACGTGGTACGCACAACGCAAACTTTGCAATCACAAAGCGAAACACGTATGTCGTGGACATCATGACGAGGACGGACAAATCATGTCAATAGACTCCTCGGGGTACAACAAACTTCAAAAGAGGGATGGAACTTCAGCTCGCCTTTGGTCTTGGTAAATTGGGAATAACAACATCCCGTGGGCGCAAATCCTGCAACTCCACAAATAATCGTCCTATCTCAGACAGCCCACAAACCGGACTAAAAATGACCTAAAACATGAGTGTTCCAATAAACTCCCCCGTAATATGAGAAATCAAAACTCATATAAAAAATTTGAGATATTCTAAACTCAAGAATAAATCTCATAAATAAACAACTACTTGTAAAAGCCCAAACCCTTAAAAAACAAAAATTCTTCAAAGATCTCTAATCCTTGTGCTAAACCAAACCATAAACTCAAAATAAAACCAAACCATTAACTTAGAATAAAAGAAATATAAAACCCTCATGTGGGCGTCAAAGCAAACTTTGCTTCACGCCATCATCCGGATCGTCTTCGTCACCACCGTCTTCGATGGCTTCACATCCCATGGTTATTGTGACCACAATATTTTTAGTGCGGAAGCGTTTAATTTAGATCCACAAAGATCGACTGCTCTGATACCATGTCAAATATTAATGAAACTTTCCTAAACACATAAGGAAATAACTTGTACAAGAAGTAATATAGAGATCTAGAGTATTCTTCGGTTTGGGCTTCACGGGCTTCACTTCATAATGGCCTTTAACGGTTCATATTACTTGGTCCGCAAGATACACATCTTGCTTATCTCCAATAGAAAGTAATATATCTGATAACTCAATTATTTCTGATAATACATTAAACGAATTAGAAACTCGCTCCATACATTTTGATTACCCATCAAAGGTTTTCTTGATATACGATAAGGATTCAGCTTAGAATTTCAATTTAGAAACTTGAATTTCATTGATATTATTTTATGAAATTATCCAACTTTTTGTGAAAATAAATAATGTAAAAGCAAGAGCGTATAGCCTGATTTTGATGTGAAGATGTGATTAAGGTAGGGACATGGATAGTTTCTTTTCTTAAGCATGAGCTTTAATTCAAAAATGTCAAAGAGGGCACTCCTAAAAAGATTTGTTAATCCATAATTCGTTTATTTGCTTTTTCCTCATCATTATGTTCCCATTTAATTAAGAAGAATCAAGATGGATGATAAACAAAAATCAAGATGATAATATTTGCAAATGAAGAGTACAAATTCCTAAATATATTAGACCTAATGATTCATTAACTTTGAAATTGGTTCTGAATATTCAAACACTAAAAATGATCTCAATCAAACACTTGCGATTATTGTGATATTTCAGGCCTCCGCTCACGAAAGCCTAAACACTTTATTGAACAGTGAACTCCGACCAAGACAGCTCTATATATGTAAATGTCATGTCGTAAACCAGATCGTCGAAACTTATATGATATTAGAACAAATCACTTAAAAAAGGAAACAAAATGGTCCATTTTCTCGAAATCACATGTGTCTACAATGTGCTTTATTGTGGTCCAAATCAATGCTCGGTTTGTTAGTTGTTGTCACTTTTTAAAACTGATATTTAAATATGAACCTAACCTGAAAAGTCCTATGTCAATTATTTGATTGGTTGGATAATTACGATAGATGTCTATCTTTAGCCTCTTAGGCAATATATTTCAAAACATTATTACAAAAACGTTTATTGCGGGCTTGGGCTTAGTCCTAGATCTTGGCGTCGACCTAGGCCTTGACGTTACAGTGTTATTTTATATTCAAACTCATCTTATTTCTAAAGAAAGTTTTGAGAAAATGTCTACTTTACAGTATTTTATTCAAAAATATTACTTATTAAAAATATTTTAAAAAATAAATTTTATAAAATATACGTCATGTTTATTGTGACATATAAAATTTATAAAATCTTATAAAATCGTGTAAAGCAATTAAAATTTGATTTTAGAATCATCTTTATAAACTTTTTTTTTATATAAAAGGGTATAATTGAAATTGACAATGTTTGGAAACATTTTTGAAAAGAAGTATTGAAAAAATATATTTTTAAAATTTCCACTTATTTGTATGCTTATTTTTGCATATTTATTGATATTTAGTAATGTTATAGAATATTAAATCATATTTCAAATTCTTACAGTTAAGTTAATTTCTTTCAATGATTCTAAGTTTTCTAACAACTCGCAACACTCGTTTTCTTTTTTTAATAACGCATTCTGTTATTTTCTTTTGTTATTTACCGAATACCTTCTTTTTTTCTTCTTTTTTTTGGTAAAGTTTACCGAATAACTTACAAAAACATTTAGAAGAGTTGTACTTTTGTGTCTCACATTTCACCTAGAAACTTTAAACATTTATTCCTGGTACACACATGACACATCCATCAGAAGTCTTGCAAACTTTAAAAGAGTTTAGTTTTAAACCAAACCTTTTCTTCTTCTGGTTCACATGATTCTCTGTCCTTTCCTTTTCTCACACACAAAAAGCTCTCATTCTCTCTCTCTCTCACCCTTCAAATCTCTCACCTCTCTCTTCTTCATCTTTCACGTTTATTTGATTATCAAATTGGCATGCAACAACAAGGAGGGATGATGAGGAACTCGCCGTCATATAGCTCTGGAGGACATTCTCGTAATTTCGATACCATTTGGTCTCCACTCGTCAAAACCGGCACCGTTGCTTCTAACCGATCCTACGCTTTCTTCTCCCTCTTCCTCTTCCTCCTCCTCGGCGCGTTCCTCTCCACGCGCCTCCTCCTCGACCCTTCCGTACGAACATCTTACTATAATTAGAATCTTGTGTTCTCTTCTAATCACATCAAACGACAATCCTGTTTGTCGTTTTTCTCACTACTATTTTTTTTGCCACGTCGGATATTGGTTAGTGGTGTTAAAACTCATTCGCGCTCGCGCCTAATTTGTCGTGTCACCATTAGTTTTTGTCAAATAAGTTACGGACGCTTGACACGTGTCTACATAGGAGTTTTAATACTCACGTGTTTGTTTTTAGTCAATAACTAACTACCGCTATTTACTAAACGACTACGTTTGTGTAACTATAGGTTTTGATAGAGAAAGAAACGGTGGCCGTGACTGATAGAGGAACGACCGAATCCCCAAAATACCCTCAGTCGACTAAGCTAATTACGGAAAAACCAAAAGAGTTCACGCTAAACTGCGCCGGTATCTCCGGTAACGACACTGTGACTTGCCCAAAGAACAATTATCCGACGAGTTTCCGATCCAACGCCGGAGAAAGCGAACCAGACCATTCGCCATCCGCCACGTGTCCCGACTATTTCCGATGGATCCACGAGGATCTACGGCCGTGGGAGAAGACAGGGATCACGAGGGAAGCCTTGGAGCGAGCCAATGCGACGGCGAATTTCCGGCTGGCGATTATCAACGGGAGAATCTACGTCGAGAAGTTTCGTGAGGCTTTTCAGACGAGAGATGTGTTCACGATTTGGGGATTCGTGCAGCTCCTACGGAGATATCCGGGAAAGATTCCGGATCTCGAGCTTATGTTTGACTGCGTTGATTGGCCGGTAGTGAAGGCGGCGGAATTCGCCGGAGTTGATCAACCTCCGCCGCCGCCATTGTTCCGTTATTGTGCGAACGACGAGACACTCGACATTGTATTTCCTGATTGGTCTTATTGGGGATGGTAATTGCTTCTTCTTCAAGCAACCAAAAATTTTAGGACTTTACAATTTCACCACTTTAGTTTTTGATTTGAAAAATGAAACCCCATAGTGAATTTACTTGGTAGCTTAAGAAAATATAGCTGTGAGAGTTGTTTAGAGAATGTTTAATTCATAGGTTAGTGATGAGAATGTCATTGGTTTTGTAGGGCTGAAGTGAATATAAAGCCATGGGAGAGTCTATTGAAAGAACTAAGAGAAGGGAACCAGAGGACTAAATGGATAGACAGAGAACCTTATGCTTACTGGAAAGGGAATCCAACGGTTGCTGAGACGAGACTTGATCTCATGAAATGTAATGTCTCCGAGGAGTATGACTGGAAAGCTCGTTTGTACAAGCAGGTAATTGACTCTATGCCGATATCACGTTGTTCTTGTTCTATGATTCAATTAGTTAAGAGAGTCTTGGATTCGATTCCCATTGCTTAAAATCATCTGCATTAAGTAAAAGAAAGCTTTTTAAAATGGTATCTAGACTCTAGTGCTGTGCTAACTTGAAAGGTTGAGCAACTTGAGTGCGTCTTGTGTCGCCATCTTGTTGAAATTGATGTGGCTCTCCAAACATGTGTATTTGAACGCATTTTATTGGAGAATATTAGCAGCGATATCTGTACTAATCAACACAAGCGGTGGATCTATAGTTGATATTGTTCGTTTAGTTCTTAATGGTTGATGATGTACTATGGTGCAAAAGTTGGGAGTTTTGGGAATGTGATGTCGGGGAATGTTTATATATTACTTCTCTATGTGTTTAATTTTGGTGTGTTTTTGTAGGATTGGGTCAAGGAATCAAAGGAAGGTTACAAGCAGTCAGACTTGGCGAGCCAATGCCATCACAGGTAGTAGTAGCACATAAACTTCTTAGAGGAACCTTTACATTACTTTTGGGTTCTAAGAAATGGCTTTTCCAAAAACAATTGTTATGCAGGTACAAGATTTACATAGAAGGGTCTGCATGGTCGGTGAGTGAGAAGTACATTCTGGCATGTGACTCGGTGACATTGATGGTCAAACCTCATTACTACGATTTCTTCACACGAGGTATGTTTCCAGGACACCATTATTGGCCCGTCAAGGAAGACGACAAATGTCGCTCCATCAAATTCGCCGTTGATTGGGGCAACTTGCATATGCGAAAGGTATGATATCACTTAAAACAGTATCAGATTATACTGGGGCTGTGTTAACTGGTTCTCAATCTCAGTATAATCTTATAATATCTACACCGAGGTCCATTTATCTCAATCAACACACATTAGGTAGTGAATTCTCTTGACTTAGTTTACTGGATTCAATCTCTATTAGCTGAATTCAACCAAGACACCTTTATATGCGCTTCATGAATGTTTGATTGAGAATCGGGTCTAAGTACTCCTAATGTTATCCTCTCACTGTTCTTTTGTCTTACCAGGCACAAGACATAGGGAAGAAGGCAAGTGAGTTTGTGCAACAAGAACTTAAAATGGACTATGTGTACGATTACATGTTCCATCTCTTAATCCAATACTCTAAACTCCTCCGGTTTAAACCCGAGATCCCTCAGAACTCTACCGAGCTCTGCTCAGAGGCAATGGCGTGCCCGAGGGATGGAAATGAGCGGAAGTTTATGATGGAATCACTCGTGAAACACCCAGCTGAGACAGGTCCATGCGCCATGCCGCCTCCGTATGATCCAGCATCGTTTTATTCGGTTCTGAAAAGGAGGCAGAGTACGACTAGTAGAATCGAACAGTGGGAGAGTAAGTACTGGAGGAAGCAGAACAAGACCGGTTCGTAAAATTTGATTGGCGTATAAAGTTTTGTTGTGTAGAGTAAAACCACTAGTCAGAATTGTATCGAGTAGTATATAACCTAGAAAACATGCGATCTTTATTTTCTTTTCCGTTTTTGGTAGAAATTTAACTAATCCATTATGTCTAGTGAATTCGACGATACAAAGTTTTAATCGGTAATAAAAGTAAATAGTATAATTTTTATAAAAGAAATGTAAAGTTAAATGTTAAAATTTATCAAATGAATATAAGCTATTTGATTGCAAAATGGTGGCTTACGCAATACAGAGTTTGATTGCAATACAAAATGGTGGCTTATGCAATATTGTGTGACTATAACATCTGGATGATTTCATGGTGCAGCTCGGTGGTCACTCACTCACTCACTCTCACACGAGTTGAGAACTATGAACTCACATCTGGCGGCCCATATGTTGTAAGAACTATGTGAACTCATCAGATGTGAGTTCAAACAAAGATTTGAAATGGATTTGCATGTTCTATGTCTGTACTGTACGCCTCTTGTTTCATAATTTTCGCAGGTAATTTATTTGGGGATTAGCAAATCACTGCAAATGCATACAATGATTTCGTAAGGACCTTTTATAAAAAAATAATGATTTCATAAGGACAATTGGCATTTTTAATTCGATGAAGATTTAAGAGTCCATTCACTTACAATTGGAAGGAGTGAAGGTTAGAAAATCTAACGATTCTACTTGCAATGACCAATGTATTGTAACAATGTTCCTTTTCTTAGTTTTCTATCTTTACAATTATACAAATTTATTTCTTAAATCACCAAACTATTCAATGGGTAATCTATTATACCAACTATTCAATGGGTGTAATCTATTATTATCTTTTGGATTAAGGTGTTGTTCGATCCAAGAGATGTTCAGGCGAGTGAGTAAACAGTTCACAGCTATGTTCAGAAAAAAGGCTTTCTTGCATTACTGGTGAAGGGAATGGACGAGATGGAGTTCACAGAAACAGAAAGTAACATGAACGATCTGGTCTCCGAGTATCAGCAGTATCAAGATGCAACTGGAGAGGAAGAAGAAGGGTATGAGTATGAAGATGAAGAGGAAGAAAATGTTCAAGAGGAGCAATAATAATGATTGAAGAAGAACTACTAGATGCTACCTCGTATAGTTTCTAACTTGTTTGGAGTTCAGGTTCAGAATTAGTTAGCTATAACATGGAACTTTTAAATCGCACTTAATAAAGTACTTACTTTTGGTTTTGATGAGTCTTAATTTGGGACATAGTGAAAACCTACCTGTCCCACTAAACGGTCGGTTTGTTCTACGAACCAAAAGCTTTAAAAAGTGACAATGAAATATTTGTCCTTTGGCTTTACCCGTTTTGGAAGTACGCTTTTAGTTGTCAAATTGGCCATTAGATCAAGAGCATCTGTAACATACGACGCAGAGACAACACCAAGAAAAAGAAACTCTCCTTTATTGTTGTACTTAAATAATCACTTATCAACTTTATTTCCACTTCTGTGATTTAACTATAACCTTTACCACCATGTCCTCTTTTTTAACCATGAAACATATGAAAAGTAACTTTAAAACCAAGAAACCAATAGAGAACGCAAATCCATTTGCGTGAAAACTAAGACTCACCGCCAAGGATTTTCGAGCAAGACGGTGTTTTTAGGGTTTCTCGAGGAAATGCTGCGCAACGATACGACGCTGAATCTTACCAGAGGCAGTTTTGGGGAGGTTATCAGTGATGAACACTCTCTTTGGTACCTTGAAAGCTGCCAAATTCTTCTTACAGAACGCTTTGATGTCCTCTTCGGTCACTGTTGTTCCTTCTCTTGGAATCACCGCACAGTTAATCTGATAAAAAAAAAGACACGAAAATACAGCGTTATTAACAGCTATAAACATCTGATTACGTTTCTTAAGTTCATTGATCAAGTAAGTTCACATGATGCTTTGATGATTCTGTAGGACATAATGGTAGATATGGGAGACCAATTCATCAATTCAAATTTAGAGCAACTTAAGCACAGGTTTTGTTTACCTCTTCTCCATATTTCTCATCAGGAACACCGAATGCAACACCCTGAGAAACGTCAGGATGAGTTAAGAGTACTGCATCTACTTCAATTGGAGATATCTTCTCACCTGAAATAGAGATTGTAATTAAGTACACATAGAATATCTAACTCACTGATACAAAAGAACATAGTAATGCACAGAGTAGCGTCTTTCTTTGACTTGTCTAATTTCTAATTTGCTGGGGGGTTTTCTTTGACAAGTCTAACATAGTATTGCACAAAGTAGCCTCCATTGAGACTATGCAAATAAACTGCATGACATAGACTACTATTCTTGTGAAACAGTAAAGCCATCACATAAAGTAAATGAGACTAACCTCCACGGTTAATAAGCTCTTTGATCCGACCCACCAGATGCAAATACCCATCGGAATCAAAGTAACCGATATCACCAGTGTGGAACCACCCAAACTCGAAAGCAGCCTTGTTGGCATCTGGATTGTTCTTGTAACCCTTGGTCACATTTGGACCTCTTATACAAACCTCTCCTTTGTTATTCGGCTCTTGTATCTCTCCTTTCTCATTAAGGATCGCCATTTCTTGACCTACCGGTTTCCCAACAGACCCAGGCTTGTGTGGACCTTCCTCTGGTAAGGGGTTTGAGCTCATCAAGTGTGTTGCCTCTGTCATTGCATAGGCCTCGAGCACCGGTGCTCCAAAAGCTTCCTCAAGCCTGGACAATATCACCTGACCAAAACCATAGACATACAAACCATAAGTTTGTCAGAAACTCAAGATTTTGCAAAACATTGTGCTGATGTACAAACTAAACAAGAGCATTACCGGAGCCAAAGAAGCACTGCAACTCCTGATGAACCGGAGCTTAGGGTATTCCGGCTCAGGATGGCTCGCGTGGCGGTCCAATATGATCTGATGAATGGTCGGAACAGCAGTATACCATGTAGCGTTATACTTCTTCATGTCAGGCCAAAACGTTGTTGCTGAGAATCTACCAGCAGCTGGAAGAGTCACAGACGCACCAGCTCCAAGCGAGCTAAGCAAACCAGCTAACAATCCATGAACATGGAACAGAGGGAGAACAATCACCGTAGAATCAGACTCCGTAAGCTTGTAAACAGCTTTAATGTTCTTGACGGATGAAACTAGATTGAGCTGCGTAAGCGGTACACCCTTTGGACGGCTCGTAGTGCCAGAAGTGTGGAGGAAGAGAGCACCATCGTCCGGGTGATTAACGAGTTCGGTCGCTGAGTCAACGACCGAGTCAGAATCCGTAACGGACAGAGCAAGGTCCGAGCCAGCGTCAAGCAGCGTGGCGGTGACGTGAGTGATTTTCAGCTTTGAAGCTGCTTCTTGAGCCGGTGCGTTTCCTTCTTTAGAGGTTAATAATAGCTTTGAATCTGAATCAGATAGGTAAAACTCAAATTCCTCCGCCGTGTACGCTGCGTTTAACGGCGCCGCCGTGGCTCTAGCTCTTATCACCGCTAAAAACATTATAACAAACTGAAAAACAAAAAAATCAAAATCACGAAAAAAATATCTGAATCTGGAAATCAAATTTTCTCAAATCAAGAAGCGATTTACAGATTTTCACAAATTCTGCTTCAGCACGCAAGATAAAACCAGAAACGAAGCTTTTAAATCGAAAATATATGAAAAAGCTCTAAAACTACCTCGACGGTGTTAGGGAAGGTGAGAGCGACGATATCTCCAGGTTTGATGCCAGCGGCGGAGACAAGACGTGAAGCGGCGCGTTCGATTAGATCGTGAAGACGCGCGTGAGTGAGATCGAATTTTCCAGAAACGGAGAGAGCTCGGCGATCGGGGAATTTTCTGGCGACGTTTTCCAACAATCCGGTGAGTGTATCGCTATCCATAGTTACGTCGGAGACAAAAACACGAGAGCAACGATGATGAAGGAGAGAATGTGCAAGCAGAGAAGAAGAGAGCAAAATGGGATATTTATAAATTTATATTTAATTAATACAGTGTCTGTAGAAGCAAAAATGGCCTAAAAGACGATGCCACGTGTCATCATCGTAACGACTTTTCTAATGATCGTATGGTCAAAGTTTTTTGTTTTAAACTTTTTAATTAATTTTTGGAGGGTGGGGGTCACTGCTCACTGGTATATCCTCCTCCCTACGATTAGACCGACGTTTCGGTTTTTGAAGAGGTGGTTTTTTAAATTTCGATTTCCGGTACAAACCCTGAACCGAAACGGCTAGTTAATTAACTTTTACTCAGATGGTAATTTACGGTTTATGAATGATTTCATAGGAATTTGTGATAGTTTAGTGTATGTATTATTATCAAACAAAAGCATTTTACTTTCTGATTCTTAAATTTAGATAACGGAGGGTGATACATAGTTTAATTAAAAATATCTTAATTATGAGTGCTTAATCATTTTTAGGGCCTTTGCACATGTGTCTTTGACTCGGATTATCACGTTTCAAAGATGCTCGACGTTGTTTATATTATATTTAGAAGATAACGTCCTTAGGAAATGGAGGTGGGTTGGATTTATTTCTTAATAAAGTGTGCCTGAAGATCACAACCTAGAGACTAAATTAAATTATTCGAATCCCGGTTCCGAAAAAAAAAAGTAGTAAATGACCAAGGACGCAAGGAAAAAAAACTTTGAAGGATAAGAATAAATAAATTATTTCTATTCTATTTATAAGAGAAAAGGATAAGAATAATATAATGAGACATATATATCTTTTTGAAGTAATCAATTTTGGTTTGTCTATATATACAAATTATTATATTGTTTTATTTGGATTTGTTGTTTTGTTTGATACATGCACACAGCACACTATATAATATAACCAGTAAGTTATAAATTATTATGAAATGAATGTGTTGTTTATAATTCTATAGGAAAAAAACATATATCTCAAGCTGACTAATTTGCTATTTATAAGTTTAAATTTAGGTAAAGGTTAATCAATAATGGGTAGTTGTGATCATGTCTTTATTTAGTCCAAAATATAATTGGATTTGAAAATTTAATTGCTATTTTTATATCGAGATCAATGATTCATTGAAACAATTGGTGTAAACTCAACGACATGTACGTGGTTCGAATGTAGCAGATTCAAAACTATTATAAACAATGGTCCATAATTTTGCTTGCAAGTAGGCAGTAGCCTAGCTGAAGAGAGTAAAAATTACAACTGATCATATGTTTAGTAAAAGATTAAAGTTATGCATGTGAATAGAAAATAAGTACGTAGATGTTTAAATTTCGTATAAATGAAAACGACACAGTTAGTTTATTTATTTATTTATTTATTATGATATAATCATATTCTTGTAGGCTTGTAGCTGAAAAAGTCATTTTCCTTTCTCCTGACTAAAAAACATGGTCTTCATGTAAGCCGTCACATACAAAAGAAGAATTTGATTTGTGTTTGTTCTTCTTCCGTTACGTAGCATTGTCATCTGGCAATCATTAAAAATATGGCTGTCATATTAGAAAAAAAAAAAACATCTCTTAAGTAGTTAAGTTATCCATTTTTGAATTAAAATTTCTCAACTACATTTCGTTAAAGAATTAAACTTTTAATTTTACGTTGACGGAAATATTGTAGTCAAACCATGATTTTAATTTGAAACAGAGTTTTGGACTTACAAGTATAGGGCCTGCTAGGCCCAATTATCAAATACAAAGCCCTACGATAATATCCTCTCCTGGGATAACTTAAAATCGATTAGCAAACACCTCTATATCGGCCAAAACCTCCGTCAAGCTCCACAGAGTCTGTTCCTGTCGAGAATCATCCAACTTCGACGGTGATAAGATTGAAACCCAGCCCTATCAGTCATGGCTATGTCTGAGTTTGGCATTGTCTACGCCGTCCATATCATCACCGTCCAATTCGGCTCCGTCGTATCGGTAAACTGAGAAACCCTTTAAACCCTTCTGAGACTTTTGTTGAACTCTGTAGAACGAATTTGGTGATGGATTTTGTTTATTTTGCAGAAAGTCTGTGAATGTCTTCTACGTAAAGGACCTCTTTCCTCACGAGACATCTCTCGTCTAGCTGAATCAGACATCAATCATAACCAAGTTAAAGATATTCTCTATCTCTTGATTCAGCACAATTGTGTTCAAGCTTTCTCTATTGAACCTCCTGGTTAGTCCCCTTTAATTTGTTGATTTGGCTTGGCTTTTAATATGAATGCCTAAGGTATTGTTATATGCTTTTGACTTGTAGATGGTTCTGAGAGCAAAGCAATTGTACAATATATTGTCCTGTTTAACAACATTTTGCATCGTGTGAGGTATAACAAGTTTTCGAGGCTTGTAAACGAAGAACTTGGCACTGAGGTTTAATCTTGCTTCTTCTTCACTCTGTTCAGTGTTTTGTTTAGTTGGTCTACGCTTCAAGACTCTAATGCTAATCTTATACTTTTGATCTATATGTATAGTGCGGTGCAGTTCTTGATGGTTTACTTAGTAACGGTAGGCTTACCTTGGGACAGCTGATTGAAAGAGACAGAGGTGAGTCCTGATATCATATGTACCTCTTATGTTATATTACCACAGTTTACTCTCATCGTAGGCACTGGCTTTTGGACTTTGTGTATCTCGTTTTGATTACAATAATGCTTCGAACGGAATGGATGCTAATCTGTTATATACGTTTTCGTCATACATGATCAGATTCGGGAAAGACGATAGGTTCTGAAGCAATCAGAGATTCTCTTCAGAAATTGGTTGCTGCCCGTTTTGTTGAGCGCATTCCTTCTCCCGAACCTGTTCTTGGAAACAAAGAACAAGAGCCGGCAAAGAAAAGAGGCGCTAAAGCTGCCAAGGTATTTGATAATGTCTTTCTGGTGTTTGGTATACCTATACATTGTCCGATATATCAGTTTATTGTTTATCAGACCTACCAATTGCAGCGACATGACTCTCAGTTTTGATTTTTTTTTTTTTTCTGTTCGATATAAATAAATCTCTTGGAACTTTGTAGATTCTCAAAGAACCGGAAACCTTGGAGGAACGTGTTGTTGAAGCAGCAACTCCAGTTGACGCAATAAGGTTTCCACTTATATTCGAAGAAGATGCCAATTCATCTTTAGCAGATGACAATAGCAACATCACTGAGGGGAAGGTATCAGCATTCTAACCATAACCAATCTTGGCTATCTTATAAGCACACATTTTCATGATGTAGCACTGAATACCTTTGTTGATGTTTCTCATTGAACGAATATTTTAGCGTAAACAACGTGATGTGGACTCATCAGATCCGAGCAGTGGAGTAATTTGGCGTCCTAATTTTGAGGAGTTCATCCACCGCCTTAGACATAAGGTTAGTTATCCATGTTTCTCTTTTGAGGTAGTTTGATGAGAGAAAAAGCTCTTCGTTATTGGCATTTGAAATTTTGTTTTTTCTAATCTATCTTACTGGTTCTTATCTTTTAACCACTTGTTTCCTTGTTGAAGGCGTGTGTGGAGATCGTGAAAGAGCGCAGGGATGAAGGATGTGCCATTGTCTTGAGGGCAATGTTAGAAGTAAGAAGATCACAGGAGAAGAAGGTGAAAACAGACAATTCGGGTAATATCTGAGTTGCTCACTCATTTTCATTCACTATCTTAACATAATCAAAATATGTTGAAGTTAAAATTGTAGTATTTGGTGTGATTGATTTTGCACTCTCCACCAAAAGTCCACCTATGAAATTCTGTTGAGTAACTGAATTTGCTTTAATCTTTGAAACAGCTCCAATGTCAATTGGTTCCATTTATGAAGAGGTTATAAAGACAGAAGCAGGTCGCACTATGTTACAAGAGCGAGTTGAAGCATGCCTTGACCAATTGAGTGCTACGTCTTCTTATCTACCAGCATTTGTGACAGAAATGAATGGTTCATACATTGTTGGTATAGTAACTCCATTCAAATTCTAGTAAACTGATTCTTGTATTCAAGCTTACCTTTCATATTCTTTTGTTATTTGGTTTTGCAGATTTTAAATCCATTATCAGCGTAGCACAGAAAGATGAGGTGCGTTTCATATTTGTTTCTTTTCTTTTCCTGACATATTTCTGAAACTAAAAACGAGATCTTTGAGATGTTTATAGATAGAAGCAGTAGTTATGAGAAGATATGGGAAAGAAGCTTTCAGAATGTTCAGATACTTATCACAGGAAGGGCGTTTTGTTGAGACCGATAAGGTTAATGACTGTTCTTTCTGATTCATATAGAAACATCTTTAAGTCAGAATGATTTCTTAACTTCCATCAATTTGTTTTTTTTCTGTAAGATTGCTGATGCTGCGCTGACTGAAAAGAAAGACACACCGCAATTCCTTTTGAAGATGTGGAAAGACGGATACTTACATATGCAGGTATTCATAGTTTCGAAACCAAGTCATTTCTAAAACTAAAACGAATTGGTTGATATGAGATTCATTGTTGTTCTCTTCTGTTCGTTTTTGTAGAAATTGGCGATCACAGGTACGTATGTACCGTTTCTGTTGTGGAAGGTAAACAAGTTGATTGTGACGAGGCAAATGTTAGATGAAATGTATCATGCTTCACTTAACTTGAATCTCAGGTTGGCTCATGAGCTAGAATCCGAAAAAGAGGTTAGTCACACTGCAAATCGATTAACTCAATGGGTTTCAAGCTGGTCAAAATACTAAACCTGTTATTGCTTCTGTGGCAGTTGCTGATGTTGCCATCAGATAAACTGGAAGGACCATTAAAGGAGAGAGTGAAAAAGGTCAAAGCCAAGAGGCTGTTACTCTCTTCCACTATGTTTAAACTTGATGATGCGATTATGCTATTTCACGACTTTTAAACTCTTAAATTGAAAATCATTTCTTTATTTTGTTTTGGTCGATTTAGTTCACATTGTCCTCTTACCTATTCCTATCTTTTAACAATTTTTGTTTTCTTTTGAACATAATGAAAATTTGTAACTTTGAAGGTAATTGATACTGTTTCGAGATTAATGTTGTCTATTGTATACTTTAGATTTAGTTTTCAAACTCTTTTATCTTTTATCAGAAAACATTCTTAGGTTTTTATAAGCTTCCTTTCCTTTATTATGGCTGATGAGCTTTGGGATGAATTGCAAAATCTGATTTTGGTGACCTAGAGCTTTGGGATGAAGCCTATACTAATAGTCGTCTAAGTCTGATTGCTCGACCTCTCAATCCTTCAGTGCAACAGCTTCAGACAGTAGTTTCATCTTTATCAAGAGTATGGAGCCTAGCTACAAGAGTTCATGGAAGAGTTGTCGATGATAGATTTGTACAATTTCTCTTTCAATCAGAGACTGATCTTTTAACCTAACAATTGTTGATCTTTTGAAATTGTTCGTCATCTGTGGAAATAAGTTTTTACTGCTCAAGTGCTTAAGAACTGCAATGTCTATTTGCAGGTTAAAGAGATACTTTTTGGTTGCGTCGATTGTGGCTTGAAATTTACTATAGTTGCTAAACTAATATAATCTTAGTAATACATAATTACATATTCAACCATGTCCGTAAGTAAACAAATGAAACATTATATTTTTGCAAAAGCCAGATAAGATTCTCATAAATTTGCAGACTTTGGGAGAAAAAGAAGCATACGAAGGGAAGTCAAACTAAAGAGTAAGTGGAGATGTGTGATACGATATTTTCCATAAATCCAGAGAAGCAAGGTAACAGCAAAATCCAAGATTTAAGGATGAAATCTGATGAAACAAAAAACAGAGTCTGATACACAAAAATTCAGTTCCAAAAGTTGATAAGATAAAAGTTTCTTCTACCTAAGAAGAAGGACCTCACTTCTTCTCCTCTTTCTCAGCCTCGGAGGCTCTCTTGGCTCTAGCACCAGCATGTCTCTTGTTCGTGCGCTCAAGGCGTATCTTATCGTACGCCTTGAAGGACTTCATTTCTGAAGTCAGCTTGACGAGCTCCATGGTTGGCTTCTCACGTACAATAGGCAAGTAGTCTCCTTGAACTTGGGTAGCATTAGCCAACTCTTCTGGTGTAGAGTCACCAGCCTAACAACACACAAACGAAAACAGAACAAGTAAGAGATCAGTACCAATCCAACAATTATAAGAACACTAAACCCTAGACTAATTCCTTCGAATGATTACCTTAACCTTGCGAGCACGACGCGGGAAGATGACCAACTTAGTCTTGTAGGTTTTCAGCCTCTGGACATTGGTTTGAAGACCCTCCAAAGATCGGTTCTTGCGACGATGGTCCACAGCAATACCGATTGTAGGAGCCAACTTCTTTGGGATACCAGCAGCCTATATTAATCGAACAATCAGAAATCAACAATCCCAACAATATTCATTTACACATAAATGTAAATGAAACTTGATAGCTATATGAATAAAGTTCAATAATCAGAAATCAACAATCCAATCAATATCCAGCAAGGCATGAAACTTGATAGCTATAAGAATAATGAAAGAGAGATGGAAATTACAAACCTTGAGCTCTTCAAGAGTGAATCCTTTACCAGTTCTGACCTTCATGTTGTACTTAAGAGTCTGACCATGCACAACAGGGCGGAGAGGTCCAGAAGTTGGACGAGGGAAGATCTTCACTGCCTTCTTTTGCCTCGCTGTGTAAAACATAACAAATAACATAATTAGATTCAAAGAGACTTAAAGTGTAAACCTAAAACGAAACATGACATAAGCAGAAGTGGTGACATTACTACTAACCAATTCTTCTTCTGGTTTTCCTGGCAGGCTGGTTGAACCATGTCTTCACATAGTTCTGCCAGTGCTTTTTGAAGTGACCATTGGGGATAACATTGTTGTGCTTCATTTCTTCACCTCAAGCTTCAAAAAAAAAAACACATTTTAATCAAATGATGGAACTTTAAACAGCTCAAGGGAAATCAAATGATGAAACTTCAAACTGCAAAATAAAAGACCATCTCAATGCTATAGCTAACATAAATAAAGTAAAACATATACGAATCTTGTAATATTTCTAGGATCACTCTTATTAATCTATACTAAAGATGATACTTTTGAGCAATCTTAAACTCTCAAAGAATCCAAGTTTCTTATGTTTGTATAGAGTAAGGATGTTATCAACATCAATCAAATAAACGAAAAGTTTCATCAATTAAACGCTAATCTTACTCATTCCAAGGACGATACTTTCAACAAATCACTAAAGCATAACAAACAGCAAATCAAAGGACTCTAAACAACGCTTTATATCAGATCAATAAAACTCGAAATGAACAAAACAACGAACTTAGAATACTTCCAGGAGCTAGCAGCAGAACACGATGAGAGAAAACACGCAAGAACCCTAATTATAATCAAACGAGATAGCAGCGAAGAGAATCAGAGAGCCGACAAGTAGAGAGGAACGAAAACTCACAGAGAGAAAAGCTTCTTCGCGGCTGGACTGAAGTGTATCCAAGTCTAGGGTTTACGAGCTTTAAATAGTGAAGACCTAAACTCAGTTCAACTATTCATGTATTTGGGCCTGGGCCGGAATCAAACAAATTAAAATGTTTTTTTTGTTTTGGGCTTGTTAATGTTTTTTATTTGGGCTTGATTTGGTTCGATTTTTCTTTCTTTCTCACATCTGTTAGTTCCGTCGTCTTCTTTGTTCTCCAGAATCTCATTGAGTTTGGAGCGGTTCGTACTTCGTAATCTGAAGGATTTGTAGCAAAATTGTTGTCTCTGTTTAAAGAAAATGGAACAAAAATGGTATGTTTCTTTGTTTTGTTTATGTTTTTCTCGGAATCCCTTTCTATGGTTTTCTGATTCTTTTGATTTTTTTTTTTGACAGCAAAATCGGTGGTGAAGGATTGGGAAATCGAGGTTTAGTGAATGAGGAGGACAGGCTCAGTGAGTTGCCTGAAGCTTTGCTTCTACACATATTGTCCTCACTTCCAACAGAAACTGTCATAGCTACTACTGTTTTGTCCAAAAGTTGGAAATCTCTCTGGAAGATGTTGCCAAAACTCAAGTTTGATTCTAGGTATCACCAAACATTTTCAGAGAATGTTTGTAGATCTTTGATTTCACATAAAGCTCCTGTTCTAGATAGTTTGCATTTGAGAGTTGAAGATAAGGGTGATGCTTTAGAGATGGGATTATGGATTGGAATTGCAATTGCACGTAATGTGCGTAAATTGACACTGAAGTTTGTATTTCAGGAGGAAAGCTTAGTAAGAATTCCGAGTGGTTGGTGTAGTTTTAATGATACACTTGAAATCTTGAAACTCAAGTATTGCATTCTTTTAGATTTTCCTTCTCTAGTTTGTTTGAAGTCTCTTAGAAAGCTGCATCTCTACCATGTGAAATTCAAAGACGAAGAATCTGTTTGCAACCTTTTATGTGGCTGCTCTAGTCTTGAAGATTTGTTTGTGCATCGAGAAAGCTGTACCGATGTGGAGACTTTCACTATTGCGGTGCCATCATTACAGAGACTAACCATATATGATGATTACTGTGGAGAAGGTGTTGGAGGCTATGTGATAAATGCTCCTTCTTTGAAATACTTGAACATCGGCGGGTTTAATGGTCTTGAGTTTTGTTTGATTGAGAAAGCGCCAGAGCTGGTGGAGGCCAAAATCTCTTACATTTTTGAAATAGCCAATGAGAACATTTTGGAATCTCTAACTTCAGCCAAACTTCTTTCCATAAACTTATCACCCTTAAAGGTAAATTTAAGGTTTAAGATTTTCAGAAGGTTTTATCTGCAATTGGGCTAACGTTGTTTTGTGTGTACCAATGTTGCCTCATGCACAGATTAAGTATCCTATTGGTAAAATCTTCCACCAGCTTTTATCTTTGGAGCTTCGTACATTTAGCTATGAGTGATGGAATCTACTTTCGTTCATGCTCGATAGTTCACCCAAGTTACAAATTCTTAAGCTCATCGATGTAAGCCATTTCATTAGTCAACTACTTTTTCCCTGTGCTCTACTTTCAAGTAATATAATGTCCTTTAATTGCATTGTTCTCAGCCATATCGATTTGCTAGAGATGATTGTCCAGTGGGCTGGGAATGGAGTCGACCCGAATGTGTACCTGAATGTTTATTGTTTCATCTTGAGACATTTGTGTGGACAAGATATGAGTGGCAACGAGAAGATGAAAAAGATGTGGCTACATACATTCTAAAAAACGCAAGACAGTTGAAAAAAGCAACTTTCATCACAAAATCCATCATACCCGAAACACTCAAGAAGTTGGAAAAGAGAATTGAGATACTCAACCAGTTGGCTAGTGAGGCCAGGGCTTCAAATTCATGTTGCCTCGTGTTCGAAACTGTGTAATTATTAGAACTTTTTTACTATGATGTTTTTGGCCATTGGCAAGTGTAAAATTCAACTTTACCTATTGATGGGACGTTAAATCTTGGTTACATTATGAGGTAGAGATTCAGAAGATAATTTAAGGAGTAGTAAAGTAAAATTAGTAGGTGATCTGAATCTGCGCGAGTGCCCGGAGTGAGCCTAACATAGAGGCAAGTTGTTGAGCCGTATGATGGGCAACTCTCTCCTGCGGTTTGGAGAGGGAAAAAAAGGAAGAACAAGGGTGATAGAGCACAAGCAGTAAGAGATGAATAAGGAAGCTCTAAATTTAGACAAATGTTTTAGCAATAACATATTAACATTATCTCATATTGGTTTTGTCAAATGTTTTGAAACATGAGAGCAATTGTATATATGTAATTTAGTTCACAAAAGCAAATCTTATTATTTTCGTCTCCTCCTAAATATAACAGCAGTTCTCCATATTGTCGAAAACAAAAATGAATGAGTGTGTGAAAAAAAAAAATCACTCAATTCTCAACTATAGATAAATGGGCCTGTACGGAGACCAAACAAACCCATTTAAAAGCCTTTTTGTCTTTTTTTTTGTTCGGCCTGTAAATTTGCTGGAATCGGTTTGATTTTTAAAAATCCAAAAGAAAATAATCGTCTTCTCACTTTTACCACACCCGTCTCGTCTCATCGAATTCTCTCATCTTCATCACACTGTTGTCACTCTCTGTTAGGGTTTTGTGACTCGCTAGTCCTTTAATTGATTTTGCAACAAGTGGATAGTTTTTGAAGCTGAATCTCGTCACCAATTATCATACATAAGCCCTAGGTTGATTCGTGTGTTCGGTTGCGTTTGGAGCGTTTGCAATTCTAAAGATTTGTACCAAATTGTTGGTTTCTATCAACTACAATGGAACAAAAATGGTATGTTTCTTTTCTTCGTTTATTTTTTGGCTAGAAATCCCTTTCTTAACACTAATCCTTTAATCCTAAAACTCTTTCTTTTTTTTTTTTACAGCAAAATCGGTGGAGAAGGTTTGAGAAATCGAGATGTAGTGAATAAGGACGACAGGATCAGTGAGTTGCCTGAACCTTTGCTTCTACACATATTGTCTTCACTTCCAACAGAAACTGCCATAGCCACTAGTGTTTTGTCCAAAAGTTGGAAATCTCTCTGGAAGATGTTGCCAAATCTCAAGTTTGATTCTAAGTTTCACCGAACATTTTCAGAGAATGTTTGTAGATCTTTGATTTTACATAAAGCTCCGGTTCTAGAGAGTTTGCATTTGGAAGTCGGATATAAATGTGATGCTTTGGAGTTGGGATTATGGATTGGAATTGCATTTGCACGACATGTGCGTAAGTTGGTACTGGAGTTTTACTTTGAGGAGGAAGGCTCAGTAAAATTTCCGGGTGTTTTGTGTAGATGTAATAACACACTCGAGAGCTTGATACTCAAGGGTTCAATTCTTTTTGACCTTCCTTATCCGGTTTGTTTCAAGTCCCTGAGAGAGCTGTACCTTGACCATGTGAACTTCAAAGACGAAGAATCTGTTTCCAACCTTTTCTGTGGCTGCCCTTGTCTTGAAGATTTGGTCGTGCATAGATATAGCACTATCGATGTGCTTACTTATACTATTGCGGTGCCATCATTACAGAGACTAACCATATATGATGATTACTGTGGAGAAGGTGTTGGAGGCTATGTGATAAATACTCCTTCTTTGAAATACTTGGACCTCAAGGGGTTTAATGTTCTTGATTTTTGTCTGATTGAGAATGCGCCGGAGCTGGTGGAGGCAAAAATCACTGAAGTTTCTGATAGAACCAATGAGAACATTCTGGAATCTCTAACTTCAGCCAAACGCCTTTCCTTGTACTTATCACCCTTAAAGGTATTTTTAGATTCATTTAAGATTTTCACGGGGTTTTATCTGCAACTGTGCTAACATTGTTTTCTGTACTAATGGTGCCTTCATGCACAGATTAAGTATCCTACTGGTAAAATCTTCTATCAGCTTCTATCTTTGGAGCTGCGTACAGATGAAGAAGAGTGGTGGAATTTACTTTCACTCATGCTTGATAGTTCTCCTAAATTACAAATCCTCAAGCTCATCGACGTAAGCCATTTCATTAGCCAGCTACTTTTTTTTTCCATTGCTCTTTCAGGTATAATGATGATCTTGAATTTTACATTGATTTCAGTCATGGCAGTATATTAATAAAGATTTACCGGTGGACCGGAAATGGAATCAACCAAAGTGTGTACCTGAATGTTTGTTGTTCCATCTTGAGGCATTTGTGTGGACAAGATATGAATGGCAACGAGAAGATGAGAAAGAAGTGGCCAAATACATCCTTAAGAACGCAAGACTCTTGAAGAAAGCAACTCTATCCACAAAACCTATCGAATCTAAAAAGCTTGAGGAAATGAAAAAGAGACGTGAGATGCTCAACGAATTGGCTGCCGAGGACAGGGCTTCAGATTCGTGTCACCTCGAGTTCGAATATGATACGTATTCTTACAATTAGGACATGTTCTTAAAATCTTCCAGAATGTGACAATGGGACCTAAAAAAAGTCAGAAACTTAGTCAAGTTTTCTGAGCTATATATTTAGGTTTTTGAACAGTAGCGGCATTTTAGATGAATAAAAAAACAGGTAATATATAATGTTGCTATTTTGGATAGGCCATTTTTTACTTATTGATTTAAGCAAACAAGTTAAATGATTTGTTTGAATAATTAGGAAGTGATTACAAATTGGTCCCAAAGACAAACCAAAGTTGTTATATGTTACTCGTTTATTCTTGTGTTGACTTGTTATCTTGTCTCATTGACTCTTCTTCCTCGTGTGACAACTTCTTCTTATCCTTTCTTCTTCTTCTTTGTTCTTCTTCGCTTTACTCTGTTCTTCTTCTTCTCCTCACTTGAAACTTTCTTCTTTGTTGCAGGTTTAATCAAAGGTTCAATTCCAACATGCTCCAGCTATTAAATATACATCTCCAATTGGTTTTCTCAAATGTTTTGAAACATAAGAGAAAATTACTTCACATATATTTTCCAACTCTGAATTTAGCAGGAGTTTCGTGTCCGTTCATGATAAAAAATAAATGGAAGTGGTGCAAAAACTTTTTAGAAATATAAATCATGTAACATAAGCCCATTAGAAATGTCGTTCGGTTTGGTTTGATTCTGTTTTTTTGGTAAGGTTATTTTGCCAACCAAAGCGTAGCTGTTCGTGGATTTAGGACTTTGCTTTAGAAAAGCCGAGTTAGTAGTGCCCATTAGAAAATACCTCTTTGCTTGTGAATATGTTGGATTTGGATTCACCTTTTAACCCTAAAAAAAGTCATCGGTCTCATACTTGAAACTTGTAAGTCACTCGTCGTCCTTTTTCTTCTCCAGATCATGTTCTCGAGTGGAATCTCTAAAATGCATTAGTTTCGAAACTCTGTTAGGGTTTCCAATTTGGTTTATGACAACACAAGTGAATCGTTTTGAGATTAATTATTGTCATCATATCTTAGTTTTTAGCCTGATTTTTGTGTTCGACTGCGTTTGCGTTTGGAACTGTTCGTAACGCGATAGCACTGGGAAGGATTTTTAGAGAATTTATATCTCTAATTAACTACAAAAGAATGGAACAACAGTTGTATGTATCTTTTACATCGTTAATTTTTTGTTTAGCTGTAAGATCAAACCCTAATTCTAATTTGAACCCTAATTTTTTTTGTATATTTTCGTCCTTTGATTTTTGACAGCAAAACTGATGGTTTAAGTTTGAGTAATCGAAGTGCTATGAAGGAGGACAGAATCAGTGAGTTGCCTGACGATTTGCTTCTGCAGATATTGTCTTATATTCCAACAGAAAATGCCATAGCTACGAGTGTTTTGTCTAAACGTTGGAGATCTCTATGGAAGATGGTGCCAAATCTCAAGTTTGATTTGAAGTTTGATCCTAAGATTGAATCTAAGTATCACCAAACATTTTCAGATAATGTTTACAGGTCCTTGACTCTACATAAAGCTCCGGTTCTAGAAAGTTTGCATTTGAACATTATACGTGGAACTGATGGCTTGAATATTGGAATGTGGATTGCAACTGCATTTGCACGTCATGTGCGTAAATTGGTATTGATTAGTTTCTTTGATGTGGGTAATGAGAGGGTTATATTGGAATGTGTTTTGTTTAGTAATGATACACTTGAGATCTTGAAAATCCAGAATATTCTTTTAGACCTTCCTTCTCCGGTTTGTTTCAAGTCACTGAGAGAGCTGCACCTTTACCGTGTAAAATTCAAAGACGAAGAATCTGTTTCCAACCTTTTAGGTGGCTGCCCTTGTCTTGAAGATTTGGTTGTGCATAGAGATAGCAATGTCGATGTGAAGACTTTCACTATTGCGGTGCCATCATTACAGAGACTAACCATATATGATCAGTACCTAGGAGGAGGTATGGGAGGCTATGTGATAAATGCCCCTTGTTTGAAATACTTGAACATCTACGGGTTCGACTGGCTTGAGTTTTGTCTGATTGAGAATGCACCAGAGCTGGTGGAGGCAGAAATCATTGACGTTATTGATATAACCAATGAGAACATTCTGGAATCTTTAACTTCTGTCAAACGTCTTTCATTAGACTTATCACTCCTTGAGGTAAATTTAAGATTTGAAGATTTTCACCGGGTTACTCTACAGTTGGACCACTGTCTTCTATATTTATGTTGCCTCATGCTGCATGCACAGATTAAATTTCCTACTGGTAAAATCTTCTATCAGCTAGTATATTTAGAGCTAGGTACATATAATAGTAAGTGGTGGAAACTACTTTCGCTCATGCTCGATAGTTCTCCTATATTACAAATTCTCAAGCTCAACAATGTAAGCAATCTTATTAGTCCTGTTTTTTTTCTTTTTCTTTCCAAAGCTCCACTTTCAAGTACTTAGTTGATTTTGGTATTACATATTATGATAAATTACATTGTTCTCAGGCATATCTGTGTGATGACGGAAAAGGTCTATCCGGACTGAGATGGAATCCACCAAAATGTGTAGCGGAATGTTTGTTGTTCCATCTTGAGAAACTCTTGTGGATAGGATACGAATGGCAACAAGGAGATGAGAAAGAAGTGGCCACATACATCCTAGAGAACGCAAGATGTTTGAAGAAAGCAACTTTCTCCACAAAACGCATTGATCCGGATAAGATCGAAAAGTTGGAAAAGAGACGTGAGATG